AGGAGATGGTGTAGTATGTTACATAGTTGTCACTACTGGGAATAGTCCAGTTCACTGTAATACCAGTGGTTGAGACATTAGATACTGAGAGACTAGTTACTGGACTAGGAACTACAACAGATATCAATTACACTCTCTCAATGATAATAACTCACCATCAAATCTTAACACTGTTACTGTACTATTAACTGAAGGAAGATCTATATATGAGTACACACTGATGGTATAGGTACTCATTGGTGAGAGATCTATTAGTAAAATTTTATTGTCTCTAGTAGATACTACATTCCTGGTTACACCTCCAGTGGTATACTCAATCACATATCCATTAGCCTCTGTTAAAGTAGTCCAGTTCACCTTAATAATATTTGCATTAAATATAAAGCCTCTCACATTATTTGGAGGACTACTAGGAGCTAGAAAAGAGACATAAGTATTTACTATTGATTAAAGTATAATCATACCATGTAATATCACAGATTGACTGTAGTTGACTCCTCCAATCATTGCTATACAGGTAACATTAACTGACACTCCCAGTGGATCAGGATATACCAGTAGTGTGTTGTTGTATGTCAAGATATCAATTGATGTATACATTGAGTTATTCTTCGCTACTCCATTCACTAACCAGTAAACATCAGTTGAAGGATTTATATCAGTAGTTGTGAGACAGTCAATATGATATTGAGTGTTATTGAGTTGTGTAATGGATGAGACTAGTGTCCAATCAATTGAATTAATAACTAGAAATTCATCAACAATGTTACAAGTACATTAGTAGCAATACCTGTGGATAAGGTCTGTACACTGATTGCACTACTAGCAGGTCCCAGTAATTGTTGATAGGCTCTGACTGTGATGCTATAAGTTGTTCCTCCTCTCAGTCCATTCAGTGTGATTGTATTATTACTACTTCCCTCCACCTGTACTGTCTGCACAGTGTCTGTGTCACTAGTGACATTGACTACATATCCATCAGCATCAGATGAATCAAGTGCAGTCCAACTGACAGTGATAGTGGTAGTTGTCTTGTTGACCTCAGTAAGAGAAGAGGGAGCAGTTGCTGGTGCTACAAAAAAGTAATAAAGTCATTTTATTGCTACTTCTACCTGTTACAAAAATGTTTCTATTTCTTGCTACTGGGTTGTCATCGATATGACCAAAATACAAATAGAATCTGAATACATGATCCCCATTGTTGTTTGATTGACTCAGTACTCCACTAGTAATAGTCTCTCCAAACCAATTAACAGTTAGAGTATAGTCCCACCTTCCATTACCATAATTCACTGACATTCCATTACCATACATGAAGTTACAACTGTATGAGTTCATTTGTCCAGTGCAGAGTTCAGTACTACTGCTACCAGACTCATAGTACCATTTGACAGCATGTAAAAAAGCACTGTGATCATTATGACCAATTTTAATGGCATGCAGTGTATATGTTTGAGGTAGAACTGTTTTATCTGAAGGAAGGTCAAGAGTGATGTTTTCAATCTGTGCCCATCCTACAGTAAATCAGTAACAAAGCAACAGTGTGTACTAGTTTAATGAGAACACTTACTGAATATATTAGCAAAGATGATGTTAGTGTTAAGATATGAACAATCAGTGGGTAGACAACACTTGTACCAGCCATCATCAGATGGTATAATGCCTCCATGAATGTAAAGACTGATGTTAGCATTAGGTGAAGATACTTCATTACAACGAAGAGGATTAGTACTGCAGTCAACTGATGATCCACTAGAAGTAGCCCACTCTCCATCAGTCAGAGCAGTACCAGGTAACACACACTGGATACTTTTATTGGCTCCTTTAATGTCATTATCAAAAAAATAGGATCCATTAGAATAACAGTTTCCATTATGCCTCAGGTAGATACCTATAAAACCTATACAGTTGTTATTATACACATCCAGTGTCTTACCTGAGGAAGGTGGACATTGACTAATAACTTCACTGACACTCAACAAGAAGACAGCCACTACCAGTAAAGACATGATTCTGCTCTAGCATCAAAAGTAAACAAGCCCTTATACTCCAACCATTGCTTCCTTTTCGCTACAATAGATTTAATTGCATCACATGTCTACAAAATGCACTTTGTTATGTACTCATTCTTTAAGTACATGAGAACATAATCATGCACATCAAACACAGTACATATGTATATTTCTTTGATAGTATTGTAATGTATCTGTTAAATGTTAATAATAATAATAATAATAATAATAATAATAATAATAATAATAATAATAATGATAATTTTCCAACAACAAACAAGGTGATACAAACAACACAGGTAGACAGTTATTAATAGCCAAAAAGAGCAAAGAGATGAGAAAAAGACAGTAAGTATAATTAAAGGCTACAAACTCTAGTTCTCCCTCATAAGAAATAAGGTGTTGTTATTCTCTGTGGTATGACCCTCTCATTATCAGGTACTGCTTGAAACAGCTTTGCCTCTTTGCCCTCCAAGTTAGCATCCTTAATGATGAGTATGGATGCAATGTTACCACACCTGTAGCAGTAATTAGGAGCAGACCATACCGTCACTAGGCGCTGGTCAAACATATATTTGATGCCCTCGTGGACTAACTGATGTGCCCTGCATATTAGCTTGAGGTTATTGAGATGCATAAACTAAGAGAAAAGGGAGAGATAGAAGGTGGAATTAAGAATTAAGATAAGTGGTTTGAAGTAAATCAAAACAATGAAAGGGTATCATTGCATAAAAGGGAAATGCTACAATGACTACATACAAGTACATGTACACAGCGAATTCTATATAATGCTTTTTACTGACACTGTTATTGTTACTAATGGAACCAAGGCACAGTGTATTACGTAACAAGTGCCCTACAATAAACACAAGTAATTTATATAAAAACAGGGTCCATACCTCTTAAACATTCATAATAATTTATAAAAATAATAAGGTCCATCCATACCTCTTGGGTCACAGAATTACCAAACAAGTAGCCAGCTCCTCTAGGGCTAACTGCCCAGCCAGATATGTCCTCTGGATCAGACCAAACCAGATCACAGAATGCGCCTTCATGGGGTATCTCAATACCGCGATCAATGGTTCTGATCTATTGAGGAGGAGGAGGAAGGAGTAAAGAGATGAGGAAGAAAATTATGAAGACTTCTTTACTTGATCTAGTGTCTTCACTTCAGGGGAAAGGCCACCATGAACACATAAAACTTGATTATCAATAATCTACACAAATCACAATACATGATAGTAATACCATTGATCATTATTATAACATACTGCTGCTATTGTGAGTAAGTCAAATACTTTACAGCAGTATCTCCAGGCATTGGCATTGCCATACTTGTTCATACACTCATCTGTGGAATAAGAGAAGGAGTTTATGATAATAGTAAAATATTATAATTATAATAAGAAATAAGAATTCTCTCCTAGCCATTTTTTAAGAAATATGGCTGAAGACCCCATACAGGGACTTTGATCCGATTTTGGAGCAACTTAAAAAATTCGTAAAAAATCTAATTTTGATTCAAATCAGCTGAAACTTTCTACACAACATAAGAACATGTATATGCATCAGGAAAAATTATAAAGATGAAGAATTCTCTCCTTTTGATTTTTGGCAAAATTTGGCCCGAGACCATGTACTATAGTACAGGGACTTTGATCCAATTTTGGAGCAACTTTAAAAATTCATAAAAAATCAAATTTTGATCGGAATCAGTTCAAACTTCCGAAACAGCTTTCTCTTTCTTCCTCTCTTCTTTCTTACCATAAAACCCATAAACTTGAGTTATCTGTCTGCTTTCGTGATTACCTCTTAATAAAGTAATTTTATTGGGATACCTATGGAGAATAGACGATAACAACATGAACAAGTATAATGGCCTGATATATATAATATAATCCTTACTTTGCTTTGAGAGTCAGTAATCTTGTAAATGTCTCAAGACTGTAATAACCTCTGTCCACAAAGTCACCCTAAAATAAATTATTAATTAACATAAATTATTACAAACAATAAACGTAAATTAATAATTTAATGTAAATAAGTGTATAAATGAGCATAACTTACCATAAACACATAACTAGTGTCTGGTATCTGACCGCCAGTTCTGAATAATTCCTCCAAATCGTAAAACTACAAAATAAAGACAATTTTTACAACACAATGAGAGTAACAATTAACACCATTTTGCCCCCTATTCATTAGTTATCGGCTCCTTTTACATCTATCGTTACCTGTCCATGAATATCCCCACAAACTGTGACTGGAGTGTACACTGGCTGTACATTAGATTCCTCTAATAAGAGGTCACACACATAATCACACAGTTTCTGTGAAGGAAAGGGTGAGAAAAGGGTCACAAAGGGGCATATCAAGCATCCAGACCTTTAATTCGTTTTCTGTCAAGTACTGGCACTTCTTTGCCAGCTCGATCCACTCGTCAAGCTCACTCATATTCTTGTTATAACGTCAGCAGTCCTTCTTTCTCCAAATGTTTATACAAAGTTGATTAATCAGGAAATGTTGTCAGAAAAGGGTTAAAAGGTCACGTGAGAGTCATCTGATAAAGATGGCGGTCAAACGAGTCTAGGTGTTACATCTACCACGTGATTATCATGTGATTAAAATGGCGGCAATTAGAAGTTTGTGTCGTTTGTTGTCTCCTTCTTCCTTGCCCACTGCTCTTTCGAAAAGAGCAACTCTAGTAAGTTAGATTTGCTTTCAATGCATAGAACATTACAACTGATCTCATAACCTATTTTCATTTGCTTTTATCTCTTCATACAGCTTGCTCGATGTCTCTCTCTTCACGAGTACATCAGTCAGACTCTCATGTCCGAGCATGGCGTTCATGTACCTGTTGGATATCTAGCAGAGAGTCCTTCAGCTGCTAGAGAAGCAGCAGTCAAACTAGGTAACCAAACAACATTCAATAGCACAGAGTAGGTGCTAACATTATCATGTAATACCTCATTGTGCTAATTGAATAGACATGTATCTACATGTACCTTCTGATATATCAAAGACTATGGACTTTAGGCTAAAGTATTATCATTATGCATTATGGACTAGAGAGTAAATTATTATATATTTAATTATTTTGGGGTGTATTATTAATAATGGTTGATTATGATCATAATGTACATGTACATGCATTAGGTGGAGGTGATGTGTTAGTAAAGGCTCAGGTATTAGCTGGTGGTCGTGGTATGGGTCACTTTGAGTCTGGACTCCAGGGAGGAATACAAATAGCTCATTCGTGAGTCTCAAATCAATCTTTCATTCTCTGTTCCAATTACATGTGCTTTATTTCTACATATCATGTTTAAATGTCTATTATGAGACTGTTTCTTCTCTTTTTCTCTATCTGCTATCACATAGACCTGAAGAAGCAGAATCATTTGCTGAAAAGATGATTGGATCACGTCTTATTACCAAACAAACTGGCTCCATTGGTAGACCATGCTCTAAGGTAACTCTCTCTCTCTCTCTCTCTCTCTCTCTCTCTCTCTCTCTCTCTCTCTTTATAATTTTCTCCATTAATGTCCTTGTCCATCTCTTCTTTAGGTGATGGTATGTGAGAAACAGTCGATAAAGAAAGAATTTTATTTTGCACTTATCATGGACAGAGCTCACAATGTATGACAAGTTTCTCTTCTCTATCTTTCTCTCTCTCTTCCTTTTATTAATCTTATTACATTATGTATTAGTTCCTGTTTTGGCTACTCTTGGCAAGCATGTACAGTGTTTTGCTACAATTATTGATAATTGCTTTGTATTTGATAGTAAAGTAATGTGTTCCATTATTATTATTACAGGGTCCACTGATGGTTGCTAGTTCTGAAGGTGGAATGAACATTGAAGATGTAGCCAGGGATAATCCAGACAGCATAATTAAAGATCCCGTTGATATCACAATAGGTATACTCATCCCTCCCTCTCTGCTTTATTCTAATTCTCACTTGCAGGAATGTCTAAGGAGCAAGCACAGGAAATGGCTAGAAGGATTGGGTTCTCTGCCTCATCAGTTAATAGAGTAAGAGCTTCTTTTTTCTTATATTATTGTCATTATAATAATCAAAGGCAGCAGAACAGATGATGAATCTGTATACTTTCTTATTAAAGAAAGATGCTACAATGTTAGAAATTAATCCACTAATTGAGACAGCAGATGGCAGAGGTAACTAACTATAAATCCAATGCTACCTTGATTCCATGATACTAACACAACTTGATCCTAACATGATTCTGATACCACATTGATCTATTCTCTTGTATATATATAGTGCTATGCCTTGATGCAAAGATCAATTACGACGACAATTCCAAATTCAGACAGAAGGAAGTGTTTGAGCACAAGGACTGGTCGCAAGAGGATCCAAGAGATGCAGCTGCTGGTCAGGCTGGCATCAATTACATTGGATTGGACGGATCTATTGGATGCATGGGTCAGTATGGGATACTCCATGCATTCTGTGCATAGTTGCTAAATTTTAGGATTTTAGCACTTGATATGATTGTGTGATATCCAATCTCTTATAGTTAATGGTGCTGGTCTTGCTATGGCCACAATGGACATTATTAAGCATTATGGCGGCTCTCCTGCCAACTTCCTGGACATAGGAGGAGGAGCAAGTTTTGACGAAGTTAAGAAAGGTTTCAACATACTAGGATCCGACGCTAATGTGTGCTTTATAATTATCAATGTTTCCAATACATGATGTGGTATTTCCTGTTACAGGTGAAGGCAATTTTTGTCAACATTTTTGGCGGAATAGTTCGATGTGATGTAGTAGCTGATGGAATAATTGCAGCTGCAAAAGAAATGAAGCTCAATTTGCCAGTAGTGATCAGAATACAAGGTATAGCTAGTGAATGATTGATAGAGACACTTGGTTAAACAAAACATTGAAACATTATAGGCAACATGCAAGCAGAAGCAAACGAATTAATAAAAAATAGTGGCTTGGACATGTTAGCAGTTCCAGACTTTGACACTGCGGCTAAAACTGTGAGCCCATTCTTAAATTGTATTATTATTAATTATTCTCATGATTATATTTAGGTGGTTGGAAAAGCTAATGAGTCACCTTAGGATTATTAGATAAATTATAGTATAGATTATAATGCTAATAATTGATTCTTCTCTCATTATAACCTCATTCTATTTATGCTTAGACAGCTTTTAAAATTTAATTTATTGTGTTATAATTACTGCAGAAATGCACTTCACTAATCTCTCTCCTGTCTGTTCCTTCATAATAGATAAAACTGTTAATAATGAATTATTATTATTTATTTTATCATTATGATTTTATTTTAGCAATGTAGAATGCATGAAATAGATGTAAGTGTTATAATTTAAGTTCAATAGCCAGATTTTCAAGAATTAATTTTCATGGTGGGAACTCTCCTGGAAATTATAGTTAAATTACTATGAACATTGAGTTTATTCATATTTTATTCATACGATTAAGTCTGGCCATTACAGTTAAGTGATATGCTGTGTATGTGTGCATCATTTTCCAAAGAAACTCATTAGAGATGCTTGAGTTCCTTTCTTCTTCTTTCCAGTACTACTGCCAGCCATTTTACTACTAGCAACCATTGGGGAAGGAGTAGGAAGAGTTGGTTTCTCTTCATCACTTGCATCAGTTGAAACCTCCTCCCAATGTTTCTCAGTTACTATAACCAACAACAAGGATATCCAATAATTCTGATGGTCACATGTGGGGCAGTACTAACCCATTGATCCATCTTCCTCTACAAACATCTTGGTGACTAGTTTCTTTACTCTCTTTCTCTTTTTAGTGGCACTGCTAGCAGGGGAAGATGACTCTGTCCTGTCAGTGATGCTGGTTGCTGGTAAACTTTTCTGTTGCTGGTCTGGCTCTAAAGAAAAGAGAGAAGAGATGAAATAATAATAGAAAGTATGTACAACATGTGTGTATAATTATGATGGATGGATTCAATACCATATATCAGACCTGGGGTCAATTACAAGGCCTATAGGTATCAATAGGCATGCACATGTAAAAATTCATAAAAAATCCAATCTTGATTGGAATCAACTCAAACTCAATTTACAACATCAGAATATGTATATGTATCAGGAAAAAATATAAAAATGAAAAGTTCTCTCTTAGCCATTTTAAACATAAGATGTTGTACCTGAGTCACTCTCATCGCTTGACATGTTTTGTATTCTTTTCCTCTTCCTTTTTGATTGTGTGGCCTTTGGCTTAGGATCTAAAACTATTACTAGCATGCAACAAGCTACAATAACTCAAGTATACCTTTCTTTGTAGGCTTTCTCTTAGCTTTAGGTCCTTCTGAGTCCTTTATTAAAGATAATATACTTAATCATCATTATAATATAACAATAGATGCACCTCAATTTTGCCTTCTTTCTTTACCATTCTAATATGTTCTACAAATTTATATAATAATTATAGGTACATCAGAGACTATTGTACCTGATTCAATAGGAGCCTGTGCTGATGTTGAATTATCTTGTTCCTATAAACAATAAAGTTATTATGTTAAAAGCAGGTATGGAGTAATAGTAATATACATACAGTACATGCAATAGTAAAAAGGTACTAATAGTGCAATAGTAAGAGCTATTGAAAGCAAAGAAATATAATGACTTTGTAATTCCATGTAATCTTTTATCTTTAAAAACTAACCTTATCCAGCAATGCCTCTTCTTCTTCTACTAATTCTTTTTTGATGAGAGGAGGAGGTCCATTGGATGGCTTAGCTTGAAGAGTAGTATCACTTGACCTCTTGACACTTGATGTGATTGACTCTTTCTTTCTCATTATTGGCGAGTTTTCTTTTTCGTTGCTGCTGCTGCTTTTACTAGTGCCGGTCTGCTGCTTTTGTGCTTTGCCAAAGAATGAAGTAACAGAATCTTTATTGATGGGCTTCTACAAGGAAAGAATGAGAGAAAGTACGAGGATAAATAAGCTTACCCTTTTTGTTGGCTTGCTAGCAAAATGGCATACACTGGAAGTTGAATGATCAGCTGCTTCTAAATAAATTAATAATAAGATACTAGAATACATAAAGATATGATCTGCCACTCACCAATAGTGGTGGTTGTGGGTGTGGTATTGTTGATTGGTCTGGTGGCCATATTAGGACATTTAATAAGATTCCATTGCGAATAGGAGGACAAGTGATCCAACATACACTGACGATCGCTATTATACAATGCAGCTGTGTCCTAAACAAGAAAATGACAAAAAGAGAGTAACACATTTAGTAGTACATCATCATAGCTTGCACATAGAGTGTACTTAATATACTTTTGGCTTAGATTTTTGGACACTGTACACAGCAACATTGTAAACAGCCTGCAACTGTGATTCATATTCTAATAATAGTAACAAGTCACATGACAGTCACATGATTAACATACTCTCTCTATCCTCTTCATCGACTAGGAGGACCATTATACCACTAGTGTCCTAAGATAGTGATAAGTGAATCAGTTTCTCTTGTATCATTCAGTACCTTGTCTTGTCCTGTTAATGTATAGAATACATGTATTGCAGCATCATCTGGATCAGTTTTTTCTTTACATTTCTCGACATAGGAAGAGAGTATTCTAAAATAATAATTATCATAATACGTAAAATAATTGTTATGGACTCAACTGTTTGGCACTAGTTACTGATAGGGAGAGAGTCCTGCTCAACCATTTATACGTAACCTAATGAAAAGGGTGTGGTATAACGTGGCAATCAATTTTCAAGTTATTTTTAACTTTTTTTTGCTTACAATTTTCCCCTCATCTTGAATCCATTCATCAAGCCTATCCATGTACACACTGGCATCACTGCCCTCAGTAATGCTAGGAGAAGAAGACATGACACAACTAGAGGAAGAAAAAAAGGAAAGAGTTAAAAATAGAGTCAAACTCAGTTCACTTCTGTACACTGTAACCACGTGTTAGCACGTGATAGTTTTACACAGTCATGAATATCATTTCTCATTTATAAAAAATACACAAAGACACTGAATAGCACAAAGGCCATACTACAGAAAACAGTAGAAAAACTAAAGCTTCACTGCCAAGTCCTGCTTCATTTGTCCTTTTCTGAGTATTAAAAGGGTGAGGAGATCTCTAAGACAGGAGAAGCTATTGACATTGTTGTTGTAAATTGTGAATAAGGTGTGTCAGGCTTTTATGAGTCTCACCTTGTGCAAACTAATGTAAACAAACAAGATTGTAGATGTAATACTACAAACTGGCCAGGTGCACCATATTTACCCTTTGCATAGCATATATCTATCACAGTCCAGCTCCAATAAGTATCATCTACAGAAGTGACAGAGCAGACAGGAGAGCTGGTATTATTTGTTCTATCTTACCTTCAGCAGCATTGCATAATGGATTATGGGCCACCAGCTCCTCCACAATTTGGTGCACCACCACAACCTGTCAGTGGCTATCAAGACATGGCAATTGCATTTGGCATACTCTTTGCAGTTTTCTTTACTATTACCTGTGGGCTCATATTTCTTCTGCTCTGTATTGCTCTAAGGAAAGGAGGCAATGGAATACGAGGAGGAGATTATCGATATCCACAGCAATTCAGAGGTGGCGGCCCAAATAACGAATATGGAACATGAAATAAAAAGAACACTTAAATAACACGTAACAACTAACATTTATAAAAACTACAAATATAGATTTTGGAACATTTAAAAATATTGCATTTTATTTTCTACCCTGTATATATATCAGTCAATTTTGTGTTATTAGAAATGTTAAAAAGTTTAAAAAAATCTTAACTTTCTTGCATAGACTCAGTTACAGGCTTTAATGGAGTATATTTTCTTCCTAATTTCTTGAAACAGGTGAGCCAACACAAGCAAGAGGTAGTAATAAAAAGTGCAGCTAGCAATAACACTAGCAACACACTCATACCAACTATTGTATATAGTAACACTTGCTGGGTATCTTGGCAATCACTGCTTGCTCCAGTAGGCAATGGAGTACTACTACCTGGAGGTGTTTTGTCATTAAGTATATCAAAGTATTCATCCAGTGACCAGTCAAACGTTCCACACTGATGCATCTCTTTAGGTGGAGATGAGAGTTTGTCAACGGCTTCGCTTAGAACTATAGCCATCCCTTCGATAAGATGAGGATCAACGTGACAGTGCAAGTGCCAGTATCCAGGATTGGTAGCCTTTATATAAACTACAGCATAGCCTCCAGCTGGTATTAAAATGGTGTCTTTGAGAGGTGCAGTGGCATTAACGATGCCTTTTTTCCCTACAGAGTATCCTTTCCCATTCTTCCATTGTGGTACTGTGCATAGATTGGTCCCTCCACAGTTGATATCAGTGTTACCTTTACTTAGACGACCTGTATCGTCATAAGATCCAAACTGTATGTCAACCACTTGAAACTGGTGACCATGAAGATGAATCGGATGAGAACTGGAATATGGGATGAGGTTTTCCGGGTTCGGACCAAGGGCAGAAAAAACTAGTTGCACTGACTGGTTAAACGAGACTTCCTTGATATGACTACAGAGACAAGTTGAGGGGAAAATAGCATCATTTTCAAGATTATTGTCACAAAGAGATGGATCGTCTAAATCTTTGCAAAACATGTCATCTTTGACATTTTGAAGCTCAGATGAATTCAAGAGTGAGAGTGGTCGATCAGGAATCTTAAAGTTTCTAGCATTGACAGTACTTGAGCCGTCATAGCCACCAAAAGCAAAATTGAGGAATATCGTTTGATCCGGTACAACATTAGGAGACTCTCCATCAGAAATTGGATATAATAATTCGAGATTATGAATATGCAAACAAGAAAAGTTGTATAGTGGAGAGAAAGAAGGGAACGGGCAATTAAGAACAATGCAAGGTTCTTCTATTGAACACTTTTCATCAACTGGTATAGAATTATCAGCAATATCACCATATTCAGTTGAATTAGGTTTTGGCGCTATATCATAGTGTAGTATAGCCTCAACAGTGTGGTCTGTCCTGTATTGAAGAGGCTGGGTGAGATTACCATTTAGGATTGGCTCTAGTGTCCTTGCTCTTATCATGAAGTTATGTCTCTCATCTAATTCCTCCATTCCTTTACCATTCACTATTACATCGTATCTCTCGCCAGATGATATAATCACATAATCTACAGTCACTGGCTTAACAAATGATGCATCAGTTGCTACTATAGTCATTGAATGCTCGTCTATTGAGAGCATATAAGTAAATGAAGCCTGTGCTCCTATTATACGGAACCTGTACTCTTTAAATGGCGATATAGTGAATATGCTTAGTCTAGTACCAGTATAGTCTATGCTTGGGTGTCGTCCCCTACCATTCACTATACCAGACCAATAAGGTATTGGTGATGCTTCTGTTGCTCCAAAATCAACAGGACGGCTCATGTTGATATCTATATCTGGCTGAGGAGGTAGGAATGAGAAGAATGATGTTTGTAGAGTGTGTGCTTGCATTCTACTGTATACTTCCATTGAAGGCGACTGCTGCAGATCAAATAATGTCAACGTATGATACTCAGGAGTATCAACAAATTGAATCCCGATACTGTCTTTCACTTTATGAATCATTTCTTCTTTCTCTTTGATGATAAGAGCTCCAAAAAAACCATCGTCCCTTTGCGTTCCGGAATGAGAGTGATACCAAAATGTCCCTGGAGGATCGGCCTGGAATATGTATCTACAATTAAACAATCAATGGATAATAATGTGCCATTATCTGTCCATTGTCATGTAAACTACAATACTCACCTAAAAGACTGCCCAGGTTCTATTCCGCACTGTGTCAGACCGGGCACCCCATCCATCCAGTTGGTCCCTTTTTGATGCAACCCGTGCCAATGTATGCCTATCTCTTCCTCTCCTAACCAATTGGTTACATTAATGACTAATGTCTGATTGAACTGAGCTATCAACGTAGGACCAGGAAACTGTCCGTTGACTGAAATGACCGAACGATAAGTGTACCCATCCATTGTAAATGGGAGGGAGCAATGGGGCTCCCCCTCACCCACGGCATCATCACACCTTCCCTTAGCTCCTGGGATTGGTAAGAGCTCTCCAGTGGTAGAGTTTATATACCATGGCCTCCCGTAAGCAGCTCTACCCTCTAGTTCCACCGGTAGGTAGTAACTAGTGAACGATTGTAGTACTTGGATGTTAAGAGAAAAGAGACATACATTAATCCTCTCACCATTGTACATGTAAGGACATGTACATGTAGGCGTGGTTGCATTACAGTGTACTTTATATGTACTATAACAGTAGGAAACTGGCAGGAGACACAGGGCTAGGAAGAAGATTCCTAGAGCCATTTTCCTTCCTTTTCAGCTGAGCTGGCTGACTGGCTCTCTTTATTATTTTGAGTGGGCGTAAGCAAGCTTAATAAACGTGGGCGTTGAAAGTAGATCTTTTAAAATTTAAATCTATAGTAATAATAATAATAATAATACTAATTTAAAAAAATTAGAGAAAAATCAATGTCCTCAAAAAAATGACAAAACTACTATGTAAAAAGAATTAGACCATTGTGCAAGAATAATAATAATAATAATAACAATAACAATTGGTACTGACAGAAATTACTAAAGCTTGAGTGTTTCGTTGTATCATTAGATTACTATAACAGGGTTACACTCATACACACATGTACATGCACACGAAACTAGTAGGAGGTGCTAGAGACTCAGGAACTACTTGACGTTACTCTTAGAACCAGAAGCTAATCCAACCTTGTCTACGATGGTCTGGATTTTAACCTCATGAAGGGAAGATGCTTGGACGTGGACATGGAATGGCTGAAAATGAAAGAGTAAAGGAGGAAATAGGATAACAAATGAAGTGACTAAAGAAAAGACTAAATAGACTCCTTTAATTGTGATAAGCTAATCTATTAGCATGTAACAGCAGTTTTCTGCAGCTAAATTACATGTAATATGTACAGAATGAATGGTGTTTGGGGAGGATACGTTAAATATATCTTCTATTTCTCCCTTTGTTGTTGATAGTCTCCCTTTGCTCATTGGCTTTACACTATCTCCTACCCACAGAATGTAAGCAAATTTGACAGTTGGAATGTCATCCACAACATCAGTCTGAAAGAGAAAAGAGAAAGAGAGAGGAAGAGAGAGAGAGAGGAAGAGAGAGAAAGGAAGAGAGAGAGAGAGAGGGAGAGAGAGAGAGGGGGGGGGAGTGAGAGAGAGAAGTGTGAATAATATTAAAAGTAAAACTTACAATTCTCAAGAGAGCAAGTGTAATGTTTTCTGGTTTAAAAACTTCGCCAGGCACAAGCTCATTCAAGTCTTTCCCAGTCAGGGAACACTGTAGGGGCTTCCTTACATCATTGCCAGGAAAATCAGCTATTAACCTTTAATCACACAATCACTGTAATGTATAATACTTCAAAATTACTACACTGACCAGACAGTCTCATCTTCATCACTACGAACTGCAGCAACAGCTTCCTTAAATGACTCATCAAGTTTCACACCTAAAAGGATACAGAGGAGGAAGAAGTGAGAAGGGAGGTAGAGAGCAAAGCTTACTTGATCCTCCTTTAGCTTGAGCTGTGAATCCGCCAAATTGTGATCCCTGCTTTCCAGTTCTCGAGACACTTCCCCTACCAGTTGGTGACATGGGACCACGAGAACCAGAGGCTGTTGATGAAGATACAAAGCCTCGCTCCTAAAAAATTAAACAAAAAATACAAAATAACAACAGACTATGTTGTGTCAAATAACATACTGGTCTTGTCTTTCCCTCTGAGGCATCCAATACTTTATTCTTTGTACCACTACATAAGGAGAGAGAGAGAGAGAGAGATCGGGTATCTTTCATATATTAAAGTGTATTATACCTTGTCTCTTGTATTTTTGACATCAAATATTCATCAGTAACTTCTTCAAGAGTATCACAAGTAAGAGATACTTGATACGGCTATCGGTGAAGAAACAGGATAAGTATATGTATATACAGTTACACACAAGCAATGGAGTCCAGCCCACTAATAGAAGGATGCTCCTTCTTATCATTTATCACAATACGGTCAACTTCACAATCGCTTTGTAGCGGATTCGCTCAATCATTCATCCATTTACACTGTTCACTCATTCAATTCAATAGACTATATATGCCATAGAATTCCAGGATGCCATTACTACTACAACTTGTTTACACGCTAACAGAAATAGCTGAGAGAAACCACACACTGTCTACATACAAACACACACACACATTAATGAGATTTATAAGTCAAATGTATCCTTTTTTAGTAATAATAATAAGATTGTGTAGACATACACAAACACACACACTACTCATTACCAGCTGTACTATTACCATATATGGATGTGAATCTAAAAGTAACTATGTTATGGGGTGGGTAGTGGCATGACAAATATGAGAATTTAGTGAATCTTTGCAGCTGCATATAATTAATATTAAATTTTTGAGCGACCTCTGAGTACTCTCTCTCTCTCTCTCTCTCTCTCTCTCTCTCTTAAAATATTACTCCTCTTACACTAAAGTGTTTCTCAACGCTTCCGGAAACGACTCCGTATTTCCCCCTCTTTGTAAAACTGACTTCAGTCCCAGCCCAAGTGATGTAGACAAACTTTGTAGTCTCAGACATATCAATTGTCTCTGTTAAACGAACTGGAGGGAGGGAGGGAGAGAGAGAGAGAGAGAGAGAGAGAGAGAGAGAAAGTGTGAAGATGTTTCGAGTGAGAAAAAATGCCCAAGTGTCATTATCATTAGCTAACACTTGTTGTTTATTCATGGACATAAAAGCACAAATGCAAGACAATAAATATGTACATGTACACTTTCATGTTTGCCTCAAACAATAAGAATAGCCTCACCCCTCCCCCCTCTCTCTCTCTCTCTCTTCACTGACCTAGTGCATACATGTACTGTTTGTTATCAAGCTGATCAGCTAATTCAGGAACACCACCGGAACCAGACGAAAGATACTGAATAACAGCTGGATCACCATCTTGATGATTGACTAAACACCTATGCATACATACATATTAATATGTACGGTCAGGACCCATGCATGGTGTACAGTATAATGATAGTTGGCAGCAATCAATGCTGCTATGGTCAATAGGAGAATCAGTGTTAAAGCATTGTCAACGAAATTAGGTGTGCAGCCTTTGACACACAACGGACAATCCAGACAATAAAGTAGTGCATTATAATTATTATTATGTCTATGGCTGAAGAGTTAGGGTTATCATGGCTGAAAGGTTTTAGATTCAATATGATACTGTAGATTGTTCCTACTCACCAGTTTGTTGCTGTAGAGTCAGAACGAACATCTGCAATACCCTGCTGGAGCGCTTCAACATCTGCGACAGTTGCTTCAGTGGCCATACCTAGAAGCAATTAGGAAACTTTTAGACACTCTTTCCCTCTTTCTGTTCAATAAAACCCATCCTCCAGTTACTTACTTTATGAAAGAGAGAGCTGGAAGGAAGAATGAGAGTGATTTATCCTTTAAGAAGGAGAGTTCAGCTAGCAAAAGAAGTGAGACTCTCTAGTCTGGGAAATTCTAAGAGGGCCAAAGTGGGTGGGTAAAAACACAAAACCAACTTTTAATTAACTTAAACTGTTAATAAACCACCCACTTAATAAACTAGGTGTATGTACGGTACTGTTGATTGACCAATCAAAATACAGATTCAAGTCCTTTTCGCGGGTAATTAACCAACTGATAAATCAGATAAAATGGCCAAGACTAGCTCCACTCGCCCTCTCTCTTCCTCCTCTTCCTCAGGGCTGGTCCCTGACCTCTTGCACCGCTTGTGTACTAATTTTGTGAAGGAGCAAGGTAGGGAGTTTGGTTTCTAAATAACGCCCACCAATTTGTATCCTAATTTAGATCAGATTAATAAGCTGTACAAGCTCTGTCTTAATATTATTTCAAGGTAAATAAATGGTTCTACAATTAAATATTAAAGGGAAATCGAGGGATTTTAAATATCGGCAATTTGCCCATTTGTAATTGAGCTTGCCACTGATTGCTTGAAAAATAAACAAAATTAGAGATGATTTTGCCAAAATTATGTCTTGTGTGTACGGTAATAACTAAACTCTGTTAATTTAATTTAATTTTATACATTAGTAATGTTACTCAAGGCGTGGTGTCTGACGAGTTCCGACTCTGCCAGAGAATACAAAAGAAGAGTGAGCAACAAAGGGAGGGGAGATGACGTGATTCATTTATGTAGCCATTTTCAGCTAAAACCATGAATAATAATGGAGTTAATATTTTTATTTATTTCCATTATGTTTGTTGCTAGTGGTTTTGAGGCAAAGAGAGGCAGATGCTCTTAGATTTTCTGAGTTGCACAGACAAATGAAATCACAAGTACAAAAGGATATAGCAATGAAGTTTAATAATGCACTATAACTAATAACTGATAGGGTTTTGTAAAGGACACTATAGCATTGTTACAGTTCTTTTATGTTCTGTCTGAAGATGGCGAGAAGACATCAGGAGAAGTAAGAAAATGGCATGTACAATGTATACATCAGGGTTTGTCACAAAGCATGCTAAGTGAGCTAAACAGCATGAGCTTCATGAGCTGACAAGCACTACAATACAGTACATGGTATTTGGATTTTGGAGCAACTTTAAAAATTCATAAAAAATTAATTTTGATCGGAATGAGCTCAAACTTTCTACCCAATATAAGAACATGTATATGCATCAGAAAAAATTATAAGAATTGAGAATTCTCTCCCAGTCATTTTTGATGAAATTTAGCCAAAGTCCCTGTACTATAGTACAGGGACTTTGGCCTGATTTTGGAGCAACTTTAAAAATTCATAAAAAATCCAAATGTGATCGGAATCAGCTCAAACTTGCTACACAACATAAGAACATGTATGTGTATCAGAAAACATTATAAAAATTGAGAATTCTCACCTAGTCATTTTTGGTGAAATTTGGCCAAAGCACCTGTACTATAGTACAGGGACTTTGGCTTGGTTTTTGAGCAACTTTAAAATCCACTGACAAGAAGCTCCATGAGCACTATACCAACTTCTGTGAGAGACCCTGATATCTATCTCTTTTAACATCTCTTATTGTATTATTAACGTCAGATCAGAGATACTTTTCTAATGGAGTCAATGAATCTGCCAGCTGCACTATTACCATCATCTTATAATCCAAAAGGACAAGGTATTATTGTTATTCCATATTCTCTCTCCCATCTCTTTTCTTATTCCTTCTCTCTCTGTTCCTTTCCTCAGGTGTCCCTAAGAAGAAGTTCCATTCTTCAACTCCACACAGTGTCTCCTTCAGTTCAAGTGGTTTAGGGAGCAGCTGGAGATCAGATCCTCCGTCAACAATAAGAGGACACCACTCAACCATAAATGCAAGGTGACTATAATAATAATTATTAATATGGCCTATTGTGCTTTGTATAATAATAATAATAATAATTAGTGATTCCAGTGTTATGCTAAAAGATCAGAGCACTTCAACTTCAGTACGTCATCCTCCACCTACTTCAATTAGGATACCAGGTATTTAATTAATGGGTGTGACCTGCAATTTAATTATTAGTGGGTGGAATATTAATGCATAATATAATATAGCTTAATAATATTAACTTATAGAAAATAATTTAATGATTTATTGCAGCTGCATACAAATTAGTGTTAATATTATTTATAAATGTCCTCTGCTAGTAGCCATATTTCATTGTGGCGACCAAAGAACCTGTATGGTGGATCATAACCAGCTGTGAAGGTGTAGTCCTTCACGTAGTCTTTCCCGTCCCTTTCGAGATTACTAACGAGAGTCTCTGTATGTTCTTGGACCTTCTTATCATTTTCATATCCGCCAAACGACGCGACGTATGCCGTCATAGCCGGAAGATTGATTATGCTTACTGATTGGTCGCTTGGCGGGGGTGTGTTCTCTTGGTGAGAGAAAGGGACAAAGAACATCACAGTAAAGTTGGACTCACAAGCTGGGCCCTGTCCAGGGACTATTTTAGTGGCCACTGGTACTGCCATTGGTACTTTGGTCTTTGTTGAATTGTTTCCAGTGATGTACTTGAAGAGTTTCCGGAAGCCACTCATTATTGCACTTTTCCTATTCATCGAGGAGATTGTTGTCCCGACCCATTTTGAGGGCTCGAATTGTCGTATCTCGTAGCCATTCATCTCTGTGGCTGTGAATTTTGGACAGTCCAACCCATGAGCAAATGATGGAGGCTTGTCTGAAGCAGATGTGGCCATTAGTCTAATGATACTGAGAGTTTGTATGGAAATAGCTTCCTTTAGTACTCCTAGCCTGCTGTGTACTAGCATGCAGCTCAGAATGGTGCCTGACTCCAGGATATTTTTGTATATTATTGGTTTATCTACATGCATCTGTTTGAATGCGATTATGTAACTTTGTGTAATATGATGTCATTCATTGCTTCATTATCAAATGTTATACAATACACTTCCCAATGAATGAATAATAGTATCACAGTTCACACTAGTGACTGCTCAAAGAGTTGTGCAATTGATAATAAGACAGCAAATCAGTAAGACTGCTCCTCAAGAATTGTGTAATTGAAAGTAATTTTATTTATTAATAAAAAAACAAAGAAGCTTTATGCAGCAAGTTCTATTATTTTGTAGCATTAGAATATTACAATTAAATAAAATAGTATTTTGGTTAATGTTCCTTTTAAGCTGCTACCAGCCACACTTCATTATGGCGGTCGATTATTTTAAAAGGAGAATCGTACTCTGCCGTAAACGAGAAATCATGCACGTACTGCACGCCAGCAGCTGTCAGCGCAGCCTTCATCTCCTCGGTGTGCTTTTTTAGATCGTCGTTACTCTCAAATCCACTGAATGAGTCAACGTAAGCTGTGAGGGCTGGGAGAACTTGAACGAATACTTTGGGGTCACTGGGAGTTGGAGTGTTTGCTTGAAATGCAAAAGGGACAAAGAAAAACACCGTGAAGTTGTACATGCTCCCGTCTAGAGGAACGACTTTGGTTGCTACTGGGACTGCCATTGGTATTTTCTGATTTTGGCTATTGGCGCCAGAAATGTAATCAAATAGCATGTGGAAGGCTTGGCTGCCAGCCTGTGTGAAGCTGTCCCCTCTGATGACTGTTCCAACCCATTTTGATTGCTCGTATGAGCGTATCTCGTATTTGCCCATCTTTCCTGTTACTTTATATACGGGACAGTCTAACCCATGGCAGAACGAGGGAGGATCACTGGCTTTCAGCGAAGCAGCTGAAATGAGTGTGAAGAGAAGAGAGGCAATGCCCAGAGTTTGAATTAGCTTCATTTTCAATCGTTAAAAGAGTAATTAACTGATTACTATAGATGTTGGAGATGAAAATGTTGTAGTAGCTTGCTTGGTTTTATAGTACATGCAGCTTCCTTAGTTTACTGGGTTTGTTTCAGTATACTAACTGCATACTATCAGCAACTACATGTAGCATTGTTATTCAATATCTCATCACTTTATTATATTCATGTACATGCATGTGCTGTGGTCATTCATATTGAATAATATTGTGCTCTGCATGTGTTTGCTTATTTTATGGCTACTCGGCTAGTTGTTGATATATTTGCTGGCGCCATTTTATAATTCTATTTCAAATATTGTCGATAATTATCATGAAGCAAAAAAGGATACAAAAATGATAAACAGAAAAAGACAATAATTGCAATATAGTCTACATGTATTAATGTGTCCTAAGCGGGTGTTGTGTTTAAGCTCCTATAAGCCAGACCTCATTATGACGTCCAATGACCCTGAAAGGAGGATCATAGCCAGCTGCGAAAGAATACTGCTGAACAAATTGAACGCCATATTTTGTCATGGCATTCTTTAACTTCGTGGTCTCTTCTTGTTCCACTTTATCACTCATGTACCCACCAAACTGTCCAACGTATGCTGTGAGAGCTGGAAGACTTGCAATAGATAGAGTAGGGTCAGTGGGTATGGAAGTGTTGCTCTGGTAGGCAAATGGTACAAAGAAGAGAACGGTATAGTTGCTCTGGCCTTGGGGGAGAGGGACTATCTTGACTGCTACTGGAGAGGCCATTGGTATTTTAATTCCATCTTTGTTGGCTCCTTCGATGTAATCAAAGAGCTTTTTAAAGCCTTCTTCAGTTGCTTGACTGTAGCTATCACTTGTAATGGTTGTTCCTACCCATTTTGATGGTTCGTACTGTCGCTCTTCATAATCGTCAATCTTCCTTGTAACTGTGTATTTGGGGCAGTCTAAACCATGACAGAATGAAGGCTCATCTCTTATTGAGGCAGCAAGACTAAGAGTAATGAGAGCAGCTAGCACAACTAGAAACTTCATTTTCATTTGGAGTTAGTGTGCATAAGATAATGATGGATGTTTCTTTTATTCTGCATCTCACTTCCTTAGTTTACAGAGTTAAACCAGTATATTCTCAGTATACCACCACACATTGTTTATTATAAAGTTATGTAACGTTACAAAATGACTGTTATTTCATGTATTCTATTAGTTATTATTATCTAATGTACAGTTGGTGCTGATTCCTTGCATGTGCTCTTGTTATTCCATTATCCTTGTGCCCTCTCTTATCATGCACACAGTCCATCAGTGGGTGCACATGCTTGCCAGCTCATTGTTATATCAACTTTTTTAACACCTCCTCCTTGTTAGGTGACCTTTTAAATGAGAGGTCAAGCTACCAATATGTTTGATATTGCTTCATTTTCATACAAGTACCTTAATATTTAGAATTTTCTTATACAAATTAATGCGTGTTTAGCTCTTTTGGTGGAGAATAAACATGTTTATGATTATCTACAGTAAATTGCATAATGTTATACTGAGTCAAGCTTATACTGTTGTTTATTATTCAAGTCTAGATCTATGGGAAAGTGCTTTATTGTATGCACTTTATTGTTTGCTATGTCTATGCAGTTGCCTACAAGATCCAGTTATTATTTTTATCTTAATTCATTTTAACTTCATTGAAATTTTAATGTTTATTATTAAAATTTTAGTAAGCAAAAATAGCACAATAACATATAATAATAATAATTATTGTTATTATTATTATTATTAGTTATTATTGATAGTTCAATTAGTTTTTGGCTAAGAACCATATCTCATTGTGCCTGTCAATCTTCTTATCTGGCGAATCATACTCTGCAGTAAAGTAGTACTCCTGGACGAAATCAATGTTATTATTAGCCAGGGAAGTAGCAAGATCTGTGGCCTGTGTCACGAGATTGTCCTCATTCTCAAAGCCACCAAACGAGCCCACGTAAGCAGTGATGGAGGGAAGATTAACAATGGCAATGCTGGAGTCTGTGGGGACTGGAGTATTGTCCTGGTACTTGAATGGGACAAAGAACAGGATGGTGAAGTTGGATTCACAAGCAGGGCCTTGTCCTGGTTCTATTTTAGTAGCCACTGGTGTAGCCATTGGTATTTTTACATTCCCCTTGTTGGCCCCATTCCTGTACTTGTATAGCTTGCTGTAGCCTGTGTCCAGTGCACTCGTCCAGTTCATTGCTCCTATTGTTGTCCCTACCCATTTTGATGGATCGTATTTGCGTTCCTCGTAGCTCTCCTTCTTAGCAACGACTGTGTATGTAGGACAGTCAAAGTCACGACAGAATGAAGGCTTCTCTGAGTCTTCCTTGTACAAAGAGAAAGCTCCAGTGATAGAGAAGAGAAGGACAAGAGCTCCACTGATTGCTAGCAGCTTCATTCTTTATTCTAATGACTGGTATAGGTGCAGATCAAGTTGCAACTGCTTCTTTTATTCCTTGGCTTTGCACTTGTTGAGTTCAGACTGATGCTGTAAGATTGCAGCTAAGCATATTCATGATTATTAATAATGATATTTATGGCTGTCTGTTATTCTTTATTGCATAAACTATGACGTGTAGAAGCACTTGTATATAGGTCACACTTGGAATTGTTAGTGGTAGCAGATATGGCGTGTGACTGCTATTTATTCCTAATACATTAATACTATCAGAATAGTTGACCTGTTTTTTGTTCATGTTTAAGTCAAGCAACATGATGCCAGGACCTTTAGTGTAGTTAAGTTTGGAGGGAAACATGAAATACTGCAGCCAATAAGTTGACTAGTGTCCACCATATTTGATACATATACATGTACATACATGTGCAATGTGGTGTGTGTTTTTATGTTGTATAAAAATTTGAGCTGATTTCGATCAAAATTAGATTTTTAATGAATTTTTAAAGTTGCTTCAAAATTGGATCAAAGACCCTGTACCATAGTACAGGGTATTTCATTAAAAATGGCTCTGAATATGTTGTGTAAAAGAGATAGTAATGGGGTTTAAATGCCATGTAATATGCTGAGTACATCAAGTTTTCTCTCTCCCTAATATAGTGTTTGATCCAACTGAGTCAGAATTACCAGAAGATGCTTTAGTTCAGGACCTTCTCTTTGTGTTTCAAGGCATCGACGGAAAGTACCTATCAATGAAGAAAGGACCTGAAGGATTTAGAATACCCAATGAAGTACTAATCAGTGATAACTAGCAGAATTTTAACTTATGATTTTTTTTGTCAGTTAATGGTACATCCAGCCCACTTGGAGCATTGTTATAAGCTAGCCGAGTTAGGCTGGCTCCATCATAAAATCAAGGCATACATTGACATGAGGAAACAAGACTTTTCCCTTGGCCTGGTTGTACAGGTTAGTATTACTATTGTGAATTTATTAGAATTTCAGTTATCAAACTATTTTCAGAGTTTCCTCTCAGCTCTCTCTCTCGAGCTGACCGAGTACTACCGTCTCGTTGCTGTACTGGAGGCACAACTCTCGGCTGATCAGGAGTCATCTGGTCATGTTACCTCTGATAAACTGAGTCTCCGAAGACTAGTGGTATGGACCAGAGAACCTCTTGAGAAACTAAGAACCCTCGCCATACTGGTCGATGGGTGTAAAAGTAAATAATTATAATTACAATTAAGCTTCTATTTTTTTCTTTTTTTTTCTCTCTCTCCCTCTAGACGTGAGAGGAGGTGCACTATTGTCTACATTGTATTTATATGCTCAGCATGGAGACCCCGAAGTAATGAGACTTGTGAAGCACTTGCTGAATCAAGTCAGTATTTATTTTAAAATGATTGTCTTATATTTATTGTTCTCTCTCTATCCTCTCCTTCTCCCTATTAGGTGTACAGACCAATCAATACTCTATTGAATGCCTGGGTGTTTGAAGGACAGCTCCAAGATCACTACAATGAAGTAAGCTAGGGAAGGATAGCTTCTTTTTGTGTAGAGAAGAAATATGAGAGGGATGAATGATCATTGTTATCTTTTAGTTTTTCATTTTGGCTGATTTGAAGGCTTCAGATGATAGGCTGTGGCATGGAAAGTACACCATAAGGTCTAACATGTTGCCCAAGTTTATACCAGAAAGCCTAGCTAGAAAAGTAATGATTGAATCTGTGTACATATACATGTATACGTGTGGGTGTGCGTACTATTTATTTCCTACTCAGATATTAACCGTTGGGAAGTCTATTAGTTTCCTTCGTCAGAAATGCAACGATCAAACTGAACTATTCACACCTTCACAGAAGAACTGGTTCAAGAAAGGTAATGTAGTTCTAATAATGGTTTTATTATTTTCATTTGCTTATTTTAGGTGATTGTACATTTGATACAATGACTGGTGATCCCCTCTCACACATTATTAATATCACTTACAGGGACACTAGCAAATATTTATTAAATATACTTAACACGCAGTATCACTTAAAGGACCATCTTGGGGTAAGTGGAAGAGAGAGAGAGAGGGGGCGAGGAAGTGAGAATAAAAAGTCTATGTAATTTTTCAGAAGATCGTAAAGACAAATTTAGTATTTAAGAACCTAATAAATGTTTTTTAATTATTGTTATACTTGTTTTTTGGTAGGCATTCCGCAAGTATCTGCTATTAGGTCAGGGAGACTTTATTAAGCACTTGATGGACATTATTGAGTAAAATGCTTTTAAGAATATCCTCATATTTATCTTCTTTCCTTTAGACGTGAGCTTGCTAAACCAGCCACCAGCTGCTACGTACACAATTTAACCGCCATATTGGAATCAGCCATCAGAGCCACTAATGCACAGTATGATGAACAAGACGTCCTCAGCAGGCTTGATGTCCAATTGCTTGATGTTAGTATGATCACTCATCAACGTGGACTAGTTTTAATGTTTAAATATATACATGTAGGCTTCACCTGGTGATACTGGCTGGGATGTGTTTAGTCTTTTGTATAGAGTTGATGGTCCTATTAGCACTGTTAGTTTACATATTAGTAGTTGTAGTGATGTATTCCTCTGTCTTTATGCCAGGTGTTTACTCCTGATACTATGCTTCGTTATCTTCAAATATTTAATTTCTTGTGGAGAGCAAAGAGGATAGAGTTCATACTGGCTGGTATGTGGCGTAAACAAATGAACCATCAGAAGCAACTCAGAAACATACCAGGTACTTTTACTCAACACCGGACCCAGTCCTAATGTTATAGGACCCGTTTTCATCATCAGACCCATTAAGAACTTAATTCTTGTGGGACCTAATTCAATATCAGATCTATTATATGATTTTATTTTCTTTTTAGATTTCCATGTTTGTCTTCACCAATGTCAGTTAATTACAGGCGCTTTAATTCATTTTATTTCTCAATTACAGTATTACATCATGTTCGAGGTTAGCTTCTCATTGCATATAATTGAGCCACTTATATAAACTTTCACCAAACTTTTTTTATTATTCTCCCTCCGGCTCTTTCTCTCAATAGTGTTTGGAGTGTTCTTGGGCCGAGTTATTGAAGTGCATTGATGGTGCTGTTGATCTTGATGAAGTTATAACTGCTCATTCAAAGTTCCTTGATGTCATTGTAACACGCTGTCTCCTTGATCCTGCATCACAGGTACAAGTTTAGCTTATTATCACTATTATTATTATTATTATTATTATTATTATTATTATCATTAAAATACAGTAAGCAGTTAAATGAGCCCATCAACAGAAGGAGGCAAGAGGGGATTATGAGTGGCCCATATATTATTATTATTATTATTATTATTATTATTATTATTATTATTATTATTTATTATTATTATTTATTATTATTGGGGCCTTTCTCTCTCATTGTAGCCCCTACTAACTCAACTAAGGACACTGTTTGATCGTATTGTTGAATATCAGAACAAGCAGGACAGCATGTTTGCAGCATTTCTAACTGAAACTGAGAGAAGAAAGCAATATGAGCTTACTAAAGAAAGCAGAGCAGATCAAGTGAGACATTTAATTGCTATAACTTGAAAAATTTAAGTCGGAATTGGTTCAAACTTTTTACATAGCATAAGGACATCAATATGTATTGGAAAATGTAATAAAAATTAGGTGTGATTTTTTAGCCATTTTTTGGAAAAAAGCATGGGCTATAGTACAGGGCATTTTTCAGATTTTGGTGTATTTCATAAAATGGTCATAACTCGAAAAATTAAAGTCAGAATTGGCTCAAACTTTCTACAAAGCATAAGGACATCAATATGTATTAGAAAATGTAATAAAAATTGGGTGTGATTTTTTAGCCATTTTTCGGAAAAAAGCATGGGCTATAGTACAGGGCATTTTTCAGATTTTGGCATATTTCATAAAATGGTCATAACTTTAAAAAATTAAGTTGGAATTGGCTCAAACTTTGTACATAGCATAAGGACATCAATATGTATCAGAAAATGTAATAAAAATTAGGTGTGATTTTTTAGCCATTTTTTGGAAAAAAGCATGGGCTATAGTACAGGGCATTTTTCAGATTTTGGCATATTTCATAAAATTATTACATACATTTATTTGGAGCAAAACCTAGTGATTTATACATTGTAATTTGTAAAGATCATTATGAGAATTAACATTTATTATTATTATTATTTCTTATAATTTAGGGATTATGGGCAGAGACACAGGATGAGACTGAGAGAGAGTACCAGCTCAGAGATGAGTTCTATCAGTCCGTCATATTAGACTACCAGTCACAATTCACTATACTAGAACACTCCTATAACGTAAAGCAATATTCAAATTTGTTTATCTAACATATTATTTTTAGGATACTCTGAAGAGCTTCTTGGAACGTGTGTCAGATCATCTAGACGAGAGTCTACAGTTCTTGGCTCGCCGCCTTGACTTCAACAGGTTTTACAGAGGAACAGAAACTGTATCACTCTTAATGTAACAAATACCATATCATTAACAAGAGTACATATTACTGAAATTAACAGTAATTTATTATCTGTTCAGTGTCCAGTATGAGCTCACATTATTCATTAGTATTGAATTTACAGATATCAGTTAAAAGTGACGTCTGTTTTATAAATATTAGCAGTTCTGGTTGTTGCTATAGTTTTGTTACATGTAAGTAAAATATTTTAATTAGGAGAGAGGGTGTGTGTGTGTGTGTTACCTCTATTTGCAAACAAACATTTTTGTTACGCCACTACGCGTGCCTCTTCTCTTAATTGGTATTCATAGGTATGCACACATAAAAATTCAAAAATACAATCATGATTGGAATCAGCTGAAACTTTCTACTCTATGCATCAGAATAATGACAAAAATGGAGAATTCTCTCTTAGCCAATTTTGATGAAATACTCTGTTATTGTCGCTATGCGTGATCAGCATGTAATTCTAGTGTCTGGAACGCTTTGTAGTGCAATACTTATGAAAATAATAACAGAATAATTTTTTAATTGTTGTGATAGCAGTAGCTATAACTACTACAGATATGTGATAGCCTGATATGTGGATATTTGATCACTGGCTGTCTGAGAGAGAGTCTATCAGGTGATCTTTTTATTAGAGGAAGGAGACAGTGAAAGAGTGGGAGTGAAATACATTATATAATAAAGAGGGGGTAGTCCTGTGTACTATACTTATATTAATGGTGGGAGTGTTTATACATGTACATATACAGTGCATTGATTGATACGTGTTTATTTGTGTGTTAATTGTGTGAATCTCAATACAAAAGTGTTATGACTAAAGGTAGAGGGTATTATTATCAAACACTAGTTTACAAGTGGGCAAACTAACTGGGTGAGTCTTTATGTGAATGCCCTAGCTGCCAACTGATAATGATACTCTCTTTGTGTATTGTGTTTTGTCCCTTCTTTCCTTTGTTTGTCTTTGTTGTACATTCCCACTGACCGTTTCTATGACTCTTGCACTTTCATCTCCCTTCACCTGTACCTATTATCCATGCTTTGGGCCTTTTGTTTATTTATTCATTTATTGCCTTTTAATAAAAATATTTTTCAAAAGAACAAATCTTGCACAACTGACACCGATAAAATAAATACCAACGATAATGATAACAATAATAAATCATTTACATGTAATGGACAATGAGACTTGAGTATCAATAAAAAAGAAACATGCGTACATGTGCGGTACATGTATATGAAAACATTAAACTATTTAACTATTAACAGATACACTATCACAATGCTGCTGTCTATATTAATGAATGACTGGTCTTTTGGTGAAGTTCTTTACGTTAAGAGTTCTGGCTCCAGCTTATTCTTGTCTCGTGTTGTTATCTCGGACGCTACAGGCAGTTTACCCGGAGTCTCCCTCCCACCATCCACCAGTTTACCATTAAGACTATCCTTCCCCAGTATCTGGAACAGCATGAATATATTGTCCCCGTTATGCTGGTGTATGTTTGGGAGTGCTTCCGTGATGAAGAAATGCTTTCCGAGTAGATCCGTTTGGCTCGAATTTTTGACTGCCAGGTAGCTATCGTGCTTAAACTTCCTCGTACCGCAGGTTATGTAAAAGGCATCTTCACCAGCAATCCATTCGGTGAGGTGACTCTTACAGTACCTCTTTGATAAACGGCTACGGAGAGAAAAACGAGTATTCCGTACTTTAACGCTGTGTTTCATGAGCAGCGGACCACGACAGTAGCCCTTTGAGTTGGGACATGCTTCTAGATAGCGTCCAATGGCGGTACTGTCTTTCTCTGCATTCTGTTCACCCACATCCTCGCCGTAGTACGTAATGTGGAAGTCAAAAGGGTTGCCTCCGTCGTCGGTCGGGTGGAAGTAGAAGAGAGAGGCTTCAGCTGGTATCTCTGTACCCTCAACCTCGTAATTATTGAACTTGTTGACAGTGAGGTATATGTCTCTGCCTGTACACTTTATAAGGAATGGACCACCTTATATGGAAAAGAGAAAGAGAGAGAAATGATTAATTTTATGTCTGCCAGTGTGTCTGTGTGTATTGACTAATAAATGGGTGTGTGTGTGTGTGTGTGTGTATTTGTGTGTCTCATTTGATGATAGAGACAGTGAGGTGAGGCAGTGGTATTATTTGAACTTAGCATATGTGTTAACAACTATTGGAATTTGTGAAAAATTTATTTGGTAGTTTTTACAGTAAAGAGCTAAGCATTTAATGACATTAATAGTGTATTGTTGTGTATTATTTACCTTCAGATGCAGGTGTTCCTTCCATGTATTCTTCTATAGCTTCGCGGAATGCTGCCTTCACAGCTGGTACCCTCAACAGTCGAGTGATTGGTTGTACTTGTATGCTCAGGACGACCTCATTGCTCGATCCAATCTCGACTTTATCATCCTCCCCAATGCCACCAATTTTCCTCACATGTGACATCTTTGTTGCAAGTTTTGCCATCTCTTTCGGTTTTTGTTTTCCAAATCCGTTCATAGCCGATTCTGCTAGCGAGTCCAGTCCAAACGCTCCTCCCTGGGCCAGTTGCTTGTGATATTCTCCATCACTCATTATCCTGTATTCAGCAGCTCCTAATCTTATGCTGGTCACGTAATGAGTCACACGTAGTGCTTGGACTATCTCTTTGCTTCCTCCCTTTATCTCGTTATCAACACGGACCAAGGACTTGTTTGAGTTGAGTAGTTTGGTGAGCTGGTCGGCATAGTTGTTATCGTCAAACCTTATATCCAGTCTCTGGCCTATTGTTGTGCATTTGTGTGCTATTCTATGGAGGAGCCATTGGTAGACCCGGTCCTCAAAGCTCAGTGCACTGTTCTGTGTATTGTGGACAACCTCAGCTGCATCTCTTGGAACAAGGTGAGCGTCCTTGTTGTGACGATGGTGGTCACCGTCACTGTATTTCTCCTCCGTATCACTCTGGAATCCAATGGTCCTTGTCAGTACGCGACGTCCAATGGTTTGACGAGAGGAATTGATGCAGCGATTAGTGTCTGCCTCAACGTGTATTTCTATTGGAGCCTCTGGTGGAGTGAGTGATGCTTGGAAGAGCTCATCCATGTCTGCTATACTAGAAATCTCATTCTGATAGCTGCTCAGGACTCCTCCCTCATTGGTTTCCATTATGCTGTGGTGGACCCGCCTGATCTGAAACGAGGACTTGTTTGTCCACGGAGTTTTTGACGTTGCATCCAAGCCACGTCCGAGTCCAAGGGAAATTGCAGACTTCATGAGTTCAATTTTTGCAGGATCAATCCTTTGCTGCGAGTATGAGGATTTCTTGCTGTGCCTAGGCAGAGTCCCTGAGGCTGTCATTGGTGCTGTTATGAAAGTAACCGGGGGATCTTTGTTGAGCACTGTCTCTGACGACGTCATGAGTAGCGGAGGCATCATTGGTATGTTAGCAATAGCCGGCTGAGACATGCCCCTCTTGAGTGAGTGCTGCTGGTCTCCAAATGGATACATTCCCCTAGTGCTGCTTATGTTTATACCACTGCTGGCCGGTGTCATGGGGAGAGGTTGAGTGGGTGGTTGGTATCCCGTGGGTGGAGCGAGAGACTGTGCAAGGATCTGCTGTTGGGCCAGCATATGTGAATTTGTCGTCACATGGTGTGTTGGAGTCTGTTGGGTCTGTGGGGGGATTGACTGCTGTGGAGTGGTTGGCATTTGCTCCACAGTGATTGGTACTGGCATCGGTTGTGCTTGGCCTATTGATGCTCCTCCATAATCACCTCCTCCTCCTCCTCCTGTGAGTGAGAGAGACTCTGCCATTTCTAAATCATCACTGCCAGAGAACTGCTCAATGTCATAGCTACCATCTTGCATGATTGTTGGAGTAGAGAGTGTGGAGGATGGTCTTGGATACATGCCTCCATGCTGCTGGTGGTACATCATTCCTTGCAAGGCTGCTGCCTGCTGGGCCTCTAGAAGCTTCTTTTGCTTCTTCTTCTTTGATCTCTTGAGCAACATCATGAGGGAACTAGAGATAGTGACAAAGAGAGAGAGAGATAGAGTGGGGGAGTGTTAGTGACTGTCGGTAGGAATGCAGTAATACTGCTGTTTATATACTCTTCTAATTGCCTCATCAGTTGCCAGGGAACTAATTAATAACCAAAGTTATGCCAGTCTTTATCCTCAGAAACTGCCTAAAGTAATATCAACATTATTCCATGTATGGTTGTACATTGTAACTGATACATACAACACCCATACATTCAATGTGCATTGAAGCTATTTCTCTGTGTGGGGCTGCTCCAAAACTAGAAAAGGGAATCATTATTATTAAACAATAGCAATGTCTTTTATTAAAATATCTTTATATTTTACAGAATAATACTTAACTGTATTATTATACTACTACAGTTAATTATTAATTATGCTCTCGATGAAGAAAATTAAAAGATAAAGTGATGGGGAGAGCAGAAATATTTTAAAACATTATGTACTATGAGAGAGAAAGAGATGAAAATCATTGTTAATATGAGTCCTATCTTCCTGTACTAGATGACTTTATTTTTGAATTGTTGCTACTGGTGCTTGCTTTAGGCAGCCCCAGGGTCCAGTCGTGGAGGAGAGCAACTAGCTGTTTCTTACGGAATCTCTCTGCTTCTTTAATGACGTCTTGAACAAAAGCTCTCTTTGTATCTGCTGTACCTTGTATTGTGTCAAGGTGCTGGAAAATTGGATCATAATCTGTATGAAGAGAGAAAGAGTAAAGTCCAGGAAATTTGCAACTATTTATATTAGCTGCAAAGTAATTACATTATACTTATTGATGCTTTGAGCTGTAAATCAAGTGTCGACAAATTTTTAAAATTTCTAAAATAGCAAGAGTGTGTAAAGGTAATGATGAAGGAATGAGGGTTGAATGGATTCTTAGACACACTTGCTAGATTTTGTAATGCAGTCTGCACATGTAGGGTCTCTTGTAGGCACAGTATTTCCATAAAGAGTGTGCATAAAACTCTTACAAGCCAGCATAAGTCCATAGCTATACATTATTCGCATAAAGAGTGTGTGGGAAAGAATTTCCACGAAAGAAAAATAAATAAGATGAAAGGGAGAGAAGGGAAGTTATGAATTGAGTGATATAACCGTAAAGAATTGTATTTATAACAGATTATGTCTACATGAAATTGATACTCTAGTCCTGCATGTAATCTGGTGGCTATCCTTTAACAATCCTCTCACTCTTTCTCTCATGACAGGAAGTCACTCTCTCCTGATTATGTCTGTCAGTCTGTCTCCATATCCTCCATGTTACAAAGTCCTTGACCTGTAGTGCAACATTATACATGTATGATGGATGCCACAATCAATTAGCTTCCAGGCATCTAGTCCAGACAACTTTTACTAGACTGGAGTCAGTATACTGCTACTCTTAAACAGGACTGCATAAGTATGTACTATGATCATTAACATAGCATTTTTATTAGACCATCTGTGATAATCTGACTATGCTGTCTGGATTGTTTTCAGTGTCTACAGAATTATCATTTTTAAATCCAGCATGCCGGAGCCTAATAATAAAGTAGTTTTCACTGCAAGTAAATGCCTGCATGCCCTTGATTAATACTACAGCTATGGCATTATCAATGCAATCATAAAGCTCATGTTTCAGAACATACTCTAAGTGTGTTCTGATATAGTTTGGTAGTCAGACAATGATGTAGGAAAATGTGTTCGATCACTTGTTTCCTTGTCTTTACCATCATTATACACTGCCAATACAATGTGCACTATACCAACACAGAGTCAAACATACCATCTACTACTACTAATAATAATAAGAAATACATTCACTATACAGTATAGCAATTAGGCCCTGGAATACAATGCATTATAGAGACATACACATAAAATACTAATAATAGTGCGTGTGTGTGCGATAAATTTACTAGGATGAGTATACATAAATTAATAAAGTCTGGTACTATTACAAGAGAGGGAAAGTAAGCATTGATGATTAGGTAGTCTACTAATAGTCTGCCATAGTAAGACTGTTATGATAAGTGAGTGATAGTTTTGTGAAGGAGTGACTAATAATAGTATCAGGTAGTAGTAGTAGGATTATTAACAGTATTTATGGAGCATGTCAATGTACCAACAAATAGTTAAGCCCCCTCTCACTCTTTTGTACATTCAGCTAGTCTAATAAGCCAAAGCTGTGATCCAAGAGGTGCAAAAAATGTTTAAAAGAGCATATTTCTAAAATTTCTTATGACAACAGAATTATTTTTAAAATGACACGACATAACTATAGGACAACTCCTACCTACGTGAAGTTGCCAGGGGAGGCTATGACGGACAAACAACAGCACGCCCTTAATAAATGTATGGCAAATAGAAACCATGAGATGAATTAGACACACTATTCAGTTATACCAAAAGTTACAAATTATTATTAAAAATGGGAAGTGAAGGTAAACTTATAGTACTACGAACATACCTACATGTAATAATGTTACACAATGTACATGTAGTACATGCATACACATATTTATGACATGTGAATGTGTTCTCCTAACACTTTAATGAGGAGGTGTAGTATGAAAATATAAAGCTCCAAACTGTATTAAACATGAGGCATGCATGCACGTTGCATTTACATGTTCAGTTTGTTCTGTACATCCAAGTATGATTGTACAGGTGTGCTCTAGTAGCCTATAAACTATAAGGAGGGACTGGAGAGCGATGCAATTTAAAGCATGGTCCATTAATAATTGCCATTCTTTATCTAGTGGGAGAACTGTCCAATAGTTGTCACAGTGACAATATTTAATTATACTAATTGTTAAAACAATGATAACAAAAATGCTGTAGCACTTACTTTTGCTGTGTTTTCGTATCTCCTTTGTTATGAGTTGCTTTATCTTGAGGTTCTCCGTCATTTGCTTTTTCTTAAACTCTTCATTGAGTACCTGAGACGCCGACGAGAGGAGACCACTCGGTCTTATAGTAGGAGGAGCAGCGAGTGGTACAGTGAGAGGAGAGGGAGAAGGAGACTTGCCGGTATTTGATTTACCAATGGAGTCTATGCTATTAGCAGGCTTAAGAGAAGAGGAGAGCTGTGATGGGTCTCTTTGAAACTTTTTAGACGGAGGGAGGTGAGTGATAGAGGTAGGGGAAGGAGTCCTCTTTCTATTTACAGGTAGTAAGGAATCTTTTAAAGTCTCGCTATTCAACATAAGCTCTCCTTTCTTATCATTGACTGAGTTAGACTCAACCTGTATTGAAGGGACTGGCAATGGTCGGGGGTCTGGTGATATTGGGTCTTTATCGGACCCAGTGGCAGGTGGGAGCGCATCAGCTAGATCCATAGCCTCTTCGTTTGATTCGTTCATCATCGACGAGGAATCAATCTCAATCACTTCTACGTCAGTCGTCACGGCAGCAGAGGGCGTGGCATTGAGTCCACCACCATTATTCCTTACTTCATTAGATTGAGTTGGTTTGTGATTTTTATATTTCTCGTTTTCAACGGGCGGAGTCTGAGGGGGAGGAGGCATTGGAGAGGGGGAGCGAGGTCTTTGCCTACGAGAGGAGCGATGAGAAGAAGCACCTCCTCCTCCTCCTGGCCTCTTGTTCAACTGCTCTACCATTATCTCATCTGCTACATTACCCTGCATGCAAATAAAAGAGAGAGAGAGAGAGAGAGTGATAATAGAAAATTTGTAGGAAAGAAAGCAAAATGCAATCAAGAGAAAAGAAACATAGCCTTTCATACAGTATAATTTAAAAAGATATCTGTAATTTGTACATGCTCACATATATGTACACATCTCATTATAGCACGTCACACAACATTAGATAAGTATTCATTACGGTTGACAACAACAGCATTAGTGAGAGATATACTATACCATGTAATGCTATACAGTGCAATAGCAGTACTGATACTATAGTAGCGCACATTCCGTGTGAGTAACTGGATATAATTGGGTGATATTCAAGTTATGAGCACTATATCAATTTTGCCACACACAATTAACAAGCAGTAATCCCATGCAGGTAACTAGGATAGAAGTGATAGTAGCTAGCAATCCTAGCATGTAGGCATGCAAAGAGCCAATTCTTTGTCGGGATGAGTTTGTGTAGCTAAAATTGGCTGCAGAAATGTTTATTCACTTAAAATTCGCTCTCTCCAGTGGATTCAATAGTAGACAGTAACTCTACACTATAGTGCTGAAATTACTGGATTATTACCAGAAACACATTATCACCGTACATCAATGCAATAAAAAGATTGAGAATACAATATTTAAATTACTAATGTCCTTGCTATGCCTATTGTGATTGAGATAATTCAAAGGGAAGCCACTGTCTGTCTGTGTGTGACTGTCTGTGATATTGATGAGAAATAAGCAAAAGGTTAATAAAGTTAAAGTCCAGACACAGTATAAAGAAATTGTCTTCAACATAAAGAAGGAGGAGTTACAAATGACATTAAAGGTTAAAACAGGTGCACATTATCCATGATCACATGTAGTGTAACCATCAACGCGCTCATACATGTGCACTTTATAAATGAATTACTGTTGAATAACATTCCATAACAGTTTCCTCATATGACATAATTACAAAACCTTACAACTATATAAAAACAATGACATATTTCGATAGCTCCGCATCATGTTTTCTCTCTCCTTCGCTCTTTCATAATAGAAGTACGAGCGACTCCCTTTAAATCAATTTCAGGTAAAAAATCAATTTCCAGGAGACAAGAAACAGAATAAGGAGAGGGAGTGGTACATGTAGACATGTCATAATTATATAGATGCCATGTACATATGCTATGAATGACATCCACATGTACAGAAAAAGGTGCCACAAGTATTCCAGCATAATTATAATTTTATTTTTACATCATTATATAGTATTATATACAATGTACATTTACACACCTTATCTGATGGTTTTTCAAGTTTGAACGGGTTTCCAAACAGCTGCGTCCTAACGGCTCCAGTGTCCAGCTCACGCAATGGGTTTATCCTCTTGAGGTGTTTCTGGTAATTTCCCATCTGACCTATAGGGACCTGGTGCCTTGACACTACAAACACAAAAACAATATAAACATATCAGGACAATGTGAACATTACCTTCTTCAATGAGGTGAGGAGTGTTGGCTGAAGAGAAGAGGAAGTTAGCTCTCATCCTTGCTACCTGGCTCAGTAAGGATCTCCTTGGGACGTTGAAAGGATTACGATAACTTTGGCTTGATATTGCCTAACACACAACAACGTACTAATAGTGTACAATACACGTATGTAGACTTTACTGATAGTCCTAGTTCTTCATCAGTAGAGCCAATGGCTATGCTACTGCCATCTCCCAGATCAACTCTATAAATAATAATAATAATAATAACAACAACAATAATAATAATAATAATAACAATAATAATAATAATAATAATAATAATAATAACAATAATAATAATAATAATAATGATAAAATGACAATGAGAATCATAATGACAATAATGATAAGACTGATTCACTGTGAGTCTATATCTGTCTCTAATGATAATGATAATAATAATAAATACATGTATGTGACCAAATGACAAGAGAGACAGAGAGAAAAATTAATGTTTTCTGTGCTCCGCTTAGCATCTGAAATACATAGCTATAGACATTTTTAGAGACTAATTCAATCTCACTCTTCACATAACTGGATTGTCGACATTATCATGAGATTATGTCATCACTTATAAACGCACAGGTTAGGAGGAAGCAAGTCCAGGCAAATTGACTAGAGCATAATGTATAGTTGTACATTAGATCATTCATTCCTCTGATCGGGTTACTTTGAAATCAAATTACCATGAAACTCCAATAGACATGCGACTCATGACAAGCTATGATGACTGATAATGAATTACAGTACGTGTGTTGTACCATGTACATGTACACAACAGACATAGTGAATGCAAGCATAATGAATGCAGACATAGTGAATGCAAACTACATACATATTCTGCCCACACAAATTTACAGCCATACATAAATAGAGAGAGATATTTGAATAAAATTTATACTAAAAACGCTATTACAAATGAAGCTATTTTACACACATTTATCAACGAGCACTCACTGCACTATTATTACATTAATGAGCACATTAGTACTACGTGTAACAAAGAGCATTATAGTAACCTTAATGGATTTAGATCATTTATATTATATAACATGTATGTATTGCAATAGTGTTAATGGCTACTAGGAATTAATTTACTAATATTCGAGAAGGAAATGAAATATTATGATAACAAATAACTCCATAGCCGTAAGAAATTGTAACAAAATGTCATCAGTGTCACCCAATATTAAATATTGGAAAATGTCAATGCGTTTTAATCAAAATAATTAAAAATTCACGAAAACAATAACAACAAGATTCAAGATGAACCGGTACACTTTAAAATAGAATATTCTCAATTCTTGACAAAATAGTACCCTGTCTAGCACACGAACTTAACTTGGCCAAATTTTGGAGAAAATTTTAAAATTTGTAAAAAATCCAATTTTGATCGAAATCAGTTTAAACTTTCTACACAACATAAAAACATGTATATGTATCAGAAAAATTATACAAATGGATAATTCTCTCCTAGTCATTTTTGATGAAATTCTAAAATACTCTGTATTATAGCCTATGGTTTTTGACCATGCAAATATCCTGTAAAAATCAAATTTTTATCAGAATCAACAAATTTCTAAACAACATAAGAATATACAAATGTATCAGCTTCATTCAGCAAGATATTTATAATATAGGGACATGAAAGTTAATTACCTCCTTTTGCTATCTGTGGCTGTGTTGTTGCTGCTACGATTAGCTTGAGCATTTAGTTTTGCTAGTATTGAAGTCTTGGCCTTTAAAAGAAGAGAAAAAATTGATAATAAAAATCATTCATAATGTCCTACCAAGGCTCTCCCTCCCTCCCTCTCTCTCTCTCTCTCTCTCTCTCTCTCTCTCCCTCCCTCCCTCCTTCCATCCCCCCTCTCTCTCTCTTACTTGTTTCTTTAGCTTCTTAAGATAGTTAGTTATAGAGTAGCTCATTTGTCCATCAAATGAATCAGGTACTAGACTAGGATGAGCTCCCATTAGCTGCAGTGCTTTACGAAGAGGCTATAGTTACATAAGAAATAATAAATCAATAAAATTAATGTTTTATAAATTAATTACGCAAATTATTCTCCTTTATAATATCACGAGGACTTTATCATTTACCTGAGCATAATAGTTTGGGACAGTGCTGATATATTCCGCAAATTCCGAACGCCATTTTGACGTTGGCCTTAGCTGCAGACGCTGCAATTCCTCTATAAATATTAAGCAATCAATAATGATAATAATGATATTCTAATTATAAGCAAATTGAGAGGGGCCTACTCCTCCTCTACAATTTCTTGTGTATTGAAGAGGGGGGGTAGATAGGCCTGTGTTAAGTAACTGTTGTTTATATACTGGACAATATAAAGTATACTGCTGGAGTAGATAAGAATGAGCAATGTCAACAGAGTGGGAATGGAAAAGCAAATATTGTGAAATGAAAAGACAAACAGCAAAAATAATTACAGAAAATACAATAAAAATAAAAATAAAATAATAATAATAATAATAATACATGTAGCTCACCAATGAGTGGGAGGAGTTTAGGATAATTAAATGGCATCACAAAAAGGTTGACAAAGTTTCCAGTACTGCTGGTCTTGAGGTAGCCAAACGGTGACGAGATTCCTTTCTCCTTACCACAATCACTGATAAACACCTTTAGAAGAGAGAGGAGAGAGGGAAGAAAGATTGAGAAAATAATTTAAAAGAGAAATACATTCAATTACATAATAACACAATAGATCTAAGTGGAGAGGGATGACTATCGAGGATGGGTTAGGCGTCAACCCATCTCTATTCTCTTACTAAAATAACAATGACTTAATTAACCGATTATTTTCCTACTAACTTAATTTTACCAATTCTAATACTTTATTGTTGATGTTCCTGTTGTCTGTTTGTTTTAATCATAATAACACGATAGTAATAAAAATATATAATATTAATATTATTAATAAATAATAATTGTTTTAATGCTTTGTACCTGCCAGCACAAGTTAGGATCTCTTTTCTCCAGTATATGCTGTGTCAGAGGTGACGGCTCTAGCTCATACTTATCAAATGCAAAACTCTCCAAGAGTTTAGGTTTAGTGCTAGTAGCGCTGAACCACACTATGGGATGGACATTGCGCGGGACCTAAAAAAAACAAAATAAAATCATAATAACTAAAAAACGATAATTTACAAATTTTGAATAAATTAATAATTACATTTAAAAACTGAATCCATTATTATAGCTTTCTAAATTCATAACCTTAAAAATTATAGAAGCCATTAATTATGTATGTGTACACGATGTCTAATTTCATTATTATTTTATTGCTATCATTACATAAACAAGAACCTGATTAATATTATACTATAAATCTACAATAAAGTACACCATACAATGTACATAATAATTGCAACAACACACAAGCAAAAAGTGCCATAATAAAACATACACTGTACAACTATACATAATACATGTAAGTGATTACATATACTATCAGTAATTAACGCACCAATACAATATATACTTACTAGTAGAGACGATGAAGGATCAGGCCAGAATGATTCCGGTATCGGCCAGTGCCCGCTAGGTATATTAGTCTTTGGGTTTGGACGTACATATATCATCTTTCTTGTATTGTGCCATGCGTTAGCTCTTGATGGAGGAGACACTTCTCTCTCCTCTTCCTCTTTCTTGCTCTCACCGTTTTTAAGTTTGTTGCTGTCTGGAGGAAGGCTTCCCTCGTGTGATTTTCCTCTGTTGTCTCTGGTAGTTGGTGTCATCTCTTCTCCTACTCCATCTTGCTCGCTCCCTATCTTCCTAAAGTTTAGCACTACTCCATGATGAAGCTTCTGTGATATCGACTCCATGGACTGGGAAAGAGTCTTAGCGTTAGAGCCAATATAGCACCTGCCTAAATGATAATAATAATAATAATAATGATAATTAATGATAATAATAACAATAATAAACTATACTATCGAATAAATTCGCTAATTTCTTATTCAAAACAATGAAAATGAAAAATCAAAATAACGAAAAATAGCAAACACTGCCAAACAGTCAAACATAATGTACAGAGTAAATGCACCAGGTAACATGTAACAGGAACATAATAAATATTAAGTATATCATGACTCAATGCATTAATATGGCATGAAATGTTTTCCTTATTTAAAAAAGGACACAATTATGTAGGTATGTACAAATGTAGATGTATACAGGGAGGAAGAGAAAAAACAAAAATAGAGAGAGAAGAGGAGGAGCTGTTTCACCTGTATCAGCTAATAATAAAGTGTCAATTAATAATGAATTTTAACAATGACCCTACAGAATACATTATATACATACATTGTATGTGTGTATTTGTATTAATACTCATAATACTATGGTTACAAGTACTTACCTCCAGTGTTCTCACAAAGAGTCGAAAGGTACCGACTAGCAGGCAAAGCCACGCCCTCTCCTTCCTCCTCCTCCCCCTCGTTGCCCCCAGCGACACCGTTCAAACCAGACATTTGTAGCAATACGACGAATATACGCTGATCCCAACGGAACGGCTCCTTTGTCAACTCGCTGCCTTCTGATGTTCCATTTCTTGGTAAGATGAGCTGTGAGGATGGGCTTTAATTAGAATAATGATATTTTTTGTCGTTACCTCTTGGTCTATCTCTCCTGAGGGTTTATTGAACTGTCCTCCATCAGTGAGGGCTATGATGACAGCTGGTTCAAGGAAGAATGGGTTTCTTCCCTGTTGAAAATAAACAACATGGTTAATTAAGACATGCACGCATTAGTCTCAAAACCTTGGTTATAAAAACCTATCCCACCACTAAATGAGATTTAGTACTTAATTGAAATTAATTATTATATTATGGGGACTGTGGTTAGGTATAATAAACCCATATTTACTATTAAAGACAAAATCATGCAAGGCAGGACATAAGATTATTATAACCAACCAACCCTATACCAAGAACCAGCTAACTTTGTTATCGCCAACTAAAGGAATGATGGTTTTAATCAATTAAGGTTCCTTGTCAAGTGTGTGATTAAAATAAACATGTAACACGTTAGCAAGCATGTATTCATACCACATGATAAGCATGTGACGATAAATAATACATATTTATACATGTACAGTTTGTACCTGTCCATAATGGTCGATACCAGTGTGGAGTCTATTAATGTTTAATAGATCAAGTGATTCTTTGAGGCTTTGGCTAAATACTGATAGACCCAATGCCTGTAGGTTCTTAAGCTCTGTAACAAATGTACCCTTCTCCCATCCAACCTGTAAAAGGACAAATTTAATGCATTTCCTTAATCCTTCATTAACAATCTAGGACATTTTCTAAATATTTCCGTTCACGGCCGCTCACCCCTACCTTGACGGCAGTAGGCGGGTCATCGAAGGACACGAGCATGTAGTGATCTCCAGCGCTTGCAGGATCTCTAGCCCGATACTGCAAGAAAGAAACATGCATTTAGAACAATACTAGCATCCGGAAATGGTGAGACCCTATGGAAGCTCACGCAACAAAACCGAGCTGCTCTGAGCTCCTGGGTCTGCAAACGCAACCAACCTTCATGAACGTGTCTATGGCTCCCTTTGCTACGTCCAAGTATGAGGTGCCCAAGTAGGTCTTTTGGTTCATGGAAGCACTAGTATCCACTAGGAATAGAATAATTCCCATTCTGATCTAAAAATCACTGTTATTTTATCAATGATATTTTGACAACATGATAAGACCCTCCCGGCAACTTCTCTGCTATTTTAACTCCTACAACTGGAGCAAATGGCTGAGCGAGACCTCGTCACCTGTTTTTATACTGCCAGTCTAGTGACGTCATATCCGCAATGTACAATTACAATGCGCATGCGTTGACCCACGTGTATGAAACTAGCAGTAGCTGGCCACCCCCTTCCAAATTTTATCAAAATTTTATAATAATGATTTATGAATTATGATTAGTCAGACAGTAACAAAATCATCAATGCAATGAACTTTATTTGTTTCTTTACTAGTTAGCAAAGTCTCATCCAATCCTTTTAAACCATACAGACCTCCTGAAAGTAATGCAGAAAATGTCAAGTTGCAGCATTACAATACAGTACCTGTATGTATGAAGAGGATCCTATTCCCTTTAAATTTATCCGGAGTTTCTTTCATCATTCGCATCATGTGTTGATACGTTTTGAGCGTAAATGTAGTATCCAATACAATCCCAGTTGAAGATGATACTTCAGTCAATAATTCTAAGCAAAGTTACAATAATTATGGTTACTTATTTATCATATACATTACATACTTAATTCACTCTCAGTTGTTAGGCTATAGCCCAGTCCAGGCTCATCAGCCAAATCCATTAGCTCTGCAGTTTTAATAGTTCGTCCATCGGGATGCTTCAATCCTAGTGCTGACAGTTCCTCATCCATATGTAGTGATAACTGAACTGCAGCCATTCCAATAGAAATACCATGTATCCTTTCAGTATCAAAAGTCAACAAGAATCAACAATACAAAAGATATAAACAAAGAGCTATAATATTAATGTTCTCATTCACAATATGTAGATACTCAATATCAGTGTTAACTCATATCAGTTGCTCACTTTAACTTTGATCCAGTGAGGTAGTTAGCTACACCAATACCGCAAGCAGTGCCACCAGCTCCCAAGCACACAACAATATCATCAAAATTATCAAATAAACCCTAAAATGAAATAGCACGGTAGCACTGACATTATTTCAAGCCACCACAACAGACACATCTAATGTCATTTTATGACAATTGCAGCAACTTTTAATTATACTCTCTTTTTCAAGCACTGACCTGATCAATCATTTCTTTAAATGCCTCAATATATCCCCAGCAGCCAACAGGGCTGGCAGCACCCAACTCAATCACGTAAGGTTTCTTTCCTTTAGCTCTATGGTAAGGAAAATCAGCATCCTTTAAAGGAAATACAACACCTTTTTTTATTTACTGAAGTTTATTTGAAAGGTCTGTGAATATTCTTGAATACACATTAAAAGCATCATTCAAATTTCCTTGAGGAATTAAACCAATTAACGAATCTGTTAAACGGCTCAAGAGCAAGTTCCCTTTTGGTTCAATATTGACATCTGTATCCTAAAAATAATTTTATTCATTGGAATAGCAGCAGTGATTCTTTTGGCTAATACAATACCTTGTTAAAAAGGACACAATGTGAATCCATGCCTAATTCTTTAGCTACTACAGCAGTTGCTCTAGCATGGTTAGACTGGAGACTACCTCCAGTTATAACTGTATCACAACCTTGATCTAATACTTCTGAAAATATGAACTCCAACTTACGAACCTAAAAGCCCACCACAATACTAGTTATGAAATGAATGATATTATATTTACCTTATTACCACTGAGAGTAGATCCAGTAAGATCATCTCTCTTAATGTACAGTTGGAATCCATCAGGTAGCCCTGGGACTGACCAAGAATGTATTGGGGTAGGTAACTGTGCTAACTATTTTAATACACATCCAGCAAGTTGTGAGAGTAAAATGATTAAAAATATTACCTTTATTCTAGTCTTGGGTATCACAGCTAGTCCTTTGGCCCAGTCTGGAGGAGTGTAAGGCGACTGTTCGTGTTGACAAGCTTTTGTACAAGAAGACATTTTATTAATTTCCTATGGCACACCTACATGTACCTATAAAATCTATTTATTTTCTTATTTAAATAAACCAGAGACATAATAATTATGGAAAAAATAGCAGATCAGGATGGGATTTCATATTTATACATCTTATTGCTTTCGCTGACACTGTCCATTATAGATCCCACTGTCCCATCAAAAACACTATGAATACCACCTATTATACAAAAAGGAAGAAATTACAAGAGGCACTATAATGTATCAGCTAGGTACCAGTGTGTAGAAATAATATCTTCCTTCCTTGGAATTGCTGAGGGTTTTTCTTTGTCTCCTCTATCATTCCAATGGAAGCCTTAAGGGTATAAACTCTGTCCAATACGATACCAGTAGAAGTTGATATTTCAACCAATCTCTCTACAATCAAAACAATAATAATAATGAAAGCTGTACACCAGTGTTTAAAATAACGTACTCAGTTCTTCTTCAGTTGACAGAGCATATCCCCTGCCCTTATAGCCATCAATCAAGTTGATGATCTCCCTGGCTGACACGCCATTAAGACCAAACATCTGAATGTGATCATCAATGAACTTGTAAAAGTATTCGGCATTATCACACACACAAACAGCATGGACTCTATAAAAATATTAAGAAATTACGACTTAAATTGCTAAAATTTTGCTGAAAAGGATATGGGCAGATTGTGACATAAAAAAAAGTACAAATTAATCTGCTAAAATTTTAATGTGGCAATACTTGATTTTTGATCCGTTGAAATAGTTAGCAATTGCAATGCCAGCAGCTGTCCCACCGCTCCCTATAGCCATCACAATGTCATCAAATCGTTCCAATACACCCTCAATATAGAAGCAATTATAATCATAACAACTACCATGACTACTATTATTTTACTTGTTGAACGAGCTCCTGGTAACATTCTAAGTATCCCCATATCCCTAAAAGGTTTGATCCACCGATTGTAATAGGATACGGATTATGACCTTTTGACCTTTAATGATAATAAATTAATATGCGCACGATTTTATAGACCTAAGGAATTGAGCATATTCGTCCATTATTGTGTCCATTCCCTTGACTAGTGTTCCATCTTGTGTTATCTTGTCTTCCTTCTTGCGTTGAGGGCAGAGTATTATGTCAGATCCCATCAGACGATCAAGTAAGAGATTACCAGAGCAACCAACCTTCGCAGGGTCCTATGAACATTGCAAAATATAAGCCAGTTATCACAGAATTTTAGAAATGAGGAGAGATAGAAATAGAGAGAGGGAAGGGAGGTATTACAGGATCATCGACACGCAGTAAGAGGTGCGGCTGCATTCCTAGTTGTCTGCCAAGTACAGCTGTTGCTCGTGCATGATTCGACTGTATGCCACCAATTGTAATGACACTGTCACATTGCTTGTCAACTGCATCTGCCATTAGAAACTCAAGTTTACGTATCTAAAATAACAGCATTATTAATACAACATTAATTTTTAATAACAATGCATATATATATATACATATACAATAATTACAAATCTAGTTAGCCACGCCCATATTATAATTTTAAAAACTATTAGATGTATTATGATTTCGAGTTTTACCTTATTACCAGTGAGTGCTGCTCCAGTAAGATCATCTCTCTTAATGTACAGTTGGAATCCATCGGGTAGCCCTGGGACTGACCAAGAATGTATTGGGGTAGGTAATTGTGCTATGTGTAATCTGTGCGTGGGTGGTGGAGACTGTAATTTCTTTGTCCATTCTGGCGGAGTGTATGGTTGAAGAGAATAGCGCCTATAAGAGCTGATACTGCTAGAATTCGCTGTGCTGGCCATTCTTAGTACAGTTCTGCAGAGCCTCATTTAAGAGGTGTGGCTCAAACATTAATTAATGGGTGTGACTCAAACATTAATTAATGGGTGTGGTCCAAATGCGTGGGAGGATATTGTTACAAGGTGTGGCTTGTTAAAGATGGAAAGTCTAGGTGCTACAAATGAGCTAAACATTTGTAAGGTTAATATGTATGACTACTGTTTTTACGTCTTTTTTTCAAGTGCATATAACTGATGTTCACAACAGTACTGAAATGGTAGCTGCAGTTTCACAATGGGTCATAAAACACAAAGAAAAGTATTAATAGCTCTTCATCATTTTGTAATGTGTATATCCTTGATACTATAATATTTCTCTTCTCCCATCTCTTTCCACATAGAATTGACATTATCTTATTATCTGGTGATATAGCTGACATGCCTATGGAGTATGGTAACGACACTACAAAAGAGGCGCTTCTTTTTAAAGGCTCGTACTATCAGGATCTACAACAAGTCGTATCTAATGCCAGAGCTATATGTGATAGAGTCTACTATGTGCCTGGAAATGTAAGCTCAATGGCTCTACATAGGCACCTTGTTCAATTCTTTTGTGTAACAACTTTTAGTCTCATCTCTTTTATATTCTAGCATGATCCTCCTCAATCATTTAATGAAGCTTCTCCTGAGATCACTATTGATCCTATTCCATCATGTAATGTCCATCTACACACTATACCAGTTGCACCAGGGCTCTTTTTGTCAGGTTTGGGTGGAAGTGTGCCTGGCTATCAAGATGGCAAGCAATGTTGGGATGGTAAGTCAGACTATTGTTCTATGTAACAATTATCAAATTTATTGATCAAAATTGAAATCTATTAAATTTCCTGGAAAAAATGACTTTCCCAGCAAATTTCCTGGGAAAAAATCAATTTCCCGGGAAAAACGACTTTCCCGGCAAATTTCCCGGAAAAAAAATCAATTTCCTGGGAAAAATAATTTTAAAACTATAGTCCATATTGGTTTTTGAAAATTTTTAATGTTGGTCTAAAATCAGGTCAAATGTCCCTGTACTCTATTACATGGTCTTGGGCCAAACTTAGCCAAAAATGAAAAGAAGAGAATTCTCTATTTTTATATTTTTGAGTTACTTTTTAAGTAATTGACCACATTCTGGTCACAAAGATAGATTTGACCATATTCTGGTCGAATCAAAGCTATGCTTGATTTGTTTAGGTTTTCCATATAACAATGAAGATGATATAAATAAGGATCTGACTCAGTTGCTTGAGCCCTTCCTTGGCAAAGATACTCCACTACGATCTCCGGAAGATCAACTTATACTAATGACACACTGTGGACCAAGCAATTCATGTAATTACGAAGATGCATATTTGCTAATTGACTATCATCCCATTTATGAAATTAATAATAATAGCTACTTCAAGATTTTGCGATGACCCGAATGCTGTTATTGAAGCCGGCTCAATGTCACTGTACAATTGGCTAGTGAAACCAGAGCTGGTATTGTTTTATTATTATTATTAAATTATTATTTATAAAATCTTCTTTTTGTCTCATTCTATAGCAAAGGCGTGTACTACTTAATGTGCATGGTCACATTCATCACGGTTATGGTGAGGCTCACGTCGGGATGATATCCGTTCTAAATCCTGGACCATTATTGTAAGAGTCTGAGTGGGTACATTATAATGCTAATAATTAAATTTTTATACGCCTCCATTATAATAGGGATGGACATTTCTCACTGTACACTTTAACAAGGAAAGGAGACCCTTTACAGTGGAGTCTCTCTGCTGTGAGAAGATATGTGCTATAAACTAAAGTGTTTAAATTATATTTTTATAATTCATTTAATTTTTGTTGAAAAATAAATTATTTTTGTCCCACTCCACTATTTATAGACAAGTTAAATTTTGCTGTAAAACATTTCGAAATATTTTAGTAGATCAAAAAAATTGATAATAATTATTAAGTAAATCTATATTTATAAAACTTCAACAATGAAGAGAGAAAGAAAGAGAGGGAGGAAAGAGATATAATTTAATACAAAAAATAATACAAACTTAAGACCAATAGTGTCTCTATATAATTATAGTCTATTGCACAAGTGGATGGTAGTGGATTTGATGGGTAGAACAGGATCTGTCACTGCTGATATACATAATAAGGTGAAGGTAGTGCTACTGTCTTCTATCAGTATAATATATACACAATATAATGCAGTTAAAATAATGTATAGCTGAGTGGACTAAAGCTACTAAGGTCAAAGTATCAGTAGACGTCATTCTCTTCCATTGGCCTATTGAGAAAACAATAGTAATAACAATTCCATTATTTATTTATTAATGCGTAGCTGTTAAGTCTAATTTCCCATGCAGCTCAGTCTAATTGCTCTTACATCACTTTAATACGTAATACCAATATTTCACGGCATTTTTATTTCATAATTATTAACCATATAGATACAATTACCACACTAATCATTAACCTACATACATAGTGCATGCATATTGCATACTAATATAACTTACTCTTCTTCCTCGTCTCCATCCTCAAACTGTTCTTCAGCTACTAGCAGTTCATATTGTTCACTGGCATATTTCTCCCAATTGGTAGGCATGTGTCCATCTTCTTCATCATCCTATGTCACAATAAGGAAGAGCATCATAAAAAAAGGTTTATGTACATGTACATATACGTATGGCTTTTCCTAGCTCTCCAATCTTAATACATTCTCTCTTTCTCTAATTACCTGGTTCATTGATATAGCATCCCTCTGTTCATAGTCCATATATTTCTCAAGGTTAATGAAAGTATTGAGAAACAATGACGTCAACTGAGAACTCTTTAGATCTTTTAAAGTAATAAAGCCTATAGACGAAAAGAACCAATAATAAACGTAGTGACACATACTAATTATTATCATTGGGATATCCCTTTTCGTTATAATTGACAGTAATTATAATACAAATTTTTCCAACAATCACAATTACTGAGCAATAAATCAGAAATTAAGCAATCAATTAGTACATAATATCAATTATCACATAATATGTACATGGATATGCACTTACGTTGGTGCTTAGGGTTTATCATGTCTAGTACATGGCAGATGGTGTCTCTCACCGACAAGCTCTCAATGTTCATCTCTTCAAGCCTCAGGAGTATGTCTTCATAGAAATACTCCAACTCGTACAGGGAGAGGAAGCCATCTCCATCTTTATCAAGGACTCTGAACCAATACTCAATACTGAGGAGAGAGAGAGAGAGAGGGGGGGAATAGGAATTAGATCCTTAACACTTTCCATTTACAAACATTTCGGCTAACTTGCTAATTTCGGAAATTGATTTTTAATTTTATATGTTAATAATAAATAATGTACACGTAAATATAAATAACATAATTACATATATTCAGGGTTGACAGATGGTAAACTGTAAACATCACACCCCTTACCTTCTGTTTGATGTCTTGTCCTCTTCAGAGATTAGAAACCACACAAAGTCCTTGTAGCTCATTTTACCAGCCGGACTGCTGTTTGTGACCACACCTGATAATAACCTGTCGACTACTTTAGACGTGAGAGCTGAGAGAGAGAGTAGAGAGAGAGAGAGAGAGAGAGAGAGAGAGAGAGAGAGAGAGAGAGAAAGAGGGATAGTGTTTACTGTTGACACTCATGATATCGATTACACCAGTAAAGCACAGAGACAAATTTCCTCACGCGAGGATCTTTGTAGTAGGTAATCACGTTTGACTTATTAAAATAATTGAGTCAAAACAGCAATTTATAAACACCACTGCCCCACACCAAGCTGTCTCACTCATCTCTCTTAGCAATTATCATTTCAGTACTGCAATAACTAGCTATACTGAGTGTGTGTGTTGCAATAACTGTATATAGTGGTACTGTGTGACTTAGGAAAGATTGGTACACACACTAATACTGTATTATACTAGTGGTACATGTAGATAATTTGTTATCATTATTACTAGCAGTTTAGAGATGACATTTTGCACTTGAGAGAATCGCATAGTGATAATTTGTACTTGCTTGTACATCCAATATATAATAATATATACAAATAATGTGGTCTGTTTGCCAGTAGCGTACCGTATGTGTGTGTGTGTTCAAAAGGCAACCAAGTGGCAAAGAAAAATTGAGACAATGCGAACAATTGTAAACATTTCTCATTGGGAAAACATCAAGATAGGAACAACAACAAGTACGTGTACACCACATATAAAGTATGCAAGTGTATATATACATGTATATATATATCATAAATGTATTGGTTTCAACTTGAACAGAAAGACATTGATGATAACAACAATATATTTAATAATAAGTGTAACTGGTATAGTAAATGCACTCTCATTCCTTTTTCACGTAAGCCTCAGCTCTTCCTCCTCTCACTCTCTCTCTCATTCTCTCAGTCAGTCTGTCTACCACCATAGTAACTAAATAAACACATAAAAGCCACTCCAGGATGCTATTATGTGTAGTACATACTGTAACAACATCGTGGTATATACAATAAACATGGTAATGGCTCAATCAATGGGATACTGTAATGTAAATGACATTCCATTGTACTAATGTGTCTGTGTGAGTGTTTTATGTGAAAGCATCTTCTCTTCATGTAATGCCATGTACATGTACATGTACAGCGTGTGTACGTCCTTCTCTGCATGTGCCACTATGTATATTGTACATACAACAAAGCATTTCATAAAGAGATTTGTCTCTTTGCCACTTAACCACATCAAATGTACCCCTATCTCTCAATTAATCAACACATGTACATGTACATGTACATGTACATGTGCACTATACCATTAGCCTACGTACTGCTGATGACCAGGCCTGTACTATAGTAGAGACTGGTCCAATTTTGGAGCAACTTTAAAAATTCATAAAAAATTCAAATTTGATTTAAATCAGTTCAATCTTTCTAAGCAACATAAGAAAATGTATATGTATCAGGAAAAATTATAAAATAAGGACTTAACATAGTGTAGCATACTTACCATGATCAGAGTGCTTGATGAGGTCTTGTCTATCAATGAGTAGATCATGATCTGTGTCAAGCTCCCAGAACTTGCAATAAATGACATAGAAATGCTCATAAGAGAAGAAACTAGTGAACTTGTTAATGTCATCCTCATCCTCTAACTGAGAGAGAGACTGAGAGAGAGAGAGAGAGAGAGAGAGAGAGAATAAGAAGAAAGTGATTTATATTGCATAATACAGTATAGATACACGTGTTTTTCTTGTATCCTAGCTATACCTAGTAGTACCTGTAAGAAGCAGCTGTTTCTCAGGTCTTGCGCATATATCCTTCTACGCCAGGTTTTATCGACTGAATAAAATATACGACCAATCACCTAAAAAAACAGGACAAATAAAAATAACTAAATTTGTAAATCAAGAAAAAAGTCAGAAAATGGCTCCTTTACCACCTACTCATTCATTCATATACAGTATAAATACACATATAACACCCACTCAGTCACACAGAGATACCAGTAGCGTAACTTTATTCAATAACATGTTTACATACATCATGTACGTTGATACCACTGCCTGCCCACTCACTCATTCAATCAATCTCTCATACTACAACTGATCTCAGTACTGGGCTCTAATGATAATGATTTAGTCTGCTAATGACTCTAATCCTTCCTATGAGAATGCAGGCTGTATTGTGACTTCATTCTATAATTTCCTTTACACTGTCTGCAGTGAGTGGCTGAGTATTCATGTTTTTGATTTATCTTCTTTTAGTTATCGAGACACAAATGAACTCTAACACTTTTTACTTCCTCTCTAGACTGAACCGCTTTGTATGCTTTACACATAATGGCACTACTGCATGTACGATTGTCTCCACTTTATATATTTGTACCATGATTGTCCCCCTCTATCTCTCTCTCTCTTTTAATTGGGTTCATTCAATGGTGTAGGACTCACTGTCTCAATGTATCGAAGGTGAAACTCTGGGGCTGCTCTCAAAAACTCCAATCCTGGATGACAATCAACAATGTCCTAAATTGAAAAAAAAAAAACCAAAAATTATTATCAGACCACACACTGTAATATTGCATCACATACAAAGTACAGTGTATATGTACAAGGATACAATTAGTATGATGTATATCTAGCAATATTACATTAAAATGTACATGTGATTAGATAATGATGTCCAATGTTTGTTATAGCATGTCTATTTTTATATTTTTATCATCAAGTGCCTACACAAACACACACACACACACACTCTCTCTCTCTCTCCTGAACAAATAAGGACATTTTGGAATAAAGGAATATGATCATTATTGTACAGAGTAAGAGACAGAGAGAGGGGGAGGGAGTGATGGAGAGAAGAGGAGAGAGATTATCATCATGTTTTGTCTAGTAATTATTAATAACAAGTTGAGGGGGTAATATTCCCATTGGATATACACACACGCACAAACAGGATATGTATTGACGTAAATGAAGTATGACATTACTATATGTACAGCTAATATAAATAAACAACTACAAGTATATACACATGTATACATGTATGTACTCATTACGCATGTACATGTACATGTATGCATGTACATGTACATGCTTTTGTAGTGTGCTCATTTTCTTAATAGTTTGCGGTTGATGCAGCTGAAATGATAAACAGATAAGAGTTATTACTGGCTAATAAGGTACCGTTTTTCTTTCTCAGTAAACACATTCTATACATAATGTGAAGCAATTACATGCACATGCACATGTACATGTACAACACGTGTTGCGCGTGCGTGTGTGTGTGTGTGTGTGTGTGTATTGATGAAGGGTCAAGGAATCGAAAGAGAGAGGAGAGGATGAAAAAATAAATATCAAAAAAGGCATCTTACATAATCAAATTAAAAAGAGAGAGATATTAAAAGACACACAATACTGATATGTCATAATCATTGCGTGTTTTCTATGGCAAAACAGACACAGAGCCCAGATCAAGACAGCATTCCTCATTACAGTACACAATACATCCACAAAATATTTCACACCATACCTATGCGTAGTATGTACATGTACATGTACATACATGTATATATACATAAGGAATTACAGTGATATCTTTCTTTGTACAATGTAATGCTGGGAAACGAAAGCTAGATACTATTATGGTCTAATTAGTTTATGGTGGGTAAGGTTTTATTGTATAAACAATTAGTAATTGTTTGGGAGAAGATGTTCCTAGTGTACAAAAGTAGACTTCAATTACCAAAAACACACACAGCACATGAACTTAAGCATCTATAGCATCATCATTATTTCTTAAAATAACCATTCAAAATTTAGTTAATATTTGCGTATGTGTAGGGTAAATGGACTTACTCTTATAAGTGGCTCAAAGTCTTCTGGTACCAGGTAGTTCCTATCAGGATCATTACACGAGAGAATGCTCACAAACTTTGAGGCATCATCATAACAGACATCAGTTATACTAGAGAGAGAGAGAGAGGGGGGGGGGAAGGAAAGATTCAAAATAAGTCCCCCATGACCACAAAACATGAATTAAAAATGCCATACTTCTACATATGTATATCAGATCATTAGTCATTAATACAGTGTAAAATGAAAATGGACCATTTATGGTACATGATAAAACAGGGTCACAATTTGTTAATGTGCACGTACATGTACATGATACTACATATGTACATGTACATGCACACGTAGCATTATTTGATGCGCATGAGTGAGTCTGTGTTAATTGTCTGATGGAGGTATGTCATCATTGCCTTGAGGAATTGTTATAGCAGGATGTTATACCAATTTGTATATTTACTGTTTGGAATGAAACATGCAAAGAATTGGAGGCCATCATCATGGTTTAATATAATCAATTGTTGAAATGCAAAATTGCTTACACTCTGACCCAATATTTAAAATGAAACTACATGCAGGTATATATAGTCAAAGACAATCAGAGTAATATAAACACGCTCTTCCTTGATGTCTATTCCTTGATGCTGCTTGCGATAGAAGCTTCCAGGGGGAACTGTAGCTTACAGTAAACAGCATGCAGCAATTCTTGAAATCAACACACAATAATATGTACTAATTATTATGGGGGACTACCATGGATCCTAAAATAACAATATGTATGTATAACAGTGCAAACGAGGCTGTTTAAAGAGTCCCATTGACTGTCATAATGTATTAACACACACACACACACACAGAGTTTATTCTGTGCATCTGCTGCAAAACAAGTAATTAAGGACACATACATGTACATGTATATGGTACATTGTATTTTGATGTACATGTAGCTTTATCATTAAAAAGAATAGTAGAGTACATGTATGATGTATGCGACGGGATAGACAGGTGGATAAACTAATGATGAGACAATAATTTCAAGAATTCAGTTATAAGAGAACACCCAACTCAACAATTCATAAACTTAAAAGCTAGATCTACATGTACATGTACATGTATACATGTATTTGACCCTCTAGCATTCTTTCACACCATTATAGCCTTAATTCTTCTCTTTCCCCCCCCCCTCTCTCTCTCTCTCTCCAATCTCCCCCTCCCTCTCTCTTTGCTTTATGTCATCACAGTCATAACATAATAATTAAACCAAATTGAGTCAAAGATATACCAGTAGAGGCCTATTAAAAGAATTACTGAGACCCAACATACATGTACATGGGAAGAAGGATGAATACGTTACAAAGTTACAAAACAATGCATTAGCCATGTGCATACACAAATGCCTGTACTTGTATGGCTGAAAAATGCAAAGTATTGCATCGATAAAAGCATCAAGTATTTACAAATAGTAGACAATAGTGTTTATACATGTTAGGATGAAGAAAGGCATACTTTAGCCATGTCTTTTTAAAGGAGGCCAGGGTGGCATATTTCTTGCTTTTACCGGCAATCATTTTGAATAAAGGAACCTTCCAGTAATAAGGTAACTTCAGTGCCTATAGAAAAAAAAGAATAGAAGGAATTAATAATTGAAATTGAGAATATAAGAAGAGAGGAGACATAAGGGTTCACGTATGTAGACATGTCTTTGTATTATTATATGACAGATTCGCAGGTCATTGAGCAACAATGTAACCACACAGAGCTAGAATGGCCCAGATCATTAGCCAAGGGGAATTCATTCCCTCCGTCTATGCACATATGTACATGTACACCTAAATTAAATGGCCATTAGGTATAATGACAACGCCCTTGGCTGATCTAAAGACTTTTGTAGAGTGAATATGTGGGAAAAAAAATGAAAAGTACATGTTTGCTGTGAGGGGGAATGTATAATAAGAGATAATACTGTGTAATTTACAGCCCAAACTGATAAAGTTGAGGAATGATGCAAGGGCCAGGAGTGAATCATATTGCTAACATGTGACACAACACCACTAACATAACCACAGAGAAGATTACATGACGTAAGGAAAGTATTAGTGTATGTACATGTATAATTGTATATGTACATGTAATTGCAAATAAGAAACCAAAGGTGGTAGAGGATAGACAAACTTTTAATGTTGGTGCAGGTGGTCAAAAGGAAGCAGCTGCAAGATAGCACCTAATGCATTACCTTAAACACTTTCTCATTATTATTGCACAGTCTACATGTTACAAGCATCTACATGTACATAATAGTTACTCATACAGTTACCTTTATGATAAGATGAAAATCTTTTTTGGGAACTTCTTGTCTAGGATAGCGCTCAAATATCTTCCCAACAGTCACCATCACTCTCTCAATGGCTCCCTCGTCTCCCTCCTCCTTCTTTCCGTTAGGAAAATAAAACCTTGGTATCAGTTCAGAGGGACTTGCAGTGGGCACTGGTGTAATGGATATCATGGGGACACCTGAGGCTTCACCATTAGTCTTCATCTCTCCTCCTCCATCTGTAGTCTCTTCTCCTACCAGGTGTCTCTGTGTGGCTGTTCCTGTTTGCTTGTTGATCCCAAGACCTCCTCTGTAGAGTTTGGGAGATCCGCCACGAGAGGGTGAGCCCAAAGAAGCTGACAGAGGAGCTGGTGGTGGCGGAGTTATGGCACGACCAGTAGGACTGGCCGGTCTGGGGAACTGTAGGCTCCCTCCTGTGCTGCTACCGTTTATAAGGAGAGGGTGGTCGCTGGCCGTTTGCTGCTGGAGTCCACAGACTTTGGCCACTTCGTGTCTTAGGAGCTCGTGTGTGCTCGGCTCAGAGAGCCAGTACAGAAAAAGCTCGTCCACTTTCTTTCTTGCGTCAGGAGATATGACGTCTACAGCCATTCCGTCCCTGCTTCTGTGTTTATCCCTTTCTCTTGTGTCTGTATTCTGTACTATCTGTAGTGAAAACTAACAAAGCCACTAGCTTGCCGTCATTCAAAAATAAAACACCACATGTATTTTAGTAGGCGTGACAACTTTAATTATTTAATAGATTAATTATTCGTAGATTTAATTAATTAACCAGGTAGGTAGCCCATTTTTGGTGTAATGTCTTCCAAATATGGTGCACCTCAGCCTTATTATCCTCCAGACTGGGCCAAGGAATTATCAGTCATTCCTAAAACAAGAATTAAGGTGCTACTCTATTGCATATTTTATTATTATTATATTATCACTCATGTTAATAATGATTTATGCAATTATATTTATATAGTTAGCACAATTACCTACCCCAATACATTCTTGGTCAGTCCCAGGGCTACCTGATGGATTCCAACTGTACATTAAGAGAGATGATCTTACTGGATCTACTCTCAGTGGTAATAAGGTAAATATAATATCATTCATTTCATAACTAGTATCGTGGCGGGCTTTTAGGTTCGTAAGTTGGAGTTCATATTTTCAGAAGCATTAGATCAAGGTTGTGATACAGTTATAACTGGAGGTGGCCTGCAGTCTAACCACACCCGAGCAACTGCTGTAGTCGCTAAAGAACTAGGACTGAGTTCACTTAACATCCTTTACTTACCGCCAGAAAAAGTATGAATTAGATTTTTTTTTCTCATACAACAAACTCTATTGACAGACGCACGAATCATCACTAAGCAGTAAAGAAAAGGGAAACTTACTATTGAGTTGCATGGTTGGAGCAACCAGTGAAACAGTTCCATTTTTAGCAGCTGAAACAAGATTCAAGCAAATGGAAGAATACATGAAAGCAACCTCTGATAGACTGTATGATAGATACACTTAATTAGAGAGAGAGAGGGAGAGAGTGTTAAGGCTAGTTTATAATATGATGTTAGGCCAACATACCATCAATTTTTAATCAAAAGTGTGGGCGATTTGACCTTTTGACACATGATTTCCGCTAGAATAGAACCAAATTCTATTCCTGTGTCTACGTAACGTCAGGACTTGTGTGTAATATTGTAAACCAGCCTTTAGTGTTTGATTTATTTTGATTTTATAGGATAGTTAAAGGACATTTGCCTTGTATTGTAGAGTTAGGTGGTGCTAATCCAACTGGTGCTTGGGGATACATAGAAGCATTTCAAGAAATGATTGATCAGGTAGACGAATTGAATGCTATCAAATTGCATGCACATTGTTAACTCTATTTCAGGGAATATTAGAAAACTTTGATGATATAGTGATGTGTGCTGGCACTGGTGGAACTGCTCTTGGAATTGGGCTAGCTAGCTATCTAACTGGATCAAAACTAAAGTAAGACATTAAAAGTATAAGTAACTATATCATAGCAAAGTCGGAAAGGTGTTTCTTATTGTATGCATGTATGTAAGAATACTTTTTCACAATAATTTGATTGTTTTTTCTATGTGAATGAAATCAGCTATTTACTCTAGAGAGAGAGTTTGTTTTGTACAAGTTTAAGTGCGATGTAGTTATTGGGATAACACCGAAAGACTTTGGAAAAATTTGTAGTAGCCCCTAATGATCGAACCTCATGCATTTTCACCAGCAATATTTTTATTATTAATATTCTTTTTTCCTTGCTACATTCATGGTCACAGAGTCCATGCAGTGTGTACAAAAGCACCAAGCACTGTAGTAGCTACTAACATTAACAAAGAACTATCAAAGATTAAGAAAGAAGGAATGGACAATCATTTACAATGCAGTGACATTGTTGATCTAATTGATCTTCACACAGACACCAGCATAAAGAAAGAAGACTTGGGTATATATGTATACGTGCACATTGTATTATGTAAAAGCAAACTTGTTGCATATAAATTGTGCAAGAATTTCCTATTATGACTATAACTATTATTGTTTTGCTATTAGATTTCCTGACACAAGTTTCAACAAAGACTGGCATCATATTGGACACAACATTCACCCTCAAGACTGTTATATGCATGCTCCATGAGATGAAATACAATCCTGAGAGATTCAGAGGACAGAGAATACTGTTCATGCATACAGGTATGAATGGACTGAGGAAGGGGAGGGATGTTGACCTGTTTGGTTTATATAGCACATGTAGGACTAACCACATTATCATGCAACCCACTATAGCCTTTTACAATTGACTGAGTATAAAAAGAAATTCCACATAAGTAACATACAGAAGTATCAAATCCTTTAATGGTACAGGAAAAAATTTTTGAAAGGGTGAAGTACCCTGCCTATCTTATTATCGAACACTAAATTAATGAATGTAATGTAAAAATGTGTTGTTTACTGATGTATTATATACCCATATATAGGTGGTTTGTTTGGTCTATGTGATGGTCAGTTAGACCCAGTACTGGTACAAACACCAGATACTAATAGAATACGTTCCATTCATGAATTCATTGATGTGGTATGACTGGATGTGATTGATCCCTTGGGAAAACCGTATCCACTTACAAAAGTCCCTTGCTTTTCTAATTCTTACTTGACTAAAAACAGTCCCTTCCCCTTTTCTCTCTCGCACAAACTGACAGCTAAAGATAGTCTATTGACTGCGTTATTTGTGTAATAATTTACATTAAATTTTTAAATCAATAATAATAATAATGACAAAATTTATTGGTGATGAGGTGGTAGGTTATGATGCATAGGTGGCCGATGCATCGTGTACATTGGGCCAGGGGGAGGCTGGCGGAACATGGCCGGGTGGTGTCCAGGCATCATGTACCCACCAGAGTGATGCATCTGAGGTGGCCCCATATGCTGGGGACCGTAACGAGGCATCATCCTCTGCTGCAACACTTGAGTCATCTGCATAGGAGGTGCCACTTGCATTGGGCGTGGGTGCATAGGGTGTCTAAACATTAACTGCTGCTGCTGCTGCTGTTGCTGTTGCTGCTCCAGCATCCTCCTCTCTCTGAAAGTACGCTGGAGATTACTCAAATACACCCTCTTCTCTTCGTTGGGGAGGGACATGAAATGATTGCGTTGTTCGGGTGTCATGTACTCTAGCTGTCTCTGCAAGAAATGAGGAGGTGGCCTCATCATTTGGGCTGCCGAGTGTTGCTGCATCATGCCATGAGGTATCTGTCTCTGCATTGGTTGCTGTTGAGTCAGCTGGTGTGGAGTATTAGAGACACCGACTTGTCCAGTGGTGTGGAAAGTAGGCGGGAGAGGGCCGGGCTGAGTCGTTAAAGATGGCTGCTGTTCTCGATTCATTTTATTTATTTGTAATAGGATCTCTGCCTTGTTATCTAATCCGCTCCCTTCTCCTGTTCCTCCTACACTCGCTCTAGTGCCGCCAGCAGTACTAGCAGCACCTGGTGGTATAGCATTATCTCCACTATCACTAGATACTCCTCCTCCTCCTCCTCCTCCTCCTATAGCTCCATTAGTACTATCATTACTGTCAGGTAGGAATACACTGTGTCTGCTAGTTGAAGGACCAGACCCTCCTAGTAGGTGCCCACTGTTACTCAAGAAGTGTTGGTGCGTGTGGTGCTGGATCTGTTTCTCTTGCTCGAGGTATTTCAGCGGTTTTCGTTTGATACGCGTGGCACCAAACCATGAGAGTTGGAAAGGACCAGAGTTTTTGATGCCTTCAATGATCTCCCACGGAGATATCTCTTTAACTTCTTGTACTCTTAAACCCTAAGGAAAAAGAGAGGGAGAAAGAGGAGTAAAAGTGTGTGTGTGTGTGTACTTTTACGACCACAAGAAATCCTACAGAATTCATAACACACATATATAGCATGATATCAATTATGCAGCTATGAAAATATTGCATAACATTGCGGTTAGTTATCACAGCAAGCCCCTTTGATTAGGGGGAAAACACATTTCAGATTGAAAGCCTCAAAGGAATGATCAATAACACAAAGAGGACTGCTGCTTCTTACCTGAACTTTCTCTGGAATTCTAAACTGTTGAGAGAAAGCAGAGGGTGGCTTTACAACTGTCACTTCATATAGTTTCTGAGGAAGAGGGAATAACTGCTGGATCTCCTGCTTGCAGGTTGATTTAGAAGAAGCCAGATCTGACTATGAAGGGAAAAGAGAGAAATGAAACAGAAAGAGAGGAGGGGAGAGAGGAAAAATTCTCCTAAATTTGATGCATAAAGTATTATCAATAAGTTACTAGGTCTAATGCATAATGTAACTTAACACAGTACATGTACATGTACATTTATGTACACGAAAACCATAAGTGGGGGCTACCTTCATTTTCTTAATGCACATAATATATGACTTCTTTCCTTCTTCTCCTCCACTGAACACACACATGTGAAAATCAGGACTAAGAGCTTGTAATAGGGCACTTAACATATCCAAACAATTAGTGAATAATTCACTAGAGAGAAAGAGAAAGAGCAAAAGAACTAAGTTAGTATTAGATGCGGACACTCCATGAACCTGTTATCTGGCTGCCTATCAACAGCTCCAGAGCATATCAGTGGAATCAGTAATGATACCCAATCCAGTACATTGGACTCACACACTGAACAGACTGAGGGCAACATTGAGCCAACCTATTAATGATAATGGATTAATTTAATTTTCCAAAAATGGCTCCAAAATCACCCCCGATTTTCATTACATTTTCTGATACATATTGATATCTTTATGCTGTGTAGAAAGTTTGAGTTGATTCCGACTTAAATTTTTTGAGTCATGAGCATTTTTTTTAAATGTCCAATTTTTGAAAAATACCCAAGGCTATAGCCCATGGTTTTTTTTTTCAAAAAATGGCTCCAACATCACTCCCAATTTTTAGTACATTTTCTGATACATATTAATGTCCTTAAGCTGTGTAGAAAGTTTGAGTTGATTCCGACTTCAATTTTTAGAGTTATAGCCATAAAGTACATGTATCATTGACTAATAGATGCACTTACCAAACCAAGCCTTAGTTTCAATGCAGTATAAAGCATTGACTTATTCTGTTCATCTGCTGGAAAGCTATCCTACATTAAAATGAACACAATATTTAAAGAAACAGTTGAGATACATGTGTACAGAATATGACATTATAGTGACTCAGTCCACCTTTTCAAAGGCAGTTAGAAAGGTAGTGAGCTGTTTCTGCAATGGACCCAGTAGCTCCTCATGGTTGCTGTGATTGGAATTCATGCATGCCAACACTAACTCAAGGAACGGCTGCTGCCATTGTAAACCAGTCTTGGGATTAGGAGTAGTAGGAGTACTATAGGGAAAACATATGATAATAGTGCACACGTAGCACATTAAGGATTAAAATACAAAATAGGAGACAAAATTTTCTAAAAATAAACAAAACAAGATTGCTGCATACATAGAGGCTCTTGTTGATCTCCGTCTTTCTTGCTGTCTATCAAGATTCCACCACTGTCCCTTACCAAGGACATTACCAGCACTCTTTAGTATCTTACCCAGTACACTCTTAGGGAGTTCGCTCACCAATGGAGTCACTAACCATATACTAGGACTGAGAGAGAGAGAGAGAGGGAGGGACAAGAAAGGAGGAAAGACATAGGATAACGTAAGAATTCAAGGAGATGGTTGTGTACACGCATTCAAAGCTACTAACCAATAGGCTCCGTCAACTTGTGAAGAGGAGTCTTCAGTCCATTCTTCAGTACAAGAGTCTTCAAATACTTGAATGACACTCTGAGATAAATGATCAATGCTGTGCTATTGAGTAGAGAGAGGGGGGGGGTGAGAGAGAGTAGGATAATACTTGGAGTATGAACTAACAAGGTGCAGTGATGAATTAATGTTCAAATTAAGATGAAGCAAAGCATTGTGGAGCGTCCACTGATCTAAATTCTAGAAAAGAAACTCGTTTAAATTTCATCTAGCGTGCAAGATATAAAAAAAAGATTAAAATACTTTTAAAATCCTGTCAACGGTTTGTTCAGGATGAGTCATGAAAGGAGGGAGGGAGCCACTGGATTCATTGATCCTCTTCACAGTGTCTTCTGGGCAATAAGGAATGAGTAAATGAAGCAAATACTGAGCCTATAAAGAAAGGAGAAGAGCACATTGCATTCTTAAAACTGCATTTAAGTCCAAATTTTCCAAGTGCACATACATGTATGCATGAACTTATTGAACTATGAAGCAGCTATTGTTGTTACCTGAGCTGGTGAGAGGCTGGCATCACCAAGTTTCTCAACATGGAGTAGCTGCTTTGAGTCCTGCTTGCTGCACTGCTCCCTAACCCAATCCTGCTCTGCTATCAACTCCATTGTCTCTCTTAGCTTAATCAAGGCCTATGAAGAAGAGAAGAGAGTACAAATTGAACAACACAACATTATACATTCAATACTCACAGCCTCGTTTCCTTGGCTCCCGGAAGGAAAAGATTCCACCAAAATGGACATCCCAGTCTTCCCTCCCCATGTGGTGCCTCTGGATGACCTCAGAGTGTCCTTGGAAAGCTTCAAAAGCTCCTTCAAAAGATTGAGGACCACATCAAAGCTTAGCTCTTTGCTTTTAGCGAGTAGATAATGAGAAACAAAGGGAGGGTAGACTATATTGACCCCATCGTCATTCACTTCTCCTCGTATGTACTTATCAACTAGTATATGGCGCAGTAAGAGACTTACAAACTGAAGAGAGAGGGTCCCTTGATTAGCTTGAGCTAATGAAAAAAAAAACATTATCTTATGAGCTCTCTCACTCTTTCTCTAATTCTCTTTTCTACACTCCTTCCCTTACATGATTGCTGTGGATGGAGTAGGTAGACTTTAAACATTGGTTTTATGATGTAAGTTATAATGTCGTGAATGGTAAAGCAGTTGAAGGCAAGGAGTAGACCAATAAATGTCACAAAATTCTTATGCATACCAGGAGTAGACAGAACCTATAATATAAGAAAAATACATCATTGATATTATTGCATCTAAATTGGAGTTGATTTTCATAAATGAATGACCATAAATTCAAAATAAAGTGGGCTCAAACTTACAACATACATGTAGCATAACAAATATCACTCAATTTATTACTATACATTATATACGTACATGTACATGTACATGTACTTACATTGGATTTTTGTGCCAGTTGAGAGTAACCAGTGGCACAGGCTTTATATATTGCATTAGGTATACAGAGTGCTCTCACTGCTCCTAGGAGCTCCTTGGGAAGCAGATCTATGAATATTGATAGTTCTGAACTAATGTGAGCCAGTGTTGTAAGAGTTAGTCTGATAGGGGAAATAAATAAAGAATGAGAAAGAAATAGGGAGAGAGAGAGAGAGAGAGAGAGAGAGAGAGAGAGAGAGAGAGAGAGAGAGAGGGAATCATCAAAAAAGATAAGTGTATGTACATGCATGTGTGTATGTGTGTGTCCATTACAGTGATGTCTGTCTTTGTAGAACAATGGCAAATATTTCACAGACAATGAAGAATGAGCTTTTGCTTGTCGAATAATTCACAACACTGCTAAGAGCCTGTTCACTTTAGAAAGAAAAAAATGTGAAAAAGTGGAAAAAAAAGATTTATACATGTACATGTACATAACTTGCATCATATGTAATGCACAATTGTACATGCTTTGAGATACTTACCTATCTCCTGGTCTGGCTCCAATAAAAACAGAATTATCCATGCAATTCCTAAAATAAATTAAAAAGAAGCTCAATCTCAATATACACAAATATATTATTATTATTTCTGCTGTTATCATTATTATCAGTTGAAAGAAAAACTTAATTGAAAGTCCTAAAATACATTTAATAACAAACGTTATTATTAAATTATAATTTAATATGATTTTAAACATAATTATTCTTACTTCAATAAATTGGGTAACATGCTACTTGGAGTATATGGTAGATCTTCAACACAAGGAACGCAATAATTATTGAAAAAATTAGGAAGAACCGGATACGTCCTCTACAATGAAAAGTAAAAACAAAGAGTCACAACTGCATTGAACTTATAGTCTGTACAGTACATACTGTATGTACACTGCATTTGGGGTAACTTTAAAAAATTCATATAAAATCCAATTTTGATTGGAATCAGCTCAAACTTGCTACACAGCATAAGGACATGTATATGTATTAGAAAAAATTATAAAAATAAAGAATTCTCTCCTAGTCATTTTTGGCAAAATTTGGCCAAAGACCCTGTACTATAGTACAGTGTAGGAGGGAACTGAGCCCTTAAATAAACATTTTTTTTTAAACAAAATAGATATAACACAGGGATAAATAGTAGGTTAAAAAAAGAGATAATAATAACGGAAATAAGTGAGAGAAAAATAATAAGATAAAATGAATAGGTACAGGGACTTTGGCCCTGTTTTTTAATAAATTTAAAAATTCATATAAAATCCAATTTTGATCGGAATCAGCTCAAACTTGCTACACAGCATAAGGACATGTATATGTATCAGAAAAAAGTGTAAAAATAAAAATTTCTCTCCTAGTCATTTTTGGCAAAATTTGGCCAAAGACCCTGTACTATAAAGTACAGGGACTTTGACCCGGTTTTTAAATAAATTTTAAAATTCATATAAAATCCAATTTTGATTGGAATCAGCTCAAACTTGCTACACAGCATAAGAACATGTATATGTATCAGAAAAAAATATAAAAACAAAGAATTCTCTCCTAGTCATTTTTGGTTGAATTTGGCCAAAGACCCTGTACAGGGAGTTTGGCCCGGTTTTTCAATAAATTTAAAAATTCATATAAAATCCAATTTTGATTGGAATCAGCTCAAAATTTCTACAGAACATACATGTACATGTAAAAAGATGTAAATGCAATAGGAAAAAGTGTAAGAAGCATTTAACTGAAATACCATGTACTATAGTACAGTATAAGTACAGTGTAGATGAGCCAAACTATTACTATTACAGAGCGCTGCTACTCCCATGTCTAACCTCAAGATAGTAGCACTGAGTTTGAAGGTGTTTCAAGAAAAGGAAAACTTTCTTTTGCACCGCTGAAAACTTTGTTTGCTTCAACAATCCTTCAATAAGACGATACAACCTATACAAATTGATAAATGATGAAGATTCAATTAATTAGTCACATTAATGAACTATCACTTAATTAACTAGCCACACTAATTAACTATTATTAATAATTAACTAACCTCTCATAGACAACGAGTGTATCGTGTAGGGATAACAATAAAATCGGATAATATAACCACAAAAGATCAACGATTACAAGTGAGAGTGACTGGGGTAGAGCCACGTACATGCTCTGTGACCTCTGTCCTTCTTTCTTTTCCTCTTCATACGTAAGTATCTCAACAATCAGTTGTATCAGTTGACTGTACGAGCCACAGATCCTCAGCATCTCTGTAACAAACACCAGCTGGGAACAAGACGGGAAATGATGTGAGACTCCTCCGCTAGTTTGTCCTAGTATGAACTGAGAGGCACTCACTCCAATGCAGTTCTGCTCAAAAGCAGGAAGAAGCTTAAACTCGTCTAGAAACTTGTTTACGTCGTCTGGTAAAACCGGAGAGGCTTTAGAGAAGAGTTCTTTAAGGAGGGTATCCGCTTCCTCTTGAAGTCTTTTAACTTCCTCCTCGACCCTGATACCCTGGTGACCGGTGCCACACAGGACAACGGAACGCTGGTTACGCACCTGGGAACTGGAGTCAAGTAAATGAGCCGGGAAATATGCAGCATATATGAGGAGCTTATTAGCCTTTGTGTTTAGTTTAGTTGATGGAGCAGGACCAACCGGAGTACGAGAGGTGGCAGTGGGAGGAGCCAATGACTCATCGAGTGACTGATCGGGAGAAGCTTGAAGGAAGTTGAGAGAGAAATTGAAATCGTCCGGTTTAATGGGAGAGGAAGGATGGGAACCAAAATCAACCAATTGTGGATCCTCATCAAGCATAGCCAACCTTTCCAACTTATCAGCTCTCATTTGCCTTAATGATGGATTCTCCTCCATCTAAAAGAGAGAGAGAGAGGGGGGGAGAGTTAAGGAATGCACTGTATAGCTGATATACTCTACCTTTATCGCCATCTCGTGTCCAAAGCTAGATGAGCCATAATGACTGAGGCCAGCCAGTAAGCTGTCCTGATGATCAAAGGATGGAGGCAGTGAAGGTGATATCGTCCTCTCCTCTTGTTTCACATCCAACATCATCGACCTCTTCTGCTGTCCTCCGTCAAACTTCTTGACACTGTTTCTGTCGTAATTAGGTAGAAGAGAGAGAGGAATGGCGAGGCTTAGTTCTCCCGGCTCAGAGAGGGCAGGAGAGGGGGGAGGGTTGTTACCTTCGCCTCGAAAGAACGGGAGGGACGGGATGATGGGTAAAGTGGTGTCCCCACGAGCAATGAGAGTGGAGAGGTAGAGCGTATAGGAGAAGACCTTTAGGTCAATCAGCTCAGAGAACAGTGTAATGAGGTGTTTAAATGGCTCGTTGTCTTTCAGAGGAAAGTATAAACTATCTGTAGAGAAAGAGTACATGCATAATTTATGTAATGATACATAATGTAGACATAAGGAAGAGTCAATTTGCACCTACATGTACATGTACATGTATGTAATGACAGACATAAAGACCGAGAAAGAGAGAGAGAGAGAGAGGAGAAAGATTATAATACACAAACCTGGTAATGGAGCATGTGTACTTAAAAACTTAAACAAGGTCTGTTGAAAAGGATATGACCCCATGTCACTGTTACCAGTGGCTGTTCCTTGAGGATTATCAGGAGTTTCCCAGTAATCATCTAACATGTTGAGGTCAGTTGTGACCAGCCCAGTTGCTATGTCTAGCTGTATCCTCTTTAAAAGGCGAGCAGCGACAAGAGGACGGTGATAACCGTGGCGATGAGGTGTGACTGCCCACTGGCAGAGCAACATGCAGAGAGCATCTTTGAACTGAAGAGAAAACTAAAAATAAAAAAATAAAATGAAACTCGTCACAATGAGCTATACATGTACATGTAAATGGATGCATATTTTGATACAAATAATATCATTGGTAGCTGCAGTTATTGCCATACACTGCTGAGTTTATCTTGTGTACTCCAATTTGTAAAGTTTTATGCAATTAATTATGAATCCTCACCTCATTAGGCTTTTGTATTTGAATTATTTTAACGTAAAGTGTGGAGAGAGTCGAGTGTGACTTGGTCGTAGTGAATGAATGCTTGTCCAATTCTTTTAATACTTTTAGTATCTGCTGTACAATTTGGCCTGGAAGGAACAACAAAATACATGTATGCCAAACATCAAATACAGTATGCCCCCATACATATGTACATGTATAGTGTGTCTCATATACTTATATTAGATGTCTGTAGATCTGCTATGGCCATACTAGACCAGCCGGTCTCAGCAGCACGAGTCCTTTGTCTTATCTCATTCTCAGCTACTACCAGTGCTGACTCAAACTAGAGAGAGGGGAAGGTGGTCAATACAAGTTGTATTGATCAGACTTCACTTACTTTCTTTCCTAGTTCAGACACTCGCTTAGGCAGTGGCATCTCAGAGAGTGGCATAGGCAGTCTATCCAGAGGAGTACTGACCTTTGACCCACCCCCAGAACTATCCCTCAACCCTTTACTCCCCACCCCTCCTCCTCCTCCACCTCCTCCCACCCCGCCAGTGAGACTAGCATTGATAAACGCAGTCGGACAATGTATCGCAATTATTTGAATGATGCAACTCAATTGAAGGAGAAGGGACGAGTGGTGTTTGCAGCTGCTGGACATCCCTCCGATTGTGGACTGGTTGGTGGTGCTAGCTGTTGGAGGATTTATTGCAGAGTCCTCTATCGTAACTGTGAGAGAGCCGGACTTGCTTCTCTTGCGACCAGCGACATGACGAACTGGAGGCTCATCTCCTTCTCTTTTCTCTTGTTTTATTTTGATTCCAGCGGAGGGCGTGGCTATGTTGAATACATCGTCATCTTCATTGGTTTCCATGGATTCAAGGGTGGAGTCTTTATTGGGCTTGGCAGTAGCAGCAGACGAGGAGAGGAACTTTTGATAAATCTCGTAAGAAGAAGAAAACTTCTGACAACAAAACTGAATGAGTGGACGAGCTAAGTACACGCATCTACTGATGTCATTGAGATACTACAAACAAAAACAACAACAACAACAATAATAACAACAACAATAACAACAATAATATACAACAAATGGTGGTGACAATAATGCGTGTGTTAGTACCTTTAGTGCTAACGGGAGATATAGTACTAGGGATTTCTCGTCAGGTTTTGAGGTCTCGATCCTCTCAATAAGCCAACGAAGGAACTCGTGACGCTCCAAAAGGTTCTCCTACAGAAAGGAAAGGAGAGAGAGCAAAGTTAAGTAAAGAATAGGGAGGATAATGAGAGAGAGAGAGGTTAGTACTTAGTAGTACCTGGTATAGCCATGATGATAGTTCACTGATATACTTCCATCTTGATAATTCCTGAACTGTCTCTTCAGTAAAACTCTATAATAATAATAATAATAATAATAATAATAATAATAATAATAATAACAATAATAATAATAATAATAATAATAATAATAATAATAAAATTTTCAATACTTGATTTACGTTTTGCTTATTGCTAGATATACTGTCATGGCGATGTGACGAGTCGTTTGATATCCTCCAAACTGTTTCTTGCATGAACTTTGTCAGTGCAACGGTCCATTCTATATTTAGAACAACAAGAGAGGCTAATTTTAGTAACAGGGTCATACATTATTAGTGACATGCAGGGCTGCCAATAGGGGGGGGGGCAGGTGGGGCATTTTGCCCCGGGCCCCCAATCAATAGGGGGCCCCCAAGCACCTGGTCAGTAGTAAAGTATGCATAGTTTTTCACAGAAAAAGATCAAAGAATCATGACAACTTTTTAAAGTTAACTCTTGCTGGGCCATTTTGTTAATCGCTGTTATTAATAAGGGGGGAGATTTGTATTAGTAGGGGCCCCATCAAAGTTTTTGCCCTGGGCCCCACATAGCCTATTGGTGGCCCTGGTGACATGGTGGATAGTGTTAAATCTGGCTAACCAAATGATGGATCAGTTGCTTGTTTCTTCTTTGCTGACAGTTTCATTTCAGCTCCTAATGAAGAATAGGCTGCTGTCATCTGCCAAAACAAAGAGGGAGGGGAAGAGAGAAAAATATATGCCATATACATAATTTTATTTTACTGTTATAAATATTTTACTTACTTTAATGTACCAGACTGCTCTTGAAACTGGAACGTCTTTCTCAAACAAGACATCAAATATGTCTTCTCTCTTATTAAATATTGGAACCTATTAAGAGAATACATTTAAAAACTAAAATGATACAAGTACTAATAATCTCCTCTACCTTTCTCTTGACCAGCTGTTCAAGAGTCTCATTTCCCGCCAGACCTTGAAACCATAGAGCAGCCTGCTCTTTTTTGCTCCTCCCAACTGGGACCTACAGGTACATAAATACGATAAAATAATAAAAAATTAATATCATTTTACCGGCCAGAATGTATCTCTGGAGAGATTCATTCTTTTCTTCTGACTGTCCTGTCCCCATGCCGTCCTCTTCTTTGTATCAACGATCTGATTCAGCCTTGATATGAACTGGACAAGAAAGAGGAGGGGCATAAGTGAGCCACACCCACCAAGTAAATATTGACAATCAAAATACATAAATTTACATGTATCATCATTATGTACATGTATGTTCAATTGTTCATGTACTGAAACTTACATCAGCAGATCTTAAGTGTTGAATGTCTTGACGAGAAGAACCATTCTACAAGAGGGAGTGAGAGAAGAATAAATGAGATAGGATTGAAGGAGGATGAGGGTAAAAAAGAAGATAAAAAGGTTCACATGCAAATAAAAGTAATACTACCTCATAGCTGTGAGCTGGTGCCATACGGAGGCCACTGTTCACTGTCTGAATGGTTAGCTCATCCTAGGGATTTATTATATTTCAATTTCAAAATAATAATTTGATAGTAGTGTCCCTTACTTCTCTTTGGCGTACTTCCTGAGGATATACATCAGGTATACCTAGTTTAGACCTCTTAAGAGGTCTGCATTCTTCCACATACATCTACCAGATGAATAAAAAGCTGTATATAAATAATCCCACCATTTTCACTTACCTTTATGATTTCAATATTATTTTTGATTTTACTTTGAAACGGCTGAACCTTTAATTAGAGTAGGCTTAGTCACTTTGGCCACACCCAAATTCAAAATGGGGAAAAGAGACAAGCGAGTGGTATGCATAAAATGTTATTTTTCCTTCATTTTGTTGTTGTTTTAGGCCTTTATGAATCCGATAGCTTTGGCAAGAGCAAAAGGCCCTGTCCAACAGTCTGGACCTTCCATTAAAGATTACCTGGGGCGGTCCCGTCCTACTTTGTAAGTTATGATCACGTGACAGTCACGTGATGCCATTATTAGGTCTGAGATTGAGGAGAAAATGACGTCTTTTAAAAAGAAAGGTTCAGATGCACTCGCGGCATGGGAGGATCAAATGAACGAGGTGTGATCTCGTTAGTAATTATTATTGTAATTCAATACAATTATGATGTTTTAAAACAATGGAAGGTTTAATGGTTTATATATATGCTATATTTTAATCATGCATCATATTATCTATGCATTATGGTATATATTATAGTCTTATAAAGATGATCTGAAGAAGCACAGAGAGAGAAAGTTAAAGAAGAGTGTCAAGAAGTCAAAGAAGAAAGAAGTGAGGCATATCAGAACACACACACATAGTCACACACAGATAGATACAATGACTTAAGTTACCATCTGGCCACATACATCATCCTACTACACTATTTATAGTAATACTTGATTATACTGATTATGGTGTGTACATATTGTTTAGCTTTGTGGTTTTATCCTTGTCCCGATGTCCTCTGACATTGCTTTTGCTTACACCTTTCCTTGTAAGGATATAAGTATTTTAGCTATGCTCCGTGTTTATACAAAGTATTAGGAGAGATTATTCAGCTGTAGTATGCTGTCACTGCTGTGTGCATATTATGGTACATGTACATATGTGTGATATTTTCATATGATGATTGACTTTTTTTTTTGATAGAAAAAGAAGAAATCCTCCAGGGATAGGAGTAGGAGTAGGGTAAGAGAATGCATTAGCAATAAGTATCATGATTAATCTTTTCAAGTCTCCCTCTCCATCTTCCTCTTCAAATAGGAGCCATAAAGTAAAGTCTAGCATTTCTTTCCTCATCTCTATTTTGATTCTTTAATTTCCTCCAATAGAAATCAAAGAGAAAGAGGAAACATATTGATGACAGCTCGACTTCAAGCGAAGAAGATGAAATGGTTGGCTGCTTTAAAATTGGGATTTGGATGTTATTGCTTTTTTATAACACCCCTGACTATAGAGTAGAAAATCTATATCACTTTGAAATTTATTTTTTACAATTTCATACATGCACTAGACTTGTCCCTGTGTTATTTGTACATTATACATACATGTTTGTCCTATGGCACATATTCCTGTCTCACTTCCTCATTATGAATTTATAGGATGGGGACAAGAAAGGCAAATTGAGCTCAGATTCACCACATCCTCCCACTGATGGTCTCTTACCATTACCAAAGGGTTTATTGCCTCTACCAGTTCCCCTTGGGATCACTCGTGAAGCCACTTTGTCCAAGTCAACAACTGTAATATCAGAACCACATTCCATTGATGACAAAAATGCATGATACACTCTTGTTTACTAGTCTAAAAATTCTTACTAATTGTCTCATTACATGACTGTAAAGTGATCTGTAACATAACAGGGCAATATTTTTTTAGATGGGCGTGGTTATCAATAGGCCACGCCCATCACAGCAACCCTCCTCCACCTTGTGAATTCCAAGGATTCCATAAAACCACACAACCATCTTCTCTCAAAAAAAAAAACAGAATCAAGACAATAAATTATTAATCATAGCTTGAATAATAACACATATTAATAATAATTAAGTTTCTTTTAAGTTTAAATGTACACTAGCACAAAAAATAGAAACCGCTACTTAAAAAAAAGAAAAAAAAGTTCCAAAAATTGAATGTAACATACTTGATATTGCTAATAAACATATACAAACTGCTAAATAGATGACAGTCTTTTCCCTTCCATTCACATACCAAGTGATTCTAGATATTCAGCAATGACAGCGACAGCTTTGTTAGTATTGCCTTGCTGTCCACCCTCAGGACAATGGCCTATGACGATAGCCGTTTTCGATGCTTGCATTGTAAGAGCTCCGTGCTCCTTCTTCTTGGCATACACTGTCTTACCATCCTCTTCACGTAAAAATTGGTACTTTGTTTCCTCAACTCTGACACCATTTGCCTGAAAAACTGAAAAGTCTTTACTCTTAAAAGCTCTAGCTATATTGGCAAATTCTGTTGGGCTACCCTAATAAAACACAATGACACACGCACTGGTAGCACATTATTTACTTTCAAGGCATTAGCATGGCCAGCAGTGGTCCAACCAGCCCCTCCGTCGAGCCCAATGATACAGCATTTGTCTACATGAGCAGCACCACTAGCGTCTTTACTATGACCGATCAAATTATCGAGATACGAGTCCCAAGACATTATCAAAATAGAGAGGAGAGAGGCTTTGCTGAGTAAATCTGGGGACTGTGAATGAGGCGAGCTCCTCTTAACCCTGTCCAATGGCAATGGAGGTCACAAGGTGAATGATCTGCGCATGCGCGCAACATAAAATATTTACCTCAAGCCCCGCCTACTAGACCGCAAATCACACCGTCTCTAATTAAACAAATCAAAAAATCACGTGCTTTCACGTGGTTAATTTTAACCCTTTGTGAATTAAAATGGCGGACATTCCAATGGAAGAAGGAACTGAGCAAATCGTTACTGGTGGAGGGAGTAGTGGTTCTGTGAGTATCTCCATCCACCCTCTAGTTGTAATGAATGTATCTGATCACTTTACGCGTGTTAAAGTTCAAAATGACACCAATATTAGAGGTTTGTGCATACATGTAAAAAAATATTGCTTATTATTTTTTTACTGTTCAGTATTTGGTGCACTCTTGGGCCGTCAGAAAGGACGCAGTGTTGAGATATGCAATTCGTACGAGTTAGTAGTTGATACCACCAAAGAGAATAAACTGGTACTTGATAGAGAATATTTCCTGTCGAAAGAAGAACAATGTAAGTGTATCATTTTTTGGCAAAGAATGGTGTATTTTTAAAGTTTGTACAAGTTCAATGTCACGTGGTCGCAACCAATTCACAGAAAACATTATTTTGTCTTTCTAAAATTACCTGGCTATACTATTATATTACCCAACAACCATTGTTTTGACTTTCACTCTCTCTCTCTCTCTCTCTCTCTCTCTCCCTTTTATTAGTTAAACAAGTATTTGCTGATATGGAGTTTGTGGGTTGGTACACAACTGGAGACACACCCTCAACTGATGACATTGATTTACATGAGCAGGTATGTATACTGTGAACATGATATTAGCATACTTGTTGTCGTTATTATTATCATTATTATTATTATTTTTATTATTTTTATTATTATAAATGAAAGTTAGAATTAGGACAAAGTTAGGGCAGAATGAAAAATGAAATAAAAATAATTAGGTTGATAGAGATATATAAAAATAATAATAATAATAATAATTTAATAAGGATAAAGTTAAATTATGGATTTAAGTCATTATAAGGTCCAAAGGGGCTCCGTCACAGGTATCAACAGATCTCCATTTTGTCCTGGAGCCATGGAGACAGAGTATAGAGGCTCGAATGATGGCGAATGTTAAGCGAGTCCTGATTATTATCATTATTATGATTATTATTATTATTATTATTATTATTATTATTATTATTATTATTATTATTATTATTATTATTATTATTATTATTATTAGATATGTCATGATAGAGAGAATAGTCTTCTTTTAAAGCTAAATGCATCAGCCAGAACTGATCAGCTCCCATTGACAATTTATGAGTCCCTTATTGAAATGGTAGAAGGAAAGACTAAACTGGTTTTTTCCGGTTTGCCATACACACTCGCAACTGAAGAGGCTGAGAGGATAGGAGTGGATCATATTGCTAGAGTCTCTGTTACTGGATCTGCCGAGACTTCAGCCGGTGGGTTCAGCTATTTTTATGGTAAGACTTATTTTTTAATGTTTTAGTTGCTGAGCAATTAAGTGGAATGTATGGAGCAGTCAAAATGTTATACACAAGAGTTAGACTAATCGTCGATTATCTTAGATCCGTTAGATCTGGTAAGAGATCAAAGAGAGAGAGAGAGGAAGAGAAACTAGAGTAGAGAGAGATGTGGAGATTAAATAGAGCACATTCTGCTAAGAAGACACACTAGAGAGTGAAGACTTTGTGTAAATTATGTCAAATTATGTTTATGCTAGTTCATGCAAATAATTTGAGTTCTTTGTCCTTCTTTCTGTCTCTCCCACACACTCAAAGAGAGAGTAAATGATTGGCATTTATTTAATAATGCATATCAGGTATCAGCAATTCTTATTACTGTTGTTGTTATTTGCAGGAGAACTAGCTCCTAATAATGCTATCCTGAGAGACATCTCTAGTCTATGCAATCAGCTACCAGTCCTTGATAATCAACTCTTTGAGAAGAGCTTTCAAGATGTAAGTGAACATGCTGCCAAATTTTAATCTTATCATTACTTATGTAGCAAACTAGTGAAGTACTGCTGGTGGCATATTTAGCTTCAATCACGAAAGGACTGGGTACAGCTAATGAGGTATGCTCATTAATATTTAAGTATAATCATATGCCACACCTCTTATTAATTAATTAATCATGGTCACACCCCTTTGTTATAGTTAATAATGTACTTCTTATATAGTTTATATCAAAAGTGAATGTGGTTCACAATAGACACGGGATGGCAAGAAGAAGCAAAGGGTTGCCATTCTAACTGAGTATTATAATCTTTCATTTTGTGTCTCAACTTCATTTTGATTTGTCTTGTTTCCTTGTTTTGTTTGAGTTGTAGCTTCCAATTATTATGAACATGAAGTGATACATGAATATGTGTAATTTTTAATGTGTCGTTTGTGATTGTTGGCTCGTTATCCATAGTGTTTTCATTGCGTCTGAACCTTTGAAACAAGCAACAGCCAGATGTGAAGGAAAGAGAAAGAAGGAAAGGAGAGAGAGAGAGAGAGAGAGAGAGAGAGAGAGAGAGAGAGAGAGAGAGAGAGAGAGAGAGAGAGAGAGAGAGAGGGAGGGAGGGAGGGAGGAGAGCCCAGCAGAGAGAAAGAGAAGAAAGGAGAGAGAATTAATTTGGTCAAGTATTAGATAGCTTAATTACATGTACTTACCTCTCCCTTACTTTGTGTCATCTGGCAGAGTTTGTGATAGTAAGTAAGTGATATATTCTTTAACCTCTTTGTCTGTTATACCTCTTGTTAAGTAAACACTACAAAATGGGGGCTAATGTGTACTTTTATGCTGCACGCCCATACCTCAGATTGCTGTACAGCTTTGAAGATAAGAGCCACTTCTTTACTTTGTCCACAGCACTCGTGCTTGCCTGTTTGTTGTCAATAAGGTCGGCCTATTAGAATAGCATAGGGAGGCACGTAGGAACCATCCATCAACGTTCATTTACTTTATTGATGAATATTGCCAGCTTTGAAGTCTCTACGTATTGTGTAACACACTCGAGCCATTCTTCAACTGACTTCACACTGAGTTTTGACACATCAAACACTAATATACACAACTGGGTTTGTATGCGTGTGTATATACATGTAAACAAGTTGTTTTACTCATTATTATTTATTTATAATAATAAAGGCAGTATTAGTAGTAGTAGTGCAACTGCGGGTTGTTTTTATAAGACTCCTTCCCATGTTTATTTCCCCATCTCATATGTTTTGCCTCCTGTTGGCAAAGTTTACTGTTAATCTTAGGCGTACAATCACTTTCATTCTGTATGCACTCAATAGACCTCTGGCCCTTATCAACAACAGCTGCATTGTTATTATGCCGTAATGCTAGACCAACCAGCCTTACTAACCTCACTCTGTGGAAGTAAATGTTTATATATGTCTCTGTACTCAGGGCTTCCAGCCAAATCCCAAAATGTTACTTCCACTATAAAACAAATGATCATAATCTTAATCAATGGATTTTGGTTTATATTATTTGGTTTTATCTAATACATGTACCTTCTGTATCTCCTATAGTGCAGTGTTTATGGCCTAAATGGATATAGTTAAGGATGTTTTTGTTATTTCTGTAGCAATCAGAGTAGGTATATGTGTACTTACCATAATCTGCTCCAACTGTCGGATGACTTTGAGCACTAAACTTTAGATAGATTGTATGTTTTTATTTTGGTAATATTTATTTATTTATACTTTTCCTTCACAAAATTGTTTGATAAGTGTTGTCTTTCCCGAGCCTGCCTCCCCTACAAAAGTAACCTATCACCATGACGCACATAATAATGATATTAATATGTAATACACGAGGTAAAGTAGCTACCTTTCTCCATAGCAGCTCTCCTCTTGTTGAATGGTTGGCCATTTTATCAATGGATGGGTGTATAAGCAGCAGGCAGCTCAAGGCTTGCATATGTTGTAATCAATGAATCACATTAAAACCAACATTGAAAATATTGATAATGATAATGAAATTAAATTAAAGCTAAGTCATCTCAGCAAACTAAAAATAATGATAATGATAATAATAGGAGCTAATTACAAACAAGAACATTTCAGTTTTTGTTCCTATACTCCAACGGAGACCAAGTATTCCACAATATCATTGACAGCTTTGTTTGCTGTCCCTTGTTGCTTTCCTTCAGGGCAATGAGCTATAATGACTGCTGTCTTTGAAGCTTGCAGGGTAACTGCTCCATGCTCTTTTTTCTTGGCAAATACTGTGTTGTCCATTTCCCGTAGGAACTGGTACTTCAAACCACCTACTCTTACCCCATTCATTGTGAAAGTGTCATACTTTTTGCTATTGAAGCATTGAGCTATCGTTTTTGCTTCGGGCTGTGTAATCTGAAATAGGAAAACATTTGTCCTATATTATTTTTGACTGGTACTATAATATACCTGAATAGCATTAGCGTGTGTAGCAGTTATCCAAAGGCTGCCTCCATCATTCATGCCTATTATGCATGCTTTGTCTATATGAGTGTTGCCAGCTCCATCTTTACTGCGTGCAATTAAGTTGTCTAGATACGGATCCCATGCAGACATTGCTCCTTGCCTAACTTTTCCACTTCTTTCTCAACAATGACAGCTCTGCGACACTCCGGTTCTTTCGCTGTTTTTAATACGAGAAGGTCACTACTGCGCATGCGCAGTAAAAGGACAATTTAGTAGGTGTGGTAGCAGTTACCACGTGGTTTCTGTATACTTCCGTATATATAATTTACTGCCTTTTTGGCATTTTTTGTGATTTTTTAATTTTTTGCAAAAAAAACCTTAAAAAGTGGGGAAAACATGAGCAGACATGGTGGCAAAAGATTAAGTGTCTTTGATAGACTTGGGCCTGGAAATGATGACGAAATTACACCTCCTGTAAGTTCCACAGTGAAAATTGTATTAAATTCATTTACACTAGCATTCCAGCAGCAGCTCGCGTCACAGTAGACACTACTCTAGCTCAGAAAAGCATGAAAGATCTTCCTCTCATTTACCACCTCTCTCAACTGAGGAGAGGTCTAGGGATAAGAGAACAAGGTGAGTGTGTCAACCCTTGGTTCCAATTAAAGCCCACTCCTTATAGTGACCCACCTCCTCGTAAGCACAGGCATCCTGATGATGAAGACTCAACAAAGCGAGAGAAAGCAACACCAACTTTACGCAAGGATATAAAATTGTAAGATGATTGTATTGAGGACAGGGTTTCCTGCACATAGTGTTCAAGCAGGTTTTTTGTCAGTGGGTGCTTGAAAATTGACAAAATTACATATGAGAGAATTCTTCATTTTTATATTTTATTTTGATATGTATACATGTTTTTATGTTGTGTAGCAAGTTTGAACTGATTCCAATCAAATTTGGGTTTTTTACAAATTTTTAAAGTTACTCAAAAATTGGGCCAAAGTCCCTGTACTATAGTACAGGGTTTTTGGCCAAATTTTGCCAAAAATGACTAGGAGAGAATTTTTCATTTTTGTATTTTTTTCTGATACACATACATGTTCTTATGTTGTGTAGCAAGTTTGAACTGATTCTGATCAAATTTGGATTTTATATGAATTTTTAAAGTTGCTTGCCAGCTCGTGTAGTTAGCTCACTTAGCATGCTTTGTGGGAAACCCTGATTGGATGATGCATTCATTAATTTTTATTTATGTGTAGGAGTAAGCCTTCAAGAGGCAGTGGAAGAGATCATGAGCTAGCTGATGAACTAACTCATTCAAAGAGAAAGCGAGAAGCTACAAGTGACAATGAAACCCATCACAGGGAACCCAAACGACAGAAAATATCTGACTCTTCGTTGGAGAGACATCACCAGCTGCACAAGTCAGAAAAGAAAGAAGCCGAGGGTCAGTCCAGGTCAAAGGAGTCCAGTGCTGGTAGTAGCAAGAAGCGTTTAACTACGTCAGAGTCACAGAATGACCCTGACCCAGAGCTTGATTGGGATCTGCTCTCTAAGTTCCCAAATTACAAAGCGTCATCATTGAAAATGAATTCTTTAGAGAGACATAAAGCTGGATCGGTGTTATCTTTCATCGGGGTTTCGCCATCTCTAGCAGGGCCTGTCCTAGCTGATCAGGCTGTTAGAACAGTTACTGAGCACCTAAAGAAAGAACATGGTGACTCAATTCAAGCAGAAACACTTAGTGACCCTTTTGGAGGTCACCAGACAGCTGCTTTAGGTGCGGCTAATTTAAGAAGAACTTTAAAAAGCTCTCAGTCATTTGATATTGGCTATTGTCGTAGAGCTTTAACTGCACGTGCTGATTTTATGCTCAGGAAGAGATTTCTTGGTAACAAGTATAGCAACAAAGTAAGTGGTTCGTGAACAAATAGGAAAGAAATAATTTTATTTTGTGTTTTAGAATGATGAATTCAGAGCTGGATTTTCACATTACTATTCTGCAAGTCTAAGATTGTATCAACAAAGTTGAGACTAACTATTTTTTGGTTAATTAATTACAGTTTATTATAAATAAAATGGCTACCAGTGGTACTCCTGGAAAGAGAAAGAGAGATATGCGTTCTCTCAATACTAGCAATGCTTCACGTGGTGTATGGCTCGTAAAAGTGCCTAACTATGTGTCTGAGAGGTGGAAGAAAGCGAAAAAGGACCAGGAACTTGGCAGAATGAGAATCACAAGGTAAAATTATTTCGAGACTGCCTTGTATATAGTAATGCATGTAAAATAGGAATCCAAATAATTCTACAACAGTTCAGTTTTTCTTGGCACCAGAACTCCTTGAAGTAAAAATGGAAGATGGTACGGTCACACAATTACCTAAAGACCATCGTGTAAATCTGCAAGAAACAAAACACCAGTCGTTATCTGTATTTACCGAAAGCCAATCAGGCGGTAAGAGTGAGAAAGAGGGAATCTTTATTAATAATCGAATACTTCATTAGGTGATCTTGTGATAGAAGGCAAGATAAGTCAAAGAGCTGAAATACAACCAGTCGATAGTTCTATATACATGTCACTGAAAAAGTATGTACATGTTATGAGTTTACCACACCCGGTCCTATTACTCCTCATTCAGGCATCAAATTCAACAAGCAGAAAAAACGAAATTCACAGCAAGCCATCTTAATGAGTTACCCAGTCACTCGTATAAGCCTGTAGCTTATCACCCAGAACACGTGAGAAAAGGAAATGTTTCTCATTATGTTTCTCTCACTGACAGGAAGCAATTGAGAGGAAGAAGAAAGAGCCTAAGAAAGCCAGAGATGATAAAAATGTTGTCTTTGATTTGTTATTCTCTGCTTTTCAGCGTCACCAATACTACACATTTAAGGATCTAGTGGACATTACTCAACAACCAGCTGTGAGTCGCTTTTAAAATTGGGTCTAATTTTTTGTTGACACTCTTATGCTATGCTAAAAGTTTGGTGTTTGGTACTAAAATTTCTAGCTTGCATTAGCAAAATTCAATAGAAATGGGCTGGACGGTGACTGTTTTTGAAGAAAGAGCATTAATGTACTTTTATTATTAAATTTTGTAGACATACTTAAAGGAAATATTAAAGGAAGTCTGTATATACAACACTAAGTCGCCACACAAATACATGTGGGAATTGAAGCCGGAGTACAGCTTGTCACAACAATCAACTTCAAAATCATAAAAATAGCATTTTTTAAAATAATTTGAATCTTAAATGATTATTCGTTGTACTGCCACATGTGTAGCCCTCCATCACTGCCTGCTGATATCAATAACCTTGGAATGCTTTGATGCCAGATGTGTCCGTGAACTTTGACTGATTCTGCCCCTTCCTTCTCATGTCCATCATGTGTGAAGATAGCTTTTGGCGGCACTAATAATATTTTATTATTATATAGACTGTGTGTATACTTAAAATCTTACTCGATGTTGTGTCATAGATTATAATGCCAGGATGGAGGCCTGCCAAATAATAAAAGGAAATTATAATTATTAAATTGTTAACCTGAGTAACCTAAGAGTCTGTCATTATATGGCGATATCTACAGAGAATAGATCTATGTTGTTGATACACTCTTACTTACTGTTAGAGTAAGGTATTGTGATGAATGAAATGTGGTTGGCATAGTGCAACAATAGAATGGTTTTTCATATGAGCGGCTGTCATATAATCGCAGGGAGCCAGCATCAGACAGAGTACCAATGATATTGGAAGTACAAGATAAGGCATAGTCATCATGAGTCTCGGCATCCATTGAACATCGAGTAGGTGTCGCTGAAAATGGTTCCCTAGTATCAACAACTAAGATTTCTCCATAGTTTCCCGAACATAAGACTATTTGATGTGGGCTGCCAAAGTAAAGTGCATCGTGTAGTTTTGTTTTATCCAGTACAGTCTCCCAACTAACAGAGTGAGAAACTACGTCATAAATTTGTACGTGACCATCATCAGGTGGTGAATTTGATCCTAATAGCAGGTGCTGGTCATTGCTCTCGCTCTTCCAGTAATCAATATGAGTTATGCATTGGCTCCTATTTATGTTGACATGTAATTTCAAAGTTTACAAAAATAAACTGTTGTTATTAGTTACCTTGCAGTTTCACATTCTTTATGATGAGGTAGTGGTGGAACGATACTAGAAGCAATTTCAACCAATAGATCTATAATAAAAATTATAGTATACCCATTACCCACTGTAAACTAAGAATACCTGGGCTTCTTTCATCTTCTCTCCACCAGTGTAGTGAACGCTTATCAGCATTGCAGAGCACAGCTTGCCTATTAAGATCATTCATGCATTTTGTGAGGTTGCAGAGTACTATCTATATTTTACTGGTTAGACATTTCTTGGATGCAATTTATTGAAAATGGGATAACAGCTCCAGCAGATATTTTAAAATCTCTTCCACCAGTTATTTCCTAAGACAAAAAAACAAGCCTAGCCCTAGCTTGCAAGGTTTTACGATAATCATTGTACTTTATTTGTGATTTTGGTCGGAAGTGTTAGAAGCGATAGCTCTCTTTTGTTTGCAAGTGTTTGACCATAAACCCACACTCCTGGCATTAAAAAATATGCATGCAAAAAAATTATTTTAATCTACCTTTATCTGATGCTAAGTACATTAAATGAACTGGAGTACTGAGGTCATACATAAAGAGTTGTTCATATCTATTGATTGTGTGATAAAATCAAAACGATAAAGCCAGGACAACCTTTCCAAACTTGATATCAGCCAATCATCATCGTCGTCCATGTTTAGGGGAGTGTTTCAAGTGTACGGAACTGACTCAAAATAAACGGAGTTATCCGGTACATACAAAGCAACGCCCAACCTCAGCAGGTAAGTTTCTCTCTCCCTCCCTCTCTTCATTCCTCTCTCTCTTTCATCCTTCTCTGTCAAGATATGCCTTTGTTTGCGAAAGTAAAAAACCCACTGGAGCTCGTCAAAAGCCTGAGGGACTACCTACTAGTCCTAGAGCAGCATGGATCCGGTTCAAAGAAAGCAGAAAAGGTATGTGTCTGTGAATATAACTTAATGTATTTATATCCAGTATGTATATAGGCTGTGGAAGAGTCATCAAAGATTCTCCAGCAAATAAAGAGCATTCTGTATGGGTCTGGAGGTGAGGAAATATACTGTGTACATACGATAGATCTGATTTTATACCACATACAATGTACATGTACGCAGTAGTTTTCGTCATGTGTTAATTTTCATAATTTTTTGAGTGCTCACCTTAATCACAAACCATCTCCAATGCCATTCTATTATATTAAATTTTGGCATATTTGTTATTTTTTAACCCTCACACCTACTCATTGCTCACCAGATCATGAACCACAGACTGAACTCGCTGCTCAACTTGCTCAAGAATTTTATAACTTTGACATGCCGTTTCATATTATTAAAAACCTCGCGAACCTTGACTTTGAGGTAAAGAAGATACATATCGCTCTTCTTTCGTGTACATTATTGCTTTCTTCCCCTTTCAGGCGAAAAAGGACGTAGCTCAGATATTTAATAACATATTAAGACGACAGATAGGTGTAAGATCACCAACTGTCGAGTACATATGTACAAAGAGCGATATATTGTTCATGCTGGTCAGAGGGTAAGCCACTGCACTATATTATACATGTATCATGACAAGGATTGTATGTGTAATGTAATGAATGATTATTTGTGGTACTTGAAGGATTTTTAATGTGATATCATTATGTTGATCACTGTTATTGCATCCTTTTTGGACTGGCCCAAAATGACACCATATTTCTTGTCTGGCTAGGCTGCCAGAGGGGAAATTAGGATTGTATATTCTTGACATTGAAATAATAACTTATTTTGTGGTAGATATGATAATCCTGACATTGCCCTCAACTGTGGAGTCATGTTAAGGGAATGCATCAAACACGAGCTGTTGGCTAAGATAGTCCTCGAATCGGAGTCTTTTTATTCTTTTTATACGTACGTGGAACTCTCAACCTTTGACATTGCTTCTGATGCTTTCTCAACCTTTAAGGTACAGCATACAGTGTACTTGATATTATTATGTGATGTCACCCACACACCCTCTCCCTTGATGATGTAAATTATGTCATTATGTGTAGCAGTATGTAGCTATGGTATCTCTCTCTCTCTTTCTCTCTCTCTCTCTCTCTCTTGTTTGTCATTAGGAATTGCTGACAAGACACAAAGTCCTCTGTGCTCAATTTTTGGAAGGCTCGTATGATAAAGTATTCACTTCATTCTCTCATTGCGTACACACGTATTATTATTATTATTTTTAGGTTTTCGACAAGTATCATGTTTTACTTAATTCTGAAAACTATGTGACAAGAAGACAGTCACTGAAAGTAACTAATAATGTGTAGCCAACTAGCCATGACCTTGACTCTCCTTCTTCCAGTTATTAGGAGAGCTATTGCTGGATAGACACAATTACACTGTGATGACCCGTTACATTAGTAATCCAGAGAATCTCAAGATGATAATGAACATGTTGAGAGACAAGAGCAGAAACATACAATTTGAGGCTTTTCATGTTTTCAAGGTAATGAAGTTATGCTGTTGCTTTATTAAGTTCCCTTTGTTCATGCGGGCTTCTTCTGTCTGCTTCATTTTAATTTTGTTCCTCTTTCTCCCTCCCTGATGTGCACAGGTTTTTGTGGCTAATCCAAACAAGGCCAAACCAATACAGGATATCTTACTCAAAAATCAAGAAAGACTTGTTGATTTTCTTATGAAATTCCACAATGACAGAACGGGTAAGTAGTGGTGTTGTGGGCGTGGTTCTGATTTGACTCTACCCACTTTTGATTTTTTAGAGGATGAGCAATTTAATGACGAGAAACAGTTTCTAATTAAACAAATAAAAGAAATGTCGGAAGGAGATGGAGGCAAAGTGGGAGGGGCAGTGGGAGGAGCTACATCATAAAGTTGTTATTTATATGCAGACAATAAAGGAAACGCTTTTAATGAACAATCCATTAACTATTGTATAATTAATCATTATTATTATTATTATTATTATTATTATGTTTATTCTTTTGAAAATGTTGATTGTAATAATAAGGAGAAAAGAGAATGAGAGAGAAAAGTAATTGTAAAGTACTTTATAAACTCATAGAGCAAGTGCAATAATAATAATAATAATAATAATAATAACAATAATATCTGTTAGTGAATATTTTTACTAATAAATTTTAACACCAACATTTATTTTCGTCTTGCTGCTCTCCAGATCCATTCTCTGGTAACCGAACCTCGACTACTGTAATAAATGTCAAGACAATAACACTAGCTACAATAAACTCATTCTTTTCTCTCTACCCCCCCCCCTCTCTCTTTCTCTCTTCTCTTCTGTTGCAAGGATACTGTCGTCTTTATTCTGTTTCTCTTGATTATTTTCCATTCCAGGGAGAGCAGCTGCAACTCTTCGAAACAACTACAACCACACAATATAAGTAAAGATTACTGACTATGCCTGCTTTTGATAAAGTCTTAGGTGTAAAGTGTATCTGGTATTGATAAATTTAGAAAAACTATCGGCAAGTATTGTTCATACTGACTTGCAAACCATTCCATGCATATTTAAATGTGCATGTACATAGTTCATTTTTCTGTTTAGAATGTGGTAACAGGAGCTAATGCATTCCACTATTACTTGGACTATTGATGAAGGACGGAAGACAACTAGCCACACATGTACTCACCTGCTTGACATTGTAGCCAGCTTTTGCTGATGTTTCTATGAACATTACTCCTAGCTCTTGAGCTTTCCTTTCTCCCTCGTCCATTGATACCTGACGCTTGTCCTGTAGGTCGGTTTTATTACCAACAAGCATGATGATGACATCAGTCCCCCTCTCTGCCCTCACGTCCTCTATCCACTTGTTAACTTGTTGGAACGAGTTTGAATCTGGAGGAACAAAAAAATAATACATGTAGTATATCGGGTGATTTTTTACTTAAAAAAACTTTTGCAAGTTGACTATGTAAATGTTTTAGTTTGCATGTACTCGTCAAATATATTTTATAATAAAAATTGGCAAGTAAGTTACATTGATTAAGTGTTAAAAGAATTGAAGACGGTACAAGACCTGTGTTATGAACTAACTTGTGATATCATACACAACGACAGCAACAGTTGAGTCTCTGATATAAGACGGTATCAAACTACGAAACCTTTCCTGTCCAGCTGTATCCCATAATTGAAGACGAACCTACAAGGGAGGAGTAAGGGGAGTGGCCAATATTCCCCCTCTTTTTAAAATTAATTTTATTATTATTTTGCATAACTTTCCCCCCCCCAGCCCTCTTGCCCCCTCTCTCTGTCTCACCGTTCTATCTTCAAGGTACATAGTCTTAGATAGGAAATCAATACCAATGGTTGCCTAGTTAAGAAAACAGAGGTGAGAGGTTTTGAATGAAAGCTTATGGTAAATTACTTGATATGTGTTATCAAAACTATCATACATGAACCTCGTTATCAATGAAGTTTTGCCAACTACAATAAATAAAAAATAGATTTAAAAAATTGAAAATAATTATAATTATTTTCACTTACCACTTTGTTCTCCTAGAAAGACAAGTTTGAACTTTCTCAAAGGATTACTAAAATCTGCTGAGGCTGACATGACTAAATATATTCTACGTCTTTTACTCTAGAAAACAATGGCCTCCTTTTGAGAGTTGAGGCTTAGATTTGAGAAAAAGGGTTGTATTATACCGCCTCCCAATACAACCGGAATTAATTAATAAAGCAAAACCGGAAGTAATAAAATTTGACCGGAAGTGAAACGAAACCGGAAGTAGTAAAATTTAATTAAACAGGAAGTAAAACGAAACCGGATGTAATAAAACTTCAACCGGAAGTGAATAAAAATCAATTTTAGGCTTGCTTTTACTTTAATTTGCACATCTTTATAGCTCATCTAATTACCAAAGTAATAATAATAGCTAATAGCCAATTGTAAAAAATAACAATAACACACAAACAAAATAAAAGCATTTATAAAAAGTAGCAAAAAATAGATTAAAATCCTAATAATAAAAATATAAAATATAATAATAATAATAATAATAATAATAATAATTTCAAGTGATGTCTTTGTTCTCTATTATAAAAAGTTTCCCTTTTAGCGTTTACTGCCAGCTCCTCCCACAGCTTCTGGATTCTTCTTATTAATGTTAGCAAGCACAAGAGATATGTATGAAGTCAACAGATCATCCATTTTGTAACCCTAAGAATCACATAGGATAATAATTACCGTAGATCAGGAAATTAGTGTGGTAGGAAATTTTTGCGGTTTAAAATTGTGCTGTGACTTAATTTTTACTAAATAAGACTGTGCCATGTATTATTGAATGTGGCATGTAATTATATGGGTAATCTAATTTTTGCGAAATTCTAATCCAACAAAATTTAAATCACAGTAAAAATTTCCAGATAGATGGTATAAAAAGCACATCAGTGTACTGCATGTACTGAATCAACATAGGCAGACTTGATCACATGTGTTGCATGCATTGATCACATGTGTTGCATGCATTGATCACATGTGTTGCATGCATTGATCACATGTGTTGCATGCATTGATCACATGCATTGCATGCATTGATCACGTGTTGCATGCATTGATCACATGCATTGCCCTACATTAATACATTTGCTGATTCTTACCAGAGATGTTTCACAGAGGAGTCTGCTGCCTTTGATTAGGTTCCCTATAGTCATGTGGAAATAGTTGGACCCACAACTCCAGTTAGAGATCATGGTGAAAGGATGAATAGCCAGTATATCCTTTGATAATAAAATTAAATTATTTATTGATTAATAATTAAATTATTTATTGATTAATAATAATAATTACTTTATTTGCTGGATCTATCAACATGACGCCATTTTTATTAAGACCAATGAGTAAGATTTCAGGCAGACGAGGCTCTGTTGTTTGCTATGATGGAGTATGAAAATATTTTGGGAAGTTTTTCTTTAGCATTGCTTACCCTGACTTCAAAGAATGCTGATCCAAAAGTGTCCCACCTGCTCACGTACTTGAGGAAACTTATCTTTGCTTCTTCTGAAGACTTAGCATGATGACGACTGAAATTAGCAACAATTGCCTAAGAGAGAGAGAGAGAGAGAGGAAAAGAAGGAGAATAAGTGACAGTGCTGTGTTATCATTTTAATTACCCTTTTCCAGTCCTCTGGATGGAACTCCCTCAGCATGTCATGGGGTATCAGCTCACGCAATATTTGACTGTAAAATAAGATGATTAAATTCAAAACATGACATGCATATATCTTACGGTATTTCTCCAAAGTGGGATCTAGTGTCTCCAAACTTAACGCGATAAATATAAGAACCAAGAAGAGCTGCATCATCACGAGTACACTTGTGATAACCTCTTAAATACTTGGGGAGCTCCTAAAGCAATGAATGAACATAATAAAGTATCTTGGTACTATAATTTCTTTATTAACGCTCTAGTATCTCTGCTTTTGATATAATTTAATACCTGGTGATAGTGAAATATCACATCCGACTTTCTGTCTTTGCCAATGGTTATGTTTACCCACAGTTTCTTCATAAAGAAAACTTTGTAACTGGGATTAGAATTAGCTGAGGGAAAAGATTAACAAAACAAACAATCTAAATGTTCTGTATGCCAACCATGAATGCTTACCACCATCTTTGCCTCTAGCTCTCTTCAACCATTCGGTCAGATGACGCACAAAATCAAAAAAGAAGTCAGCCTCAGGTACGCTGATAACCTTGTCCCCAATCTTTACGAATAAACTGAAACCTTCCTTGAACTTTAGACCAAGTCTCTCCGCTATTGTTGCACAGAAATCCCGTGACCTTGTGCTTGAATCAACTTCAAAAGCCTAAGGAACATGCAAAATGTTAGACCATGTACAGTATATCATCAAAAATTGTAAAAGGGAATTCTCCATTCTTAAATTTTTTTTCTGATGCATATACACGTTCTTATGTTGTGTATAAAGTTTGAGCTGATTCCGATCGAAATTGGATTTTTTATGAATTTTTAAAGTTACTCGAAAATTTGGCAGTATTTCAAAGGTCAGTTGTGTGTCTGTGTATCTACCTGGCTTGAGTCATCAGGGAAGAACACTTTATGAAATATTTGTGTTGTCTTGTTTTGAATTGCATCAACTTCAACCAAATGAGGTGGATATCGTCTAGCACCAGAACTATAAAAATAATAATAATAATAATGGTAATAATAATAATAATATCATTGCAATAAAAAAAGATGCTTTTGGAGCCAATTTTTTGAAAAAAGAATAGACTATTTATATTTATGTAAAACACTAACTGAGCTGATTTGTATAATCGTTGTTGAATATCAGCGGCAATTGGCCATCGCTTGATACGTGATCTCAGGAACTGGTTGATCTCTTTGTGAAGAATTTGACTGCATGGAAACAGACCACTGGCCAGCCAGAGGAGCTCCCAACCTCTCTCTTCACTAGCTCTATAATAATAAAGATGATGATGATCAAGACTTTTGATAAAATGAATAAATCCAGTACCTTAATTTGTTGAAGGTCAATTGTTTTATAAGTTGACAGTAAACTTCATCTCTCAGTACCTCCTGATAAAATGTGCATGGAACATGTAAATGCATATAAATGTAGTATTTTCTCTTACCTGAGAAAGAACATGTTCAAAAACTTGGTCAGTCAATTCTGTGCTAAGCCTTTGTTTCTTGGAAGGATAATCTCCCATATACTTTAAGATAGGTGAGGACATGTTAAGGATAATACTATTACCAGCAATATTTTACCCCAAAAGAATGTACATTTCCATCATCATCATTCATTAATTTATTATTATTATTATTACTACTACTACTATTATCATTATTATTATTATGCATGGTAGGATATCAAGGAATGAAGCACAAGCCTTTTGATGAAGTTCCTCAGGTTGCTTATCAAACCTCTTGAGCAATGCTTTCTTGATTGGTTCCTTCACGTGGGCCCATATCTCTGTCTCTGCTGACTTCTTTCTCAGAGTACCTCGAATGGAGCCGGAAAGAGTTTTAGACTTTGGCACTCTAAAGTACTCATACGAGTATTTCTCTAGAGTGTAAGGCACTCCAGTGTCCTGTTCGTCATCTTCAAGAGCTGATTGTGTGGTTGCTATAATACGCTCCATGTCTTTCTGAGACTGGCCAACAAATAAAGCCTAAGAAAGTATAAACATTAATCTATGACTTCTCTCTTCCTTCCTTCCTAATCTCTTTTCCTTATTATATTATACCGTATTTCCATTGCTCTCTCTCTCTCTCTCTCTCTCTCTCTCTCTCTCTCTCTCTCTCTCTCTCTCTCTCTCTCTCTCTCTCTCTCTCTCTCTCTCTCTCTCTCTTTCCCCATTGCTTACTAGTACTTCAGGGACAGGTTTTGTTATGGTGGGTAGTATGTACACACACTCTGCAGGGAAGTGTCCTTTCTGTCCTGTCCTCTCACAGGTTCCAGAGCACCAGCCAGACTGCATCACGTTCTCACCATAAGTGTCATCTTCAAGAATGATGAGATCTCCTTTCCTGAAGCTCAAAAACTCACTACCTTCACCTACAGGAAAATTAAAGCAATACAAATGCAATGTACACGTAGGTCATTAAGTTTCACATATCAAATGCAATAAATATACATGTAAGTACACTCCTAGGTATGATGCTGGCTAGTATGTTGGTTGCTTGTTTCCTTATTACCTGGGCTCTGATAGTCCATGGTTGGTATGACGTATGAAGATCTCTTGCGTAATCCTTCCAAGAAATAATTAACCAACTGACATATCTCCTCTCCATTAGCTGAAGTGAAAGTGTACTCTTCACCTTTAACTGTTACTATAGTGAAACTCTGACCGCTAGCAGTCCTACAGTGTTAATAATAATAGCAATACTAGTAGCACAAGGTCTCTTCTTTTTAAAACCCTTACCTGCTTGATGTCACGTTGGTTATTTCAGGAAATGATGTCTCCAATAGAACATGTTCCTGATCATCCACAAAATAAACTCCAGTCCAATTAACAGCAATAATGACATCATTTTGAGGCAGTGTGGGTCCGGAGAAGCGATATGCTTCAAAGAATTTCGAGAAGAGGAGCGGCCATCTGTACTTGGCAAACATGATGAGACCTTCCTTTACCCTGTTGCGATCGATCCTGTTCTGAACATATGGAGCCTGTGAAGAGAGAGAGAGAGGAGAAAAAAGGAGAAAGAAAATGAGACACAGGAAAAGAAGAAAGAGAATGACAAAACAGCTTAAGTCAAACGAATGTCTACAGCACTTTACACTGTACATGTACAGTAATTTATATGAGTGTGTACCTCTTTGAATGCTTTGACTATCACTCCAATCCACCTTTCTTTCATGCCCATACCAGCAAGACAGGAATCAGGAATATACTGAGCTAGCAATGTGCCTACTCTCTCGCTGGTAATGTCACCACCATACTCAATATAATACTGCTGGGCTGCTAATGAGGCCAAATCTTCATTCTGGAATGAGAAAGAAGGAGAGATAGAATGAGAGAGACAAAGAGAGGAATGAAGTGAGAAATCACTAAAAGTTACATGTACAATGTAGCAGACATCATAATTTACCCCAATTTAGAATTTTTCTTTCTCTTACCTTGTCACAGAGATACTCTCCAAATTTTATCCCACGGATAATCTGTTGATAGATGAGGTTAGTACCGACTTGATCCTCAGAAGGATTGTGCCATGGGGAGAAGATCTCCTTACGAAAGAACAGCCTCCATGGGGCACTCCTCTCCTGTGCTCCCATGTCCTTAGCATATTGCTCACACTGAGATATGGCATCCATTATATGATCACCTTCGCTACCTAAACTGGACACCTTTTACATTTAAAGAGAAAAAGAGAAGATTATAACTACACATGTATATGCTCACAACAATATGCATGTATCTATACACCGTACATGTATATACATGCATACACATATGGTGAAATACTCACTTTATCAAAGAGTGCTATGTACAGTGAGAAACCAAAAGGATCCTTCAATCCAATTCTCTTTGCCAGGAGGGTGCAGAGTTCCTTTGCTGTGGTAGCACTGTCAGCTAACAAAGCTTTGGTACTTCCATCCATAAACGTAATGGGTAGCATAAGGGGCTTCTTTGACTTGGTAGCCTAGAAAGTTAAAAAGCAAAAAAATGTCAATTTTTTAAATAAGTAAATATTGCTTAGTACTTGTAATTCTAGCCAAGATGGAGGCTGCTGTCTTGGTCCATTCATTAGTGTCCTCCGAAGTCTCTCCTCACAATATGGGGCATAACCAGGGGGTCCCTCAGTAATGAAGCAACGCAAATACTTAATGAGCTGGAAGAGAAAGAAAAGAAGAGCATATCAAATTTAACTATTGTAAATTTAATAATGCATTGCAATAAATGTAACCTCTTCACATATGAAGAAGGACATTATTGATCAATGTGACATACCCTCTTGCTGGGAGCAAAGCAGCCAACGCAAAGGGAGAGGAGCACCCACCCACGAGCGTGTGAGGACTTGTTGGGATTCTGTGTGAGCTGCTTGCATATCTGACAGTAAATCTCATCTCTCAGTTCAGGGCGGAGGATACCAAACCCAATAATAAAATGAAGTTTTTCAAGGTTCGTCGTCGGACGCAGAAGTGCTTTTGAGGACTCCAAAACAGCTGATTCGCTCTCCTGGCTCATGTTCATAACCTCTTGAGGAACCTTGGTAACCTTCTTGAGTGTCATGGACACAAGACGACGTCTGAGGCTCTCCTTTCGCTTCTCTTCACCTCGAGACTAAAAAAAGAGAGAAATAATAAATAATAATAATAATAATAATAATACCATTGCTTGCTCATCATCTTCTCCTGGCTGATATCCTTCCTCTCCTTCCAATCCTCCGGTCTGTGCAATCAGCTTGTTATTGTTCATGAGGAACTTTCGTCCAAGAGTACTGACTTTCTTACGTAGGCCAGTGGGGGCTGCCTCTTTGGGAATGTCCTCCTCTACCACTGGCTCAGGTAGGTCACCCATGAACCTTAGCATCATTACCCATATATCCAATGCAAGCTGGAAGAATTGCATAGAAATAAAAAGGAGAATAAATATTATTTTAGCATAATTTATATTATTCTTATATTTTCACTCACCAGTGTGTCTATCTCGTGCTTCAGTGCAAGTAGCGGATGCTTGAGCTTCTTTCTCTTGACCCAGGAAGGCGTGGCATTTCCCTGGAAATAAGTGGCGGCAAATTTCGGGAACTTGTACTCCGAGAGGTCTTCATCATCCTCAGGAAGGGGGATATCAATTTTTCCAGTTTCGCTGATACTGTGAAGAAAAATTATTTGCATAAATTGCATGTAAAGGTATCATAAATTTAATGCATCTAATTCTATAATTGTTCCATGTTACCATTACAGGTCATTGTTTTTTCTTACTGTTTAGAGTCGCTGTCAAGGAAATTAAACATTTGCTGGACAACTTCAGAGTCCTCTATTGGTTCCTGTTCCTCTTCTCCTTCCTCTTCCCTCCTCCTCGCATCATCAGCTTTTCTTTTAGCATCCTCAGCTTTCTTTAATCCCTCCTGTTTCTTTCTCTCTTCTTCCTCTCTATCTTCTTTCTCCATTTTTGCAAGCCTTTCCTATGGTTATAAAATAGTAATACAGGACAAAAAATTTAGATGTTGCATATGCTGCCTATTAATCCCAATATATATATATATATATATATATATATATATATATATAGCGGAAAATAAAATAGGAATTAATTAGCAATTCTAAATTTAGCATGCCGTCATTGCTATGCGAAAATTGCCATCACTTGAATAAGCCTGATTTACAATTAACAAATGTAATACTCTTTATCTTTAATTCCTCACTTGATGCAGCTTCTCTGCTTGTTTTCTTGCTTCTTCCGCTGCCATTTCTCTCTTGAGTCTTTCTTCCTCTTCCCTCTTTATCCTCTCAGCTTCATCTCTTCTTTTTTTCTGTTGTAAGTAATGACTCACTCCTCTCTCTCTCTCTCTATTTCTTACTTCAATTCTTTTTCTTTTCAGTATTTTTTTCGCCAGTATCACCCTGAACACTGACTGTATCTTAATTATAGCTCTCTGTTTCTCTCTTGCTCTCTCTCGTGCTAGATATCCCCTGCATCGACACTTATGTACAAAAATAAAATTATCAAATATTAGTCCGTTATAATTTAAATATCTCACTTGGAATCTCCTGATTCTTGAGTATGTTGTGAGGTACCACCTGCGGACTTTCCTTGAGCGGAAGCAAGCCTGGAGTCGTATGAATCCTCTTCTCATTTTACGATAATCTCTTGAGGTTTGAAGCCTCTTCCAGTTCTTCTGCACTATGAGTACTGCCCTCTTAAGCATTTTATACTGCTTGCGTACAACGTAACCTCTGAATAATAAACATTAGTACATTATTGATACACTATTAGTATACTGACCTGAATGTCTTCTGTATGATGACCACACGCTTTGTTAGCTGAATCTCTCTTGTTTCTTCAAGTAGTTGATCATCTTGATCCTATGTACACGTAAAACAAGAATTACCAACATAATAGAAAATAATATCTTCTACCTTGAGAAATATCTTAGTGATCCCAATCTGGTAGTCTGAAGATTCTCCAAGGACTCTCTTACAGATCACTTTGCAGGCGGCCTTGCGTTCAGGATAATTGTTCAGGAGCTGAGGAACCAAGTACTGATAACGCTCAATGAAATGCTAAATTATAAAAAAATCATAATAATCACAAGTATAGGAGCTCTAGGTCCTTCTTTCTCCTTACATGAAACAAGTGGCGAATAGGGTACCCTGCTCTACGTATACGAATGGTTTCCATCATTCCAGAGTACCTCAACTGACGGACACAGAGTTCTCTCTCAATCAGTAGTGGGCTCTTTGTCTCGTTTGGTTTGATGCAGCGTACGAAGAAGGGCTGGCATGCTTCAAGAGTCTTCATCAATGCGTCAAGAGATTGCTTGAACTGCAGACCAAGTGTAGGAGCTTTCTTTCTTGTCTCTGACGTCTAAACATAAAGAGAAGAAGCATCAACAAAATAAATATCATTATATTTTTAAATAATAAGTTCAATCGAAATTTCTATGCAATATGATGCATCAGAAAAAATTATTAAAATGGAGAATTCTCTCCTTGCCATTTTTGACAAAATTTTGCCTAAGACTCTGTACTACAGTACAGGTACTTAGGCCCAATTTTTGAGTAACTTTAAAAATTCATAAAAAATCCAATTTTGATCGGAATCAGGTTAAACTTTCTACACAACATAAGAACATGTATATGCATCAGAAAAAATTATTAAAATGGAGAATTCTCTCTTAGTCATTTTTGGTGAAATTTGGCCAAAGTCCCTGTACATAGTACAGGGACTTTGGCCTGATTTTTGAGTAACTTTAAAAACTCATTAAAAAATCTAATTTTGATCAGAATCAGGTTAAACTTTCTACACAACATAAGAACATGTATATGTATCAGGAAAAAATCATAAAAAAGGAGAATTCTCTCCTTGTCATTTTTGACAAAATTTTGCCTAAGACTCTGTACTACAGTACAGGTACTTCGGCCTGATTTTTGAGTAACTTTAAAAATTTATAAAAAATCTAAATTTGATCAGAATCACCTCAAACTTTCTACACAACATAAGAACATGTCTAGATCAGGAAGTCGTTTTTGATCAAATTATAGTACATGGTCTCAGACTCAATTTTTGAGCAACTCTAAAAAATTTAATTTTGATAAAAATCAGTTAAAACTTTCTGCACGATATGAGAACATGCTTATTTCTTACCATTGCTTTCTCTCCACTGAACAATCCACCGAGGAACTTTGATTTGCTTGATTGCAACAAATCAAAGAGATCAGCTGAGAAAGTGTCCCTGTTCTTCTCAAGGAACTCATCTGCATCATAGAACACAGCTCCTGCAAAATGTTGAATACCAAATGCCCTCCTTGCTTGGGACTTTGGTTTAATGTAGTGAGGATGCTTTGAATGCTGCTTGTGCAATTTATCCAGCATACTGTCATCAGTACCCTAAATAAAAATATACCATTTAATGTAAAATTTTTAAAAGAGTTCATTTATTGGCTTACTTTGGGGAATCGACTCTCTTCGTCAATCAAAGATATAATGTTGAGTGGTTTCTGTCCCAAAAGATCAAGAATCTCTTGATTGTCCTTAAACTCAATACGGGACCTATCAATTAGTGAATTAGAAACATATACAAACTCCATTCCATGCTCTATCATCCATTACATTGCTCATTAATAATGCTTTACCAGTTAATTTTTTCCTTGTCGTACTCAACCTGCTCCAATTTGAAAATGTGGCGCACGAAAAACTGTTGAAGGTTCTCATTGCAATAGTTAATGCACATCTGCTCAAAGCTGTTCTTCCCGAAAGCCTCAAAACCAAAAATATCCAAAACGCCAATAGATATGTGCTTCTTTGCTTTGCCCTCCTACAGAGAAACAGAGGGCATGAGATATACACACTCAACATGCATTGATTATTAAAATATATTATTAGTATTCTCTAATGCTCACCGGTGGCTTATAGATAGCTTCATTCAATTTCTTTACGATCCAAATGAAGAGTCGGCCATAGATTCCTTTGACAAAGGCATCCCTCACATTGCATGCAACAGCAGACGAGAGTGGACTTATTATTGATTCACCATGAGTTATGGTCCTCCTTGTGCATAATGCATTCTCTAGTGCCTCAGCAGACACCTATTATAGAAGATAGAGCAAAAACTTATTGTTAAAATATTATCATTACATAGTGCTGACCTGTAGAGATTTTGCGGAGAGGTTGAGAGCTTCTTTAGCATCAATGTAAGCTACTGGCATGTTCCTCTTTTCAGTTTCTTCAAACTCAATGTTACCAAGTTGCATTACAGAAGCAACAATGGTCCACACATTCCATTGATCATCCTGAGTAAACTGACAGACCTTCATTGCTCCAGTAGCATGCTTAAACTCCTCAAGGTCTTGCATATTTGGATCATCAACTGTCACTGTATCACCCTATGAGAGAAGAGAGGGGAAAAGAGAAATGAAAAGAAGGAGAGAATGAAGGAAAATTAGCATCAAAAGCAAAGACAAAGAAAAGGAGAGAGAGATAGAGGCAGTTTGAGGCTGCATCTAAAAGATTCCACATGATCTTACTTTAGTTAAATAACTGTACTGCCAAGGATCTTTCACAAGACCAAGTTTGGAGAGATCATCTTTTGACAGTCCAGCAAGAATACGATAAAAAATGTGATAATTCCTCTCTCCATTTAACTACATACATTGTGAATTAGAAAAGGAGCATTATTTACATTAACCAGTTAGTGCATACCTGATTGACTATACGTGATTTCTCCAGTAGATACTGCTGAATCATGGCACCTTGTATGTGACCACTTACATCAAAATGTACATCAATGTACTTTCCAAATCTACTGGAATTGTCATTACGCTGTGTCTTAGCATTACCAAATGCTATAAAAGAGAAATGAAAATGAGGAAGTTTAGTTGCATTTTCAATAATCAATGCATGTACATAAAAATATAAAGACTAAAGCAACACTTAAGAGCAATTTCTAGGCTTACTTTCAAGAATTGGGTTAGTGTCCAAAATCTGCTGCTCGATCCATGTGTGCTGTCCACTCACGTGAGCCAAAAACTGAAGAATAAGTTTAGTGGACTCTGTCTTCCCTGCTCCACTCTCACCCCTGGAAGCAATGACATGGATAATGCAAATCCTTCTATTTTGGAGACTTACGTGATCACAACACACTGATCATGCTCTTCCCTGCACATAAAGTGGTAAGCATTGTCTGCAATTGCAAATATGTGTGGTGGCTCCTCTCCAATCCTCTTGTTAGTGTATTTATGGATGTGTTCCTGGTCATATATTGGCAGAACCTTGTAAGGATTAAGAGCTACCAAGATTGACCCGGTGAATGTCTATGGAGAATTAAATAAAGTAACGTATAGCACAAAAATTTGGAGGGACAAAAATTTGGCGAATTTGGCGAATAGAGTTTCATTCGCCAAAATAAAACCGCCATTTTGAGCCTTTATACGCATGCTCAATGGCACGTGGCCACTAATTCGCCAAATTAAAATCCGCCAATAACCAAAATTTAGTAATTCGCCAAATTTTACTCCCTCCAAAATTTCCGGCTATACGGTAATTATCTTTGTGTTTTCCCATTAGAAATTCATTAAAGAATGTCAACAAAATTTGCACATCAAATAACAACAACAAGCAAATTTATATTTTATTTTCCTTACATAAATCATCTTGTTGTGATATCTCATTTGAACGTTGTGCATTATTCCAGACTCAGTGAGGTCACCCAACTGTATCATGTCCTCCACTCCCTCAGCACTGGTCTGATGCATTGGCCTAATCCTATTCTTGTCCTTCCTTGGGTCAATCCAATGTTCCTATACATTTGGATTATAGGGAAAAGTAAAATAATACATTGGTATTTTAGAAGTTAAAATTTTATAAGCTATACATGTACTTCAAAACTGAGATTTTTATTATTGTTACTTGAGTTTTAAGTTTTAGTTTTCGTGTTATTTTTGCAACAAGGCTATAAATGGGGGCACAGCCTACGAATCATTATACTGTCATCAAAGGCTCATAATTATATTCAAGGGATGTTGAAATGACCTCGTGAATAACTCTAACTCAACTAATCTCAAATCTGTACACAACTTCCTGCACCAAATAACAAAATATTGCAAACAACCATCTCTATTCATTATTATGCATCATGATACTGGTTAAACTGTGCATTGGTAAGAGGTCTAGTGCATGTGCGCATCATGCAGGTATATATATCTATCAGTGTATGCTAATGCTTCAACTTACTCCACCATCATCATCGATTAATTTAATTTGTCCAGAATCAGAGAACTCCACGACAGCTCCAATGGGAACTTCAAACTCTCCTCCTTGTGTAATGTCCAGCCATACTTTATCACCCTATAGGAAAAGCAATGGATGCAAGAATATTGCACAGATTCTTCATAATTGCTGCATGAATGTTATAGAATAGCGGCATGCTTTCTTCACTCACCTTTTGCAGTAGCATGACGATCTAGTGCTCAGACAAAAAGGCCAGAAACAGGCTAGGAATGAAGTAAAAGAAAAACGCCCTTTACATTCAGAATCGGGCGTTACCTCTGCAGATAATGATACATAAACATTCATAGCTTTGATTAGCCACACCTAGAATATGTGACGTCATGTGGGGGCCATACATGCTGTACACGTGGTGACGACATGGCCACTCTAAGTCTAACTTGCATTCGGAGGAAGGCAAACACGTTAGCCAAGTCGCAGCCTTTAATCTTACAATTGCATCCTTCGTTTAGTTTCCCAAAGATTCTCAGTTCTCCTTGTTCCACGGTCTCTCCTTTAGGACCACGTCAGATCGCTCCACCAGCTCCAAAAATAATTTCAAAATTAGATGTAAAAAGACTTCCGGGGATTCAGTTTAAGGGGAAAGTGTACGTTTTGAAGGAAAACAACGATGAGTGCAGATTTCAGAGAGAAATCAGTGAACTTTGTAGATCAGGTATAGACACTCCCACTGGGCTGGGCTTGAAGTGCTAATTAATTGGTTAATTAATAAGGGGCTGGGTCAATTATTAATAATTAATTAATGCACTTACTCTTGTATGATTTATCGTTATGTTTCTGATAATGAAAGTTTTTAATATTAAAAGCAATTTAACATATTAATCGTGCCTGACTCTAGGGTTTTCCCATAAAGCATGCTAAGTGAGCTAAACAGCATGAGCTGACAAGCACTACAATACAGTACATGGCATTTGGAGTAACTTTAAAAATTTGTAAAAAATCTAATTTTGATCGGAATCAGTGCAAACTTGATAAACAAGATAAGAACATGTATATGTATTAGAAAAACTTGTAAAAATTGAGAATTCTCTCCTAGCCATTTTTGACAAAATTTGGCCCGAGACCCTGTACTATAGTACAGGGACTTTGGCCCAATTTTTGAGTAAATTAAAAAAATTAAAATTTGATCGGAATCAGTTTAAACTTTCTATGCAACATAAGAACATGTATATGTACCAGAAAAAATTATAATATTAGAGAATTCTCTTCTAGCCATTTTTGACAAAATTTGGCTGATGACCCTGTACTATAGTACAGGGTCTTTGGCCCAATTTTTGAGAAACTTTATAAATTCATAAAAAATCCAAACTTGATCAGAATCAGCTCAAAGTTGATATGCAACATAAGGACACATATGTATCAGAAAAAATTTTTAAAGTGGAGAAATCTCTCTTTGTGATTTTTGTCAAAATACCCTGTACTATAACTGTGCTATAATAGTACAGGGTCTTTGGCCCAATTATTAGACAATGTCACAATCCACTGACAAAAAGTTTCATGTTTGGGCACAATGTCTGAACATTTTTAAAATGTAATTTCAGGCTCTGACTGACTACTACCAGTTGTCCCATTTAATAACTATTAATAACCAAATAACCACACCATTAATCAATTCATCAGTGTAAACACTGAATCAAGTTTGTTTGGTTTCTGTTGTCATGTTTGACATTCTCTTAGTAGGAAATGTGTCTCATATTTATTGGTGTTTATTGGATCAGACAGTTTTTGATTTCAATTTTTCGGTTACTAGTAATTCAAAGAATTTCCTGGCAGTTGTGTATAATTGATCTGAATTAGTGTAGCGTTTATTTTTGCACGTGTGCATGCTTGCATGCATGTATATGAATTATGAATATATGCATAGTATTTTAGGTGAATTGCAATTTAAATGATTAGCTATTTTTTTCAATTTTGAATATTTGTGGTCATGTGCCATTGAACATGTGCAATACTCCAGTGCTTTATTCTTTGGAAAATGGTTTTTTAGTTGTTTTTGTTTAGGCGTTCTTGGTTTTGATACCGAGACAACTTCACAGTTCTTTCGCGGGCGCTACCTCCCATCTCTCGTCCAACTTTCGAATGAAAATACCTGCGTCATGTGGAGATTAAGGAAAGTCAACGAAAACTCGGGTGCTACTTCAACTTGGATATCGCATACATTGACTAATATATTAATGTCTCCAGACATCTTGAAAGTACGGAGGAGAGAAGTAGTAATAGTAGTGGTAATAATAAAAAGTGTCATTTTTCAGCATAATATGTACCACAGCAATGATCTATCACATACAGTACAATCATTGAATACTTGATATCTGATATAAGCCTGTAGTTATAATAACCATCCTTATATGCGTACATTTTCCATGTATTCGATGTGTACCTTAACTTTTTTATTGTAATGCACTACTGTTAACATGTCTGTGTGTGGTTTTAGGTGTTTACTATAAAGGAATTCTCTCTTGTCTCCTTCCTTTCTCATCCGCCCTCTCCCCCTCTCTTTAGGTCGGCCATGGCTCCTTTAACGACGTAAAAGATTTATTATTAAGATATCATCTTGAGACGTATAATTTCCAAGATACCTACCAACTAGCGGTACTGCTTGGTCTAGAGAATCTGAGTCTACGAGGCCTTGTAGGCCTATTCCTTAATAAGAAGCTGGACAAGTCACATACTATTAGTAACTGGGAAGCTCCTTCTCTTACCAATGAGCAAATTACGTATGCTGCTACTGATGCATGGGCATCTCTAAAAGTCTATCATTGCATCGTTAAGTGAGTATGTATGTTATATAATTGTATTGTTCATGCATTTTTGCTTTATTATATAATTTGGCTGTCATTGTGGCGTGGTTGCTGTCTCTATTGCCAGATAGCGTCCTCGATCAATCTGCATGCCAAATGAAATAAGAGAGAGGAGAATGTGGAAGAGTTTATAGTTTAATCTAATCATTATTGTAGCAGATATAATTATTTGTCTATAAACTGCTTGCATTTTGACTTTCTCTCTCTCTCTCTCTCTCCCTCTCTCTCTCTCTCACTCACTCTCTCTTACTCTCTCTATTTAGGGAAGCAAAAAGGTGTAAGAAAGAATTTCCTTCTCCTATCACAAGAGCATTTCATTTGCTAAAACCATTTTATCAGGAGAAAATATTAGATGTAAGGGAGGGAGGGGACATAGGGCATAGTGTTAATGAATGCTATTGAATTATACAGAATATCTGAATAAGAGTATAAATGACCCTCCTGTAAGGTGTATCTGGGTTACTTTTCTCTATCACTTTGCAATTTTAATGAGCAGGAATGACTAAGAAGTGACACTGTAGTGCAATGTTTACATTCTTTGTCATAATTACTGGAACTGTTTTATTAATGGCTAACAGTCCGATGAATGCACTGATTAACCACATCTATCAAACACAGTCCCACTCCTTTATATTAGTCAACTTGTGTTACAAGCTAAATCCAAGGGCGGTTGGGTGGTTCCAATAGCTACATGCACACAGTTATGTGTGACGATAGGTACAAGTAGATTAGTACATTTTGTAGTGTATTGATTTTGTAGTACAATAGCATTCTATTCGTACTAGTTATTCCTTTCCAAGAATGATACAGAGAGACCCTTTCAACAATTATAACAGTATTTCTTTGATGTTGCATTAGAAGAGTTCTGTTTACTCCTCTCTACTCTCTCTCCTCCTTCTCCTCACCCCTCTCTCTCTCCCTCTCTCTCTCTCTCTCTCTCTCTCACACACACACACACACACATCCTTTCTCTTTCAGAGAATCAATAGGATCCAATATGTGGGTCCACCACCACAGGCAAAGAAACAAGATGGGAACAAATCTTCTGATAAGATATCAGAAGTACAGGGAGAGCAAGGACACGATGGTCAGGAAAATGATCATCCCACTCCCCCTCTCATAAAACCAACTGATGTTTATCAAGATGATGACATGAAAAATATTGCCCCCACCCCTCGTTTCACAAAACCAAACGGACCTAAACGTTTTTCTTCTCAAGATGAGGTCAATGATAATATCGATCCCACCCCTCGTGTTACAAAACCAAATGGACCTAAACACTCTTCTCAAGATGACATCAATGATAATATCGACCCCATCCCTCGTGTCATAAAACCAAAAAGCCTTAAACGTTCTTCCTCTGGCAGCAAGAGCACTGCTGTTGGTAGTTATGGTCCTCCAATAGTTGAGCGAGATGTTTATGAGAGGAGGACGATAGAGAGATGGTTTGTGGATCCTGAAGGAAAGCCCCTGATGCAGCCCTATACTGTGGAGAAGAAGTACAAAGAGATGCATAGAGAGCAGAATGAGGACGCTAGTGAAAAGATGGAACAGTGAATGAAGATATAAAGCTTGTTTATTGTGGCTATAATAGCCTGTCTTGTAAATTATAACAAAATTCTAATATAAACTGTTAATTAATGCGAATATTGTGAGATTGTAAGATTTCTTTTATGCATTCCTGACGTTTTTGTGGTGTGACATAGACCTCGTCTTTAAATACACGGAGCAGTTAATTATTGCTGCATCGCTCTTGAGAGACGAGAAAGAAACAAGAAGACTTTACTCTTGCCTCAGTATGGCTGAAGACTCCCCCGCTAGAGGAGAAGCGGCCTCCTGGGTAAAGGTACAAAAGAGCACGTTCACTAACTGGTGCAACGATCAGCTCAAGGACACTAGCTACAAGGTTGATGATCTCCAGACTCAGTTCGACGATGGAGTCACTTTGCTCAAACTCTTGGAAGTTCTTGCTCACCAGAACAAGGCAAAGCTGAAGTGAGCTCGATCGATAGCTTAGCGCGCGTTTTCCCGCGTAGCTTGTTCATCAACAATATTCATTATTCACTCGTGCTGCTTGTAGGTACAACAAAAAACCAAGACTAGCCTTGCAGAAGAGAGAGAACCTCTCGATGGCATTCGATTTCATGAAAAAGGTGGAAAGGATCAATCTGGTCAATATTGGTGAGCAAATATATATATTTTACGACATAAATCTACAATAAAATGTTTTGTTACATCTAATAAACAAGATTCTTGTTATAAATGCTTGGAAATGTATGTTAGAAATCATTGCTTCAAAGGAATGGACTCTATTTACATTTCTTCCTCTTAAGAGGCTTGACTTGAATAAATAAACAATGGCACTACTAATAGCAACGATAGCGTTATAGCCATGTCTATATACATTAATGAATGAAACGATTGATGCCCATCCATATATGTTTCACTCTTGTATTCTGATTGTTTTAAAATTGGGCATTGTTCTCATTGGCTCCAAAAATTACAAAATAGAGCATAGTTTCACCTAGCAACTTGGCTACATACCTGTAGTTTACAGTCACTAAATATAGTAGCACACTTTCTAAAAATAGCATCATTACACACTTGAGTAGCTTCAGCCTTCTTGTAAGATAGTATTGCCAATCAGTGTGTGTGTGTGTGTGTGCTATTGACGATTTGCTCCAATTGAACTGCATAAGGCTGCTCTTAATTAAGTATTTCTATTACTAAGTAACATTCCTGTCCTAACCACAAGTATGACAACAATAAATTAAGAGGAATTTGAAAGGAGAGAGACAGAAAGACAGATTGGAGAGAAGGAGAGAGAGAGAGAGAGAGAGAAGGATATTTGACACTTGTTTGTAACTTTTGGGTGGCAATTAGTTAACAATTAGCAACTTGATACATAATTATTTTTTTGTTCAAGTGTGAAACGACAAATTCCTTGTCAGTTCTTTTCCCTCCCACTGTCCCCTCCTATTGTCGTAATATTCCTTTATTGTCTTTACTAAAATTACTATGCACAAATAAATTATCTCAATATTGAAGCCATGCCAAACTATGCACATGAGTAGCCAAGAACAAGTTGTACTATATGTCATGATTATTATACTTTGATTGATGATGTGTTATTATTATTTGTTATTGTCAATAGGAGCTGGAGATGTCGAAGAGCATAATTTGAAGCTCATGCTTGGCCTCGTTTGGAAGCTGATCCAGAAGTACCAGTTAGGTATACACGATGACCCTGAGCCAGCCCCAGCTCCACCCACCAAGGGAGGCTCAGAGCCTGCAGCCAAACCTGAGAAAAAGAAGAAAGTTCCCTCTTCTGCCAAAGCAATCCTCCTTGCCTGGGTACAGGCTACTCTACCTGACGTAAAGGTCAAGAACTTTCAGTCTGACTGGAATGATGGGACCAAGCTCTCTGCACTGGTCGATCACATGAAGCCGGGATTGATACCGGATCATGCTAGCCTTAATCCTGATGACAGACTGGAAAACACTACAAGAGCTCTTAATCTTGCTGAAGAGAACTTTGGTATACCACAAGTAAGTGGGTTAACATTATTGTTGGTTACATGCAGCTTATAATAATAAACACTCTTCCTATCCATGTTTCTAACATATGTAACTTCTCTCTCTCTTTCTCTTTCCAGATTATTGAAGCTAAGGACTTGTGTGTTGATAAACCAGACGAGCTCTCTGTTCTGACATATCTTGGGTACTACTGCAACAAGGAGTCAATTGGAAAGAACAATCTCCTGGACTGGATAGACTCCAAAATTCCTCAGTACAAGATAAAGGACTTCACAACACAGTGGAAGGACGGGATGGCCCTTGGCTGTCTGACAGATGTTGTCTCCGGGGGACAGTTTACCGATTATGAAGACATGAGTGAAGACACTCCTCTTGAGAATGCAGAAAAGAGTATGGAGTACGCCCAGTCACTCGGTGTGCCAAAGATCATAACTCCAGAGCAGTTCATTGACCCATCCCTTGATCCAGTAACAATGATGACCTATCTCACATACTTTAAACATGCCAAGCCGTCAGACGACTCTCCACTAGCTAACATCAGTGCTTCTGGGCCCGGTGTTGCTGGTGGTGATAAGACTGGAAAGGATACTAATTTCGTTATACGTGGTCGTATACCAGACTGGGCCCCCCTTGATATCAATATTACTGGACCCGATGGCTCCAAAGTCCCTTACACGAAACTCGATCCTATTGCTACTAGTTGCCCCATTCGCTACAAGCCGACTGAGCCAGGGAAGTACACTGTGGATATATTGGTCAATAAGGAGCACATCAAAGGCTCTCCTTTCACAGTCCATCATTCCGAGCCCTCTAATGCTAGTGGCTGCACTGCCAGTGGTAAAGGACTGGAGAAAGCCATTGTTGGAGACATGAGTGAATTCACTGTCGACTGCTCAAAAGGTGGAGCTGGGTCGCTCCAAACTGAGCTCCACGGGCCTGGTGGGAATGTCGGGACTGAAGTAACCGAGACTGGTAATAGAGTATATTCTGTTAAATACTCTCCATTGGAAGCTGGACCATTGACCATATCAGCTCTCTGGTCTGGTAACCATATTGATAAGAGCCCTTTTACTTGCCGTGTCATAAATCCAAAGAAATGTACCGCAACAGGGCCTGGGCTTACTGGTGCTACTCTTAATCAACCAGCCACGTTTTACGTATCAACCAAACAAGCAGGCCAGAGTACGCTGAGTGTCTCAGTGACTGGTCCCAGTGGACCCATTCCTATACAGAAACACGAGAATGAGCCGGAGAGCTATGTATGCACCTACACGCCCACCGAGAGCGGACAATACGTCATTGATGCTAAATGGGAGGATATACCCATCAGTGGTAGCCCATTCACAATCTCACCCACCACACCAGCTAATGCCAGCAAATGTAAGATGAGCAACGTTCCACAAGGATATCTCAGGGCTGGGAAAGAGGTCAGCTTTAACGTGGACATTTCTGATGCTGGAGATGGAGAGCTTAAGGCTTCAGGACATGGGGCATCTCTGCCACAAAAGTGCTCCATTCGCTCACTTGATTCCAGTAACTATGAAGTTTCTTTCACTCCTTTTGAAGTCGGTGTTCTCACCATTGACACATCGTTTGCCGATCAGCCTCTCAACGAATCTCCTCTCACTTTCAAAGTGAACGACCCGACGAAATGCAAGATCAACTCTGCTGGTCTCAAGGATGGGCATTACACCGTCAATCAACAGGTTGACTGTAGAGTCTCTGCCCAGTTCTGCGGAGAAGGAGAAGTTACTGCTAAACTACATGGACCAAAGGGAGAGGAAGATGTTAGCATCACTGACAGTGGGGATGGTACCTACCTGGTTCATTTCACACCTAAAGAGCCTGGCCCTCATGCTTTTGACGTGTTCTTTGACGGTGAAGAGATACCAGATGCCCCTGTCAACATATTTGTTAATGCTGGGAGCGGCTCTGATGATGTTGTGGTTACACAGCCACTGGCAAACAGGGCTGGCAATTATGTAGTTGACATGTCGCATAATTATAAAATAAATGCAGCCAAAGCTAACGAGGGTGAGCTCAGTACTAGTTGCGTGGGTGTATTTTCAGCGCATAAGCCTGCAGTGGAGATAGATGAGGTGGAAGAGAAACAGTATGTTGTTACTGTTAACACTGCCGTCCCTGATGAGTATAAGGTGACTATATTGTGGGGTGGTGATCCAGTCCCTGGCTCCCCATTCACTCTTAATGTTGTGGACAAAGCTCGCCCAGGGAATGTATTGGTAAAGGGTCCTACGTTTGAGATTGGTCAGTTAGGTATTGGACTCAGAGCTGATGTTAAGAATGCTGGAGTCGGTGAGCTCTCTGCCTCTTGCCGTGGGAATAGAGTTGGTACTGTCCCCGTCAGCATTAACGAAACTAGTCCAAAGCTTTATGAGCTGAGCATTGAGCCTTCCCAGCCTGACCTATTCACCATTAGTGTACTGTGGTCTGATGAGCATGTCCCAGGATCTCCTTTTAAGGTAGACAATACACCTCCAGATGCTAGCAAGGTCGTTGTTGATCCACCAGAGTCTTATGCAACCTCAGTTAGAGCTGTATTCCGTGTTGATGCTACTGAAGCTGGTGTAGGTGAGCTTAGGGCTCACTGCAGAGCTGAGAACAGTGCTAATCTCCCTGTTGAAATAGACAAGCCTGATCTAAGCACTGAGAAGTATCGCTGTGTTGTAATACCAATCAGAGATGATGTCTACCACTTCTCGCTTCTCTGGAGTGGCAAAGACGTCCCTGGATCGCCATTCAAGATTGATCTGGTACCAAAGATTCATCCAGACCGTGTTATAGTAGATGATCCAGTGTACTCTGACACTGTCCATCCAGTCATTACTACTGTTGATTGCACTAATGCTGGCCCTGGTGTCCTTAGGGCCAGATGCAGGGGAGATAATACCGGTATCGTTCAAGTGGCAATGATCGAGACAGAGAAAGGAAAGTACAGGCTAGAGTTTGAGCCGTCTAACGAGGACGACTATAATCTCAGTATTTTTTTCAATAATCAAGAAGTCCCTCGCTCTCCTCTTCACATTCCCATCAAGCCGATCGTCGAGGCATTTGATATGGTAATGGTTGAAGAAGTTCATCAGGAAATGTCATTACCGGCAGAGTTCCAGGCTCGAGAAGAGGAGACACCACCTTCCAAACAGGACACAATGTACCTCTTCCTTGGTAACCCACTTCATATTAACGTGGAGGATGCTTCTGGCTCTGAATTGGAACTGACTGCTACAGCAGAAGGTGATATCAATGGATCAACCCCAGTCAGTGTAGTCAAGACAGATAAAAATTACGAGGTCGACTTTAATCCAACGAAACCAGACAAATACACCATATCTGTCAAATATGGTGATGGCAAAGAGGCTCCAAACTCACCAATTATTGTTTATTATTCAGTCCCAGTTGATGCATCTAAGTGCATCGTAAAAGGACTTGAGAGCGTCTCCTCCTATCCAATGATGGATGTGCCAATTAAATTTATCGTTGATGCTACAGCAGCCGGTAAAGCTGATCTAAATGTCACTAGTGACGGGCCTAGTGGTACGGACCCATCAAGTGTACAAGTCGAGGAGAATCAAGATGAGCCTGGTATATATGACATCACGTACACGCCCACAGGACCAGGAGAACATAGGGTAAATCTTTACTGGGGTCGGGACCTGATCCCTAGTTCTCCTCTTGTCTTTAATGTCGTAAAAGGATCAGCTATAACTGGAGAAAAGCTTTATCCATATGGATCACCAGTTGTGCTGGCACTTGCTGCTGATTGCAAGCCAAAAGAGCTTGAAGTCTTTGCTGTACCTGAGGGCACTAGCCAAAAAGTCAAGGTCAAAGTTGCCAAGGATGGTAAAGGTCGTTATAAGCTACAGTTTTCACCTCAAAATCCCGGTTTCTATGATGTCCATGGTCTCCTCAGAAACTCTGAAGTGGCTGGTAGTCCTTATCGTTTAGAATATGCTCATCCACCAAATGCTGGCAAAGTTAAAGTGTTGATTGAGCCTAATGAGGTTGCCTATGTCAATTATCCTATTACATTCTCAATTGATACACGAGAGGGAGGCAAAGCTGAGCTCCTTCTGAGAGCAAACTTTCCGAACAAGCTCAAAGTCCAATCACCTGATTTCATAGTTAAGAAGAATGAAGACGGGACCTACAGAGCAACATACACTCCCTCTCTTGCTGTCCCTCACTCGTTTGATGTTTTGTTTGCAGGTCAACCAGTCAAAGACAGTCCATTTAAGATCAGCGTTAAAGACAAGCCCGTGGAGCTGTTCCACATCCTTGCATCAGACCTCAATCTCATTGAAGTCCACTCAAGCGTTGATATTTACTTCAAGTTGCCTGCTGGCGATACAATCTCCACTGTTACTGCAAGTGCTACCGGTAAGACAATTGACGATGCTGATTTCAAATTGCAGGCAGTTGGTGATGAAGGTCTGTATCGTGCCCATTTCATCCCCTCAGTTCCTGATGATTACCAGTTAGAGATGCACCATAAAGGAAACCCTATCCCTGGCTCTCCATTTCCTGTTAAAGTCGTTGGTCTGGGAGGCTTTGAGCCAAGCAAGGGACCAGATGATGTTGATAATCCGCCAATTGTTGAGACCAAGCGTCCATTTAATCTCCTCGTTCCACTAGACATGACCACCCCACCTGAGGACTTTAAAGTTGAGGTTGATGGGCCCCCAGAGTCTTCGGTCACTCCTGAAGTCAAGAGTGATTCTCGTGGTAAATATTCAATTTTGCTCACCCCAGACCTTCCAGGAGACTATCTTATTCACATGACAAAAGATGATTCCCATGTCCTTGGATCTCCTTTCAGAGTTATTGTCAAGGAATTCCGTTCCGATCCTTCAAAATGTTTCATCCTACCTGAAGACCAGCACCTCTTTGATAAAAGGCAGAAATTTGGTAAGCCATGTCAATTCAGAATCTCCACCATAGATGCCGGGCCCGGTACACTCAATATCACATCCAGGGGGCCTGGTAAAGCCGATGTTAAGATATATGATAATAACGATGGTACGTATACTTGTGATTTCACTCCCTCAGTCCCAGGGCAATACTCAATTGATATATTATGGGATGATCAGCATATTGGGGACAGTCCATACAGTTTGGTATTCAAAAAGAGCAAGTCAAAAGTTATAACGGGACTCAATCTTGACGCTGAGCACTTTAGAGTTGGCGTGCCTCATCGTTTTAAGCTCCACTGTGATGAGGTTGGAGAAGGTGAGCTGGGCGTGACCGTCAAACCCAACAGTGCAGCTCAAATCAGAGTCTCTAATCTTGGGGGCGACTCCTATCAAGTTGAAATATTACCAAAAGAGCAAGGGAACCACGAGCTAGCTGTGCGCTATGGAGAGGGTCATATTCTTGGCAGTCCTTTTAATGTTGTTTTCCATCAGAGAGGAGATGCCAGCAAGTGTCACATGGTCAGTAATGAGGTCATACAAGAGGAGGATGGACGGGATAAAGTGATATTTATCATCTCAACTAAAGATGCCGGACGCGGGAAGTTGTCTGCCCACGCTGATAATCCTCACACAAAGGAAAGGCTTGAAGTTAATATTGATCCATTGGAGGATGATGAGCATAAGATACACTTTTACATTGGGGACGGATCAGAGTATCAGCTAACAGTCAAGTATGATGCTGTTCACATTGAAGGCTCACCTTTTAAGCTCCTCTTTGCTGACCAGGGAGACGCCAGTGCTTGTATCGCTGATGGCGATGGACTCAACGTCTCTCAGATTAATAAAGAAGCAAAATTCAATGTGCTTTGTGAGGGAGCCGGAGAAGGAGAGCTCTCGGTTGAAATAAAATCACAGGATGGTATTACAACAGTCCACCCACTCATTAGCAGTGTCTCAGATGAGGAGTTTGAAGTTAGCTATAGTCCAGTGAAATCTGGTCAGTATAACATCACAGTGAAATGGGGAGAAGAGCAGATCACTGGTAGCCCATTTGCTATGAAGTGTTACGTACCACTGAATGCCTCCAACTTGATGATTGTTGATCCACCGACTGAAGCATTCCTTGAGACCCCAATGGAGTTTAAAGTGAAGACTGTAGAGGACATGAGTGAGGAGGGGGAAATTGCTGTCACTGCTAAATCCCGCTCTGAAGTTGTGAATGGTACAGCAGAGAAGGAAGAGGCTGGTACTTACAAATGTTCCGTAGAGCCCAAGGCACCAGGGAAATACGTCGTAAAGGTTACACTCAACGGGGACAACATCAAAGGATCTCCCTTTAAGGTAAAGGTTTCTGAGCCTCCAAAGCCACAAAATGTGAAAGCAAGCGGCCCAGGACTTGAGGATGGCTACGTGGGACAGGAGGGTAACTTTATGCTTGAAACTGGTGAAGCTGGCACTGGAACCCTTTCTGTTAGGGTACACGGTCCAAAGGGAGCTTTCAAGATCAATATGAGGCGTCATCCTGATAATGATAGGAATATCCTTGTACGCTATGATCCTAAATATGCTGGGAGCTATGCTATCGATGTCACTTGGTCTGAAGTGCATGTTCCCGGGAGTCCATTTAAAGTTGATATCAAAGAGCAGAAGGAGGAGAAGAGTTTGGACGAGAGCGGAGAAGAGGAGGAGCTTACTAATGGACTAGGAGACTCGATTAAAATGGCCACTGAAAAAGAAATTGAGATTTCTTCTTGAAAAGGTATTTTTAATTTGTGTGAAATTGTAATTACATATTTTCTCTCTCTTTCAGATTTAAACCAAATTATTGAACTACAAAATTACATATTATTTTTTAAATAGTAATTTATCAATCTTCTTTCAGGCTTAAAAGTAAAAAAATATCTTGAAATTAATAGTTGATATTTTCAAATTAAGAACTCATTAATGATCATCTTCAATGTGTTTATTTGTGTATCGTTCTGCTATCATGTGACATTTTATCTCCTCATAATAACAATTATTTCTTTTTAAATATTTTTTGAAAATTTAATGTCATTGCCAAACCTTTTTTATGCATGCAACGAATAGTAATGTATCATTTAATATAGTCTTCAGTATCAAGAATCTGTTTATTTGTCTTCTTCTTGTGGTACTTTCTGTTCTCCCTCTTCAAGTTTTGTCATGTCAACAAATACAGTACTGCTTGTTGTCTGCATATTTGATTCACTTTTCACTTTTGAAGAAGTGGGTTGACTGGGTTCATTAGGAATAGTTTCATGAACCTCTTCCTCATTTTCCTCTTCCTTTATTTCTTTCTCTTCCAGCGGGACTGACTCGAGATTTTCATCATTTGTTTCCTTCAAGCATTCGTCATCATCATCCATTGGAGGATTTTCAGGCGTGCTATGTCCTGATATATATTCTTGAGCATCTACTGAAATGGTCAAACCTTCATCTTCGTCATTGTTCATCTCTGATTGAGGTGCAGGTATTTTGTGGATACTATTGGGGTCAACATGGGTGCTTGATAGCGTTGAGTGCGTTGGAGTGTTCTTAGGTACATGTAACTCTATGCAAGACAGGGTCTTTGGTCTTATTGTCTCCTTATTGTTTCCTTCAATGTTGCCTTCGCTTTTTGATGTGATGGATGGTAAGTGCCTGTATGGAGGAAGAGGTGGTGAAGGAGGTAAGGGAGGGGGCAAATGCTCCTTCTCCTCAGTCTCGTTACTAAATAGAGTAGTGCTGTTTAGACTGCTGTTAATAGACATAGAGCTATCCCCTCGCCGGATTTTGAAATTTGTGAAAAATCCCCCAGGGGGCATTGCTTCTTTTGAATGTGAAGACTTCCTAGATCTGTTTCCTGAAATTTAAAAAATAAATGAAGCAGTTTTTCCTTTTTATCACTTACTTATTCTGTGATAGTTTGGTGGTAAGATTCCTCCAGGATTAATGAATGCCGATCCAACGTTATCCCTTGGTACATATACTCCAAGACGGTACAGAGATCTTGAGTCAATGTGATGAGTACTGCATTGTAAAAAAAGTATAAATGAGAATAACAGTGTTATTGATTGATTTACCAATTGTATCTTGATCCAACTAAAAATTCATGCACTGATGACTCATGATCAGAACAATTCTCTGCCCTTTGTAAATAGAATAATAATAATTCAGTATGCATAAAATGCGTGGTTTCTTACATTACTGGAGTTGCTAGGATATGATTGCAATGCTGACCTATACATAAGAGGCAAATATTACCAAGAGTAGATATTGTATTAATCAAATATGGACGCACCGAAAACTTTTCTGGTTCGAGCTATTTTGTTATAATCTGCCTCTGGCTTTTTTGCCTTCAGTCTCTCTAGACGCATTCGACTATACAGAATGAATAAGATAGCAAGAGTGCAGAGCATGTACCTCGTATGTGTAAGAGGTACATGTACCTCGTACATGTACATGTACAAGTACATGTACATGTACAAGTACATGTACATGTACAAGTACATGTACATGTACTTGTACATGTACAAGTACGAGTACATGTACAAGTACGAGTACATGTACAAGTACATGTACTTGTACATGTACAAGTACATGTACAAGTACGAGTACATGTACAAGTACATGTACAAGTACAAGTACATGTACATGTACTTGTACATGTACATGTACGACATGTACATGTACGACATGTACATGTACTTGTATATGTACCATACATGTTTCTATGAATCTACATGTGTAAAAAAGAAAAACAATAAAACAAACTAACACAGCATAATACATGTCAGATAAAAACACAAAAAATATGTAGTAATAAGTACATGCACAAATAATAATAATATGTAATGCACGTACCGTACATGTACGGTCATGTACCATACATGTACTTATACACGTACATGTACCCATACATGTACCATGTACTGTACATGTACTTGTATATGTACCCATACATGTACATGTACATGTCTCTTCTTGTTTTAGTGTAAAAAAAACCTCTCACCTTGTACGTGTGTGCTCTACAACAAAAGTGCCATCAATGCTTGCTGGAGCAGTAACTGGTCGTGATGATACTTCAATTGCATGTGGATGCTTCTTGTTTGGTATTGTTGGAGATATAGGACGACTTGATTCTGAGAGTGCCAGCCATCTATTGAACCTTTAAATTGAATAGTAATCATTAAAACAGCACAGAGGCTACACTAACACTAATGCTTTTACCTTAATTGTGCGTCACTAACAATAACTCCGCGATCTCTCATTGATGTCAGCCATTGTTGCAATACTGTACTGCGTGTCGCTGGACAAGACATGAGAGAGAGTGGGCCTCCTCCAGAGGACAGTAGGACAGCTGCAGACTGTGATCTCTTCTTTTCTCCCATACTTTCTCAAATTCTCACATTCACACCTCAGCTACAAGTGCGTTTTGGAAAGTGCTAAAACCTACCAGCTCCACCCTTTGCGTGGGTGTTAATTCATCCCCGCCCATTCTTAAGAAGCAGTTATTTACTTATTAATTTGGCGGTTAAGTAACTTTAATAACTAGATTTGAACAGAATGGAGTCCTTGAGCCGAGCCTTGAGCACTCTTCTTGTTAATGTACAGGGAGCACTGTATGGAGGTATTAGATCAGACATACCTGGGCATGGAGGAGAAGAGTGTACCAACTACTTAGACAGGAAACTTATGCTTCTGGACACGGGAATAGGTGTGTATGAGCATAGAAACTGTTTTATTACACGTGACAGCATAATTATAAAGTCACTTTTTCTTTTATTTCAGCAACTGTTTTAATGGCTGTCACATTTACTATTGGTATCAGGACCTGTAGCCCACTTCCCAAAGCCAAAGACATCAAACTGCCTCAATCTTTCAGAACACAAAAGTTATTACTAGTCCTGCTTACATTTGTATTTGGCATTGAGCTTGGTTTCAAATTGGCATCCAAGCAAGTCCTCTACCTTCTAAATCCTTGTCATGTCATTACTATAGCACTGGTTAGTGATTAATTTTAGCTGAGCATAATGAATTTTAGTTTTATGAGATGGAATTGGTGTCAATGACAAAATAAAATTGCATATTACGTGCCCTGCATGCCTAGAATGTGTTATGCATGTACACCCAACACGTATATTATAGTGCTAAGTGAAATGCCAATGTATTACATGTTAAAATGGCACGGTTTTGATAAGGTACATGTATGATTTTAATCAAGAGTAGATTGCTTTTTTTAGTGGTAGCTAATCAAAGCAGTACTACATGTACATGTATTAACACCAAGAATTATGGTATGACTATGTGCCAATTATTTGTAGCTGTCATGAGTATTCTCTTCTTGTAGATTTACTTGTTGGCTTCAAGTCCATCTCCAACATCTGTTGCTGTCCTAAGGTAAACGTTTGAGTTATGCCTTCCTTTGCTTATTTAGAGTCTCTCTCTCTCTCTCTCTCTCTCTCTCTCTCTCTTTCTCTCTCTCTCTCTCTCTCTCTCTCTCTCTCTCTCTAGACTTGTTATTCATTATTTGTATGGTGCCTTTATTGCTATGATATTACCTGATACTCATGCAAGACACGTAATTCATTCTCATCTGTCATTTTCTATTAGTTTTTTCTCTTTCACTTTCAGTATCATGGTGAAATTCCTTTATACTGGATACAACATTTTATGATTTTCTTCGTAGTGCCACCATACCTGGTTTATTCCTGGGGTAAGTCACAGAAGCCCTAATACGAACATTACACACTTAATACTTCCTATCAAGGTATAAAAGTCCTCGAACCCTTTAAGGAAATGTCTTGGTCTTTTTTTACCGGTAGCATATTTGGGATTCATCACTTGTATATCATGCAGCCGATTGGCATTGTGAGTTCTGGCTTCATTTTCAATGTGATCAATGCCTTGTTTCAATGTCATTCATAGCTGACACAGGTCAATTTGAATTTCATGCTTTGTCCAGCAACCGGTGACCCATTCTACGGTCCTTATTATCGAATACTGGCCGTTGGACATCAAACTTTCTGCCTCCTGTTTAGTGGGAAAACTTACACTTTCCTACTTCGACATTTACTTCCGAAGCAAAAGACGGACTAAGACTAGTTTTGCCTTTACATGATATTATGTTACTGATATTGTATATGCTAGGCTAGTTTGATAGATACTGGTATACTATTTTAAAAGGAATGGAGAGCTGTTATAACTTATATTTTTATTTAAGCTCTTGTGTTTATTCATTATTGAGAAAATACAATTGTTTTTTAAATGAAGGGGAACGGTACTCCAGAATACAGATATGGATATCGCTCCTAGTTTGACTACCATTACTATTATTCAGAAAAATCGGGGGAATAGTTGAATACTAAAATACAGAGGCACAACTGAAAAAGTAATAATAATAATAATAATAAATAGTTATTGTTGTTATTTGTTTAATTGTTGTTTTGAACAGACTGGATCTTCTCCCGTCCAATACCCATCGCCTTCACATCTCCTGAAGAGCGGACCAACCAATTCAAAGCCATCATAGCAACTGTATGTAGCTTCGCTTAGAAAATGATGAGATATAAAGGAAACCTTTCCATTGGCTGGAGAAGACAGGACTCGACAGCGAACAGCTAAAGAGAAGAGACAGATATGTACATGTATATGGGAGCTGTTAAAATTGTTATCTTAAACTTGCCTTCACATATTCCGGCAGTGCCACTCCACTGGAGGTTCTCTTGACAGATACGGACTTCAGAGCCTTTGGTCAGGTTGTATCCATAGTCACACGAGTAATAGACCCTGGAACCAACTGTTAGACCCTTTGCTATAACAAGACCATTCTCTGGATGTGGTAGTGCCTTGCAGTCGGTATCTATGGATGTGAGCAATAAAGTGATAAATGATAATACACTTACATGTATGTGTATTGTGTAAATGTGTGTGTGTGTGTGTGTGTGTGTGGTAGGTACATGTAGGTATATGTGTAATCGCATAAGCTACTAGAGAATTTGACATCAAAGTGTTTGTGGGTATTATGGAGCATACTCTATATATGTATCAGGCACATGTTCCTTACTCATAAGTTATGTAATGGATGCAACCAAACTACTCACATGTACAATATGTATTAAGGGCTTAGTAATATGATTCATTATTTTAGTTATACTCACTCTTAATGGGAACACACACTGGTTCATTCCCTGACCATTCTCCACTCTCCTGGCATGTCCTGCTTCCATCTCCTGAGAGTCTAAATCCATTCTGACAGGTATAGTAAGCTTTTGAGCCAATGCTTCTTGTTGTTATAATCACTTTGCCATGCTTGGGGTTTTTCAGTACAGGGCACTGAATTTCTAAAATTTAATGATGCATCAGTGACATGAACATGCAATTTTTAAATTTCATTTTCTGGTGTATTATGTTTGAGCTGATTCTGACTTAAAATTTTTGAGTTGCAGCCTTTTTAAAAAATAGCAAATTTTGGCAAAAAGCATGGACTATAGCCCATGGTTTTTCCAAAAATGGCTTCAAAATCACTCTCACATTTTTATTAAATTTTCTGATACATAATGATGTCCTTATGCTGTGCATAAAGTTTGAGCCAAACCTGACTTAAAATTTTTGAGTTGCAACCTTTTTAAAAAAATAATAGCAAATTAAAATTTTTTTCAGTTTTAGGCATGCATAGACTTACCGATGCAACTTGGCTCAGTTCCTGACCATTCTCCATTGATCTGACACTCTCTCCTGCTTTTTCCACTCAAAATGAATCCATCATTACAGGAATATGTTGCTATCGAGGAAAGGAGTGTTGAAACGAATTTGACTTTACCATTCTCTGGATTGGTGAGCTCCTTGCACTTGATAGCTATTTTTAAAGGAAAGTTTGATAATTCACAAGTTTTCTTTTTTGTTTCTCTTACATTCGCAAGTTGGTGGCTCTTCTGACCATTGTCCACTTGGCAGGCACTCTCTGCTTTCTACTCCAACCAATTTATAGCTAAAGAAGCATGAATAGGTTGCTTTTGACCCTAGAACAGTCCCGCTGAGTTCAACAGCTCCACTTTTTGGAGCATCTAGACCTCCACAATCAACAGCTGCCATAAGAGAAATAGGAACATGATGATTATATATTTTGTACATACTCCTTAGTCCTTACCTTCACAAGTTGGAGCTTCTTCAGACCACTTTCCACTATTGAGACATTCTCTGGTTTCAACACCAGCCAGCTCATAACCAGACTGACAAGAATAAGTAGCTATTGATCCTGCTGTAGTTCCATCCATATCCACTGCACCATTAACTGGTGGAGACAGACTACCGCAATCAATTGCTGTTAGAAGAAGAATGAGTTATCTAGTTCACTAGTAACTTACGGTAACAAGTTGGTTCCTCTCCAGACCACTGACCAGTTGCCAAGCACTGTCTGTTTACCTTACCAATCAATTTGAAGCCATCAAAACAAGAATATGTCGCTATAGAGCCTTTGACTAGAGATGTAAATTGAACTCCTCCATTTTTAGGCTCAGAAAGACTCTGACAAGTTACTGCTATAATTATAATGCAGCATTAACAAACCCGGTATATGATAATTTTAATCTTACCTTGGCAGATTGGCTCATTTCCTGACCATTCTCCACCTTCTTGGCATATTCTAATCTCATTCCCATCCAGTTTATATCCCTCAATGCAGCTGTATGTAGCACTTGAGCCTGGCTTTATTCCTTCAATTTGCACATTGCCATTGGAAGGTGCTGATAATTCTTGACAGAAAGCTATGATAAAAAGACAACAAAATGATTAGTATTATGATCTCTTGCTTACTACCTTTGCATGTTGGTAGTTTTCCAGACCATTGTCTATTAGCTAAACACTCTCTCTCACTGTTTCCTGCAAGATAGTATCCTTTTCTACAACTGTATCTCACGATGGAGCCTAGAGTTGTTTTGTCAAGCTCTCTATCACCATTCTCAGGTGTACCAGGGTCACCACAATCGATTGCTAATGATGAAATAGTAAAGTGTATAGTTTTAACATTTAAAAATCTTACGATTGCAGGTTGGTTCCCTTCCAGACCACTGCCCAGTTTTTAAACATTCCCTGCTTTGATCTCCAGCCAATTCAAAACCATTTGTGCAAGTGTATATGGCTATTGAGCCTTTGCTGAGGGAATCAAAGCGAACTCCTCCATTTCTTGGAGCACCAAGACGCTGACACGTCACAGCTAGATGACATAGGTAAAAATTATGATCACTGAGCTATTTCTTTACTCCTTTACCTTGACAGGTTGGTTCTTGTCCAGACCATTGTCCGCCTTCCTGACATATTCTAGTAGTGTCTCCTCTTAGTTTGTATCCATCATTGCAGCTGTATCTAGCACTGGATCCTGTCTTGACTCCTTCAACTTGCACTTTTCCATTAGATGGTGCTGATAATCTTGGGCAAAGTGCTACAATTATTCAAAGTGTGATAAATCCCTATTTTAACGTATACCTTACCTTTGCATATTGGTAGTTTTCCAGACCATTGTCCGTTAGCTAAGCATTCCCTCCTATCTCCAATAAGATAGTATCCTTTTCTACAACTGTATGTCACGATGGAGCCTACTGTTGTCATTTCAAACTCTCTATTACCATTTTCAGGTGTACCAGGGTCACCACAATCAATTGCTAATGATGAAATAATGAGAGAGATGACATTTTCATTATTTGTGATTCTTACGTTTGCAGATTGGTTCCATTCCAGACCACTGCCCAGTTTTTAAACATTGCCTCTTCTTATTTCCAACCAGTTTAAAGCCATTTTTACAAATATATGTAGCTATTGAGCCTTTGGTGAGAGAGTCAAAGCGAACTCCTCCATTCCTTGGAGCACCAAGACGCTGACATGTCACAGCTACGTTCATGTAAAAATTATAATTGTTTCATTTATACTCCTTTACCTTGACAGGTTGGCTTTTGTCCAGACCACTGTCCGCCTTCCTGACATATTCTAGTAGTGTCTCCTCTTAGTTTGTATCCATCATTGCAGCTGTATCTAGCACTGGATCCTTTCTTGACTCCTTCAACTTGCACTTTTCCATTAGATGGTGCTGATAATTTTGGGCAAAGTGCTACAATTATTCAAAGTGTAATGAATTCCTATTTAACATATAAACTACCTTACCTTTACATATTGGTAGTTTTCCTGACCATTGCCTATTTGATAAGCATTTTCTCTTGCTATCTCCGGAAAGATAGAACCCACTTTTACATGAGTATGCTACAATTGACCCTAGTGTTGTCCTGCTTAACTTTCTGAACCCATTTCTTGGTGTACCAGGATCACCACAGTTGATAACTTTAGCTATATATAAAATCAGTAAATTCAGTAATTTTTTAATGGTTTTATATGTACCTTTGCATATTGGTAGTTTTCCTGACCATTGCCTGTTTGATAAGCATTTTCTCTTGCTATTTCCAGAAAGATAGAACCCACTTTTACACGAGTATGCTACAATTGACCCTAGTGTTGTCCTGCTTAACTTTCTGAACCCATTTCTTGGTGTACCAGGATCACCACAGTTGATAACTTTAGCTATATGGAAAAATCAGTAACTTCAGTAAATTTAAAAAACAGTTTTACATATACCTTTACATATTGGTAGTTTTCCTGACCATTGCCTGTTTGATAAGCATTTTCTCTTGCTATCTCCAGAAAGATAGAACCCACTTTTACAGGAGTATGCTACAATTGACCCTAGTGTTGTCCTGCTTAGTTTTCTGAACCCATTTCTTGGTGTACCAGGATCACCACAGTTGATAACTTTAGCTATATAGAAAAATCAGTAAATTCAGTAAATTTAAAAAACAGTTTTACATGTACCTTTGCATATTGGTAGTTTTCCTGACCATTGCCTATTTGATAAGCATTTTCTCTTGCTATCTCCGGAAAGATAGAACCCACTTTTACAAAAGTATGCTACAATTGACCCTAGTGTTGTCCTGCTTAACTTTCTGAACCCATTTCTTGGTGTACCAGGATCACCACAGTTGATAACTTTAGCTATATATATATAAAATCAGTAAATTCAGTAATTTTTTAATGGTTTTATATGTACCTTTGCATATTGGTAGTTTTCCTGACCATTGCTTATTTGATTGACATTTTCTCTTGCTATTTCCAGAAAGATAGAACCCACTTTTACAAGAGTATACTACAATTGACCCTAGTGTTGTCCTGCTTAGTTTTCTGAACCCATTTCTTGGTGTACCAGGATCACCACAGTTGATAATTTTGGCTACAAAGAGTCAATGTTTTCACATATTACCCTAATTGGCTTATTATCAAATGGAGCTTACATTTGCACCATGGTTTTGAGCCTGCCCATTGCCCATTACTTTGGCATGTTCTTATCCTGTTTCCTTGAAGACTGGCACCATTTTTACAACCATAGAATGCTTGCCTTCCTTTAATGCTGACATAGCCATTAGATGGAGCTTGAAGGGATGGACACTTCTTTCTGCTATCATCTGCATGAAAAGCAATAGTGCAGCAAAGCATTATTAATGTACTACAATGCAGGAATGAAACCTAATCCTCAATTTTACTCACTTGGCTTGCAGATGGCTAGTCTGCCTGACCATCCAACACTCCCACTCCTCCCACGAACACATCTTAGATACTTTGATCCAATCAGTTTGTATCCAGTGTTGCATCTCATTTCTAGAACTGATCCAATTTTATAATGCGTTCGTCTTGCAAGAGCTCTCGAAAAGTAGAATCGGCCATTTCTAAAGTAGCTCGGTCTCTTGCAATGTCTAGCTCCAGAACTGCTACTAGATCTAGTTCCAGAACTGCTACTAGATCTAGATCTAGTTCCTTCTGATACTGCAATTATCGCAAGCAACAGCACTGCTACTGCAGTTACTAAGAAAAAGATAGAGAGCTTCATTGTTCTGTTTTTGATAGACTTTGTATGTGTGTCTGTTTCTTTCTTTATATAACATTCTGTGAATTTGTTTGGCTATAAGATGGTTTGGGTTGTGAGCTTACCCTTTATTGGCTTAATTTTTTAACACTCTTTGTCATGGACAATGCTGCTCCAATGTTTTGTCTCTGCATAGCCAATTACTTTCTGCTTGTTGTCCATTGTGTCTAATTTACTGGTTATCACTTATATTGAAGACTCTTGATGCTGTCAAATTGTTAATGAGTGTTCTTAGGAAAGTGTGTTATGGTAGTATTATAATAAAGTCTGTTAGTAAATGTTTTTATGTTATTGTTGAGACAAAGCACCTTTTGTAGTATGTCTAAGCTACCATGCAAGCATTGTCAAGTCTTTAATTTGATTACAGTAGCCTCAATTTGATATCACACACCATTCAGCCAAATTTTACAGCATCTTTCATTTATAAAAAAATGAATTATCACCTTAAGACTACATTTTTAATAATTATAAAAACAAATTTGCATACGATAATAGTATTGAGTTTTGTCATAGTTTTAATATAATGCAGATGTCTTGATTCACTTTATTAATAATAAAATGGTCTCCAGTAGCTCCTTTGCTTTACACACCTCCCAATCACCCCAGTCCACTTTCCAGTGTGTAAGCAATCTAGACGGGCCTTCCCAATCAACCTGTAACCATAATAGCACTTAGTCATTGCGTAGTCTCCATGGAAATAACCAGTAACGTATATCTTCCCGTAGTGTGGTGGCTGTAGCTTGGGGCAATCGTTAGCTTCTGTTCGATGAATAACAACGATAATTTGATTATTATGACTGTTGTATTTGTGTTTGGGCCTACCTCTACAAACTGGCTGTTTCCCTGACCAGTTCCCATCAGGTTGACATTCTCTGACGGAGCTTCCAATCAGTGTCAAGTTGGCATTGCAAGAAAATGTGGCACGGGATTTAAGATTTGTGCCAAAGTTGAATTGGACACTTCCATTGGTAGGAGCAGTTAGTGACATACATTTAACAGCTGCTATAAAGCAAAATATCCTCTCTTAAGATTGCATTGTTTAATAATACTTACGTTTGCATGTTAAGTGATTCGTGTAACATTCATCTGGTTTTATTCCTTCTAGTGTTTCATTTTCAACATTGCTTTTCCCAATTAATACGAAACCAGGACTGCAAGAGTAATGCACCCTTTTATACGAATCATCTAATAAAAGTAAGTATATATATATATATTAATATATATGTATAGTGTTCTTGGCATGTAAAGTATTTCTCACTAATTGGCTGGCAGATGGGTTGATACCCAGCCCATGCACCATTGTAGCAAGTCCTTGTTTGTCTTCCTACCAGTTTGTATCCAGTATTACACGAGTAGATGAGCTTTTGGTAACCAAAATGACTCCTTGTCATTGTTACGTTACCATTCAAAGGAGAGTTGGGTTTGTGGCATTTCGTTCTGTAGCCATAAGTAGCACTAACTTCTTGTAAGCACAGTAGACAAGTTAGCAATGACAGGATTTTAAGAAGCATCTTGTTGTGGTGGTGCTAACAATTATAATATCTGTAGCTTTACTGGCAGCCATTCCTTTTATAGATTAGCTAGCATATTTAGGCTGTGCCAAAGTGTTTTAAAGTAATAGCAAGAGTACATAATACCAAATAAGAAAAAATCAATATCTTTAGGTATTATGAACTCTTGGTAACTAGTATAAGACTATCTTGATCTACTTGTGCTGGGAGTAGTTGTGCCATTAACTTCAAGTGATGTACTAGTCTAAACAGTCACTCCTAACTGCATTATTTGTATATCAACACTTACCTTGATGAAAGTGGTTTAATTGTCTACCATTAGTCTTAATGTGTCTTAATGATTTGTGAGTGCAATTTATCTAATAAGGTATCGATTAGTCTCGAGTATAGCTAGACTTGCCCTCTAGAGTAGAATTTGCTTCAAAAGAGTAAAATTTTAATTTTTCATTCTTGTTAGTTTGGGTATAGTCATGCAGTTGGAATAATTCAGCCATTTGGAATCCTAATTGCCCTTGTTTCCTTTACAAATTAGCACAAGGAGAGAATTCTCCATTTTTGCAATTTTTTATACATGTTGTGCATCAACCTTGGGCTGATTTCAATCAAATTTAGATTTTTTACTAATTATCAAAAAATTGGGTCAGCGACCAAAGGCTATAGCCTTGGGTCTTTGGCCAAATTTTTGTCAAAAATGAAAAGGAGAGAATTTGCCATTATTATAATTTTTTCTCATGCATATACATGTTTTTTTGTTGTGTAGCAAGTTTGAGTTGATTTAGGTCGAAATTGGATTTTTTACAAATTTTTAAAGTTGCTCTAAAATCAGGCCAAACACCCTGTACTGTAGTACAGGGACATTGGCCAAATTTTTTCAAAATTGGCTAGGAAAGAATTCACCATTTTTATAATTTTTTTTCATACATATACATGTTTTTATGTTGTGTGGCAAGTTTCAGCTGATTCTGATCACAACTTGATTTTTTATGAATTTCTAAAGTTGCTCCAAAATCAGGCCCAACACCTTGTATTGTAGTACAGGGACATTGGTTGAAATTGGCTAGTAGAGAATTTATATACCAATTTTATATTTTTTTCTGATACATATATATGTGTTCTTATGTTGTATATATATATATATATTTAGTTTGAACTGATTCCGGTCAAATTTTGGAGCAACTTTAAAATTTCAAATTAGATCACAATGAACGCTTTTACTTTCACAAATTTAGTTAGTGAAGTTATTTATCAAAATAAATTTAAGTAATACAAATTAGTATAATAATTTATATAATTTCATGACAATAATATAATAATATCATAATATAAAAGCTCAGGAGATTTCTGTTCATTCATATTTTTTTAGAGAGTGGTCATATTGAATTTTGTCAGGATGACTTGATTCTTTGATGCATCGTGGAGGTGGGTCTGACCAGTAGCCATTGTAGAGACACTCTAGACGTGGCTTTCCAACTATTTTATAGCCATGAGAGCAACTAGTTGTCACATAGTCACCAGGATAATAGCCAGACATGTATATTTTGCCATGATGTGGTGGCTGAAGTTTGGGACATGGAGTTTCTAAATTTAGGGCAAAAATTGTCTCATTTTCGTGTTTAATTCTTTCTTACTTTTACAAGTAGGCTCCTCTCCTGACCACTCTCCGTTTGGCTGACATTTACGTGTTGAGCTACCAACCAGGAGACTTCCAGCATGACACACGTACGTTGCAACAGAGTAGACCGCCGTGTCCGGATAGTAAGAAACCTTTCCACCACTTGGATTTTTTAACTTTCCACAGTCGATAGCTATAAAAGGAACATTGTGCTATACTAGTACATAATGGGCACTTACGTCTGCAAGCTGGAGCATCACTAGACCACATCCCATTAGCTCGGCATATTGCCTCTTTGTGTCCAACTAGGTTGAATCCTTTGTTGCAAGCATATTTCACTCTTCCATTGAATTTTGTGTTTGTCACTGTCTTTGAGCCATTTGGATCAGGAGGATCGGGTAAACCGCAATCAACAGCTATAGTATAATTCAAAATCGTGAATATTACTATTAATAAACTTACCAACGCACAGTGGTGCTTTGTCTGACCAAGTTCTATCTTGTCTACAATAAACTGATCTTGATCCTCTTAAGAAATATCCACTGTTACACTCATAAATAGCTCTACCAAACAATCGTCTACTTATTACTCGTATGCTTCCGTTGGGATTTGGGTAGGGAGGACTACCACAAGTTATTTCTAAGTATCAAAGTGTTTACATTATATTTTATGCAAGTTCCTTTTGTCTTACTTCGACATGCAGGAGACCTTGAGCTCCATCTTCCATCAGACTGACATATCCTTGTGGCTGTTCCTATCAATTCATAGCCAAACCTACACTGGTAAATAGCAAGTCCTCCCAGTTCGCTGTTTGGGCTAATCTGGACTTGACCATTGACTGGATTGTTAAGTTGACCACAATCAATAGCTACAGCATGAAAAAGCAATATAATTATACCTTTCAGTGCATAAAATGTAAGCATGAGAAGGTTTTCAACTCACGTATGCACGAAGGCTCCCTGCTGGACCATTCACCATTGGCAAGACATTCCCTAGTTGGGTATCCATTAAGTGTGTAGCCTTTATCACAGGTGTATGTAGCAGAACTGCCCAGTTTTGTATCGGGAGAAACTGATACAGCTCCATTAGCAATAGCAGGCAATGGGCCACAGTCAATAGCTGAAGAACAATACATAGTATTGTGGCTTATACAACTAAAAACTTACGTTTACATTTCGGAATTCCTCCTATCCACTTTCCATGAGGTGAACACTTTTTAACATATGGTCCAACTAGTATGTATCCATGTTTGCAGAAGTAGACTAGTTCTTGTTTCTCATAGTTATGCTTTATGTATCCATTTTCTGGAGGTGGCAGCTTTGGACAGCGGTCTGGTATACACTTTGGTTGTGTTCCACCCCATTTTCCATTGGGGAGACATTTCCTTTTGTTATTTCCAACCAACTTGTAATATTTCTCACAATAGTAGGTTACTGTTCCTCCAATCCTTATGTCACCACCTTTGTAGCCACCATATGGTATACCATGGGGTTTACTGCACAGAATTGCTATTAAAAAAGAATTATTGGCACATTCGTAGATCCAAGTTTATCTTACGTTTACAAACTGGTTCATCTCCTCCCCATTTTCCATAGGCACATTTTCTATAAGGTGATCCAACTAGTTTATATCCATAATGGCAGGAATAAATAGCTTTCTTGTGTGGATAATAACCAGTCATATTAACAGTACCATAGTGTGGGTCTTTAAGTTGAGGACATCTAAATTTTGCTATAAAATATACAAGCATAGGTTAAAATTTAATAATTATATTATACTTACGTTTACAAACTGGCTCATCTCCTCCCCATTTTCCATAGGCACATTTTCTATAAGGTGATCCAACTAGTTTATATCCATAATGGCAGGAATAAATAGCTTTCTTGTGTGGATAATAACCAGTGATATTAACAGTGCCATAGTGTGGGTCTTTAAGCTGAGGACATCTAAATTTTGCTATAAAATATACAAGCATAGGTTAAAATTTAATAATTATATTATACTTACGTTTACAGACTGGCTCATCTCCTCCCCATTTTCCATAGGCACATTTTCTATAAGGTGATCCGACTAGCTTATATCCATAATGACAGGAATAAATTGCTTTCTTGTGTGGATAATAACCAGTCATATTAACAGTACCATAGTGTGGGTCTTTAAGCTGAGGACATTTAAATTTTGCTATAAAATATACAAGCATAGATTAAAATTTAATAATTATATTATACTTACGTTTACAGATTGGTTCTTCTCCTCCCCATTTTCCATAAGTACATTTTCTATAAGGTGATCCGACTAGCTTATATCCATAATGACAGGAATAAATTGCTTTCTTGTGTGGATAATAACCAGTCATATTAACAGTACCATAGTGTGGGTCTTTAAGTTGAGGACATCTAAATTTTGCTATAAAATATACAAGCATAGGTTAAAATTTAATAATTATATTATACTTACGTTTACAGACTGGTTCATCTCCTCCCCATTTTCCATAGGCACACTTTCTATAAGGTGATCCAACTAGTTTATATCCATAATGGCAAGAATAAATAGCTTTCTTGTGTGGATAATAACCAGTGATATTAACAGTACCATAGTGTGGGTCTTTAAGCTGAGGACATCTAAATTTTGCTGTAAAGTATACAAGCATAGGTAGGTTAAAATTTAATAATTATATTATACTTACGTTTACAAACTGGTTCATCTCCTCCCCATTTTCCATAGGCACATTTTCTATAAGGTGATCCGACTAGCTTATATCCATAATGACAGGAATAAATAGCTTTCTTGTGTGGATAATAACCAGTGATATTAACAGTACCATAGTATGGGTCTTTAAGCTGAGGACATCTAAATTTTGCTATAAAATATACAAGCATAGGTTAAAATTTAATAATTATATTATACTTACGTTTACAAACTGGCTCATCTCCTCCCCATTTTCCATAGGCACATTTTCTATAAGGTGATCCGACTAGCTTATATCCATAATGACAGGAATAAATTGCTTTCTTGTGTGGATAATAACCAGTGATATTAACAGTACCATAATAAGGGTCTTTAAGCTGAGGACATCTAACTTTTGCTGGAAAAAATTTAGTACAATAATTATTTTAATTATGATCAGTTTCCCTTACGTTTACACTCTGGCTCCTCTCCTTCCCATTTCCCATAGGCACATGCTCTGTGAGGTGATCCAACTAGCTTGTATCCATGATCACATGAATAGATAGCCTTTTGGTGCAGAGAGTAACCACTGACCTTAACACTGCCATAGTGTGGATCCCTGAGTTCAGGACAGTCTGAAAAAAGACTAAGTTTATAGTTTAATGCTAGATAATGTTTTTACCTTTGTACTGTGGTACTTTTCCACCATAGCCATGATTTCCTTTACCATGATATTTTCCAGGTGGACCAGGTTTATATTTTCCTCCTACGTGTGGGGTATCAGGCCCATGTTCCTCTGGTCCTTTTTTACCTGGAGGAGGTGGTGGGTGAGGTTTATACTCTACAGGCGTACGATCCGCAGGTCTTCTACTAGGAGGAGAGGGAGGAGGGGGAGGAGGTCCTGGCTCATATTTTTCTCCTATATATTTGTTAGGAGGCTGACCTCCAGGTCTTTTACCAGGTGTACGATCCCCAGGTCTTCTACCAGGAGGAGGAGGAGGAGGAGGTCTTTTACCAGGAGGAGGAGGAGGAGGTCCTGGTTCATATTTTTCTCCTATATATTTATTAGGAGGCTGACCCCCAGGTCTTTTACCAGGTGTACTATCCCCAGGTTTATGACCCCCAGGTCTTCTACCAGGAGGAGGAGGAGGAGGAGGTCCTGGTTCATATTTTTCTCCTATATGATGTTCTCTTGGTTTTTTACCAGGTATGGTTGGAGGATGAGGAGACCCTGGCCCATACTTTTTATGTGTACCAGGTGGGAAATCCTCAGGACTTTTACTTGGAGGAGAAGGTGGAGAAGGTGGTGAAGGTGGAGAAGGTGGTGAAGGATGAGGTGAATGATGTAGTTCTCCTTTGTGGTAGTATTTTTTGTAGTTCCTTGTTGGAAGTGTTGCCAATGCTGCAACACACAGTGCAAGTACAATCAGCAATCGAAGCTTCATTGCTGCCATTTCTTTATCAGAAAAAAAGGAATACTTGATCTCTTTCCCTCTCTTACTCTGAGGCTACTTTTATACTGGTACAGGCCATTAGACATTGTTTGTTGCTGCTCTACTCAATTATTCTGTCCTTCCATATCTTTGATTAAAGGTGTGCCACATTTTTCATTAAAGGCTCTTACTTTTCCTACTTTTAGCATTAAATTGATGTTCCTCTAGACCTAACAAGCATATTTGTATTGACTATTGGCATGTGATCCACTTCATAAGTTGTTTACTGTTTGAGCTGACGTAGTATGACTACAATTACCTATAGTGCCACTGGAATTGTAAAGTAAGAGAAAGTGAGGTCATGAATTCACAAAACTCCAAGCATAGATCTATAGTACAACTTAAAATTTAATAAAATGTGAAATCTGCTCAAATTTCTGTATCACAGTATGTTTTGTGCTCAAGTAAATGTATCTTTATCTCTAGGCATTTACAATAATTTTTATTTGTTTTTCATTTCTTTTGTTTTGTCTTTTGTAATGGAGGCCAACCATTTTATTGTGCCTACCTTCATCTTTTATCTCTTAAAAAATTTGTTTACATAATAATAATATTAAAAAAATCTTATTCAGCTCAAGCAAGCAAACAAACAAAAAGTTACATTTAAAAAGTTTCCTCTACTGTTAGTATAAGTGAGGCCATTCTCATTGGAAGTAAGTCAATGGCTGTGACATTACTTGACTTCACTATACCAAAGTCTGGAGTCGTTTCAGTTATTTCCTTTATCGTCCATTTTAAAAAGTCAGCTAAATTGATACGAGTCACGCCTTTAACACTTATTAATCTAATTTACTATGATCAATTAATGATGTACGTGTGTGTGTGTGCATACCTCATTCCAATCCTGTGATTAGAATCAGTTGATGATGCGGTTAATCTTTCAACACTGATAATGTGTATATTCTATCAAGGAAAATGAGAAAAAGCATAGACAAGAAACTAAAGAGAGATGACATGGGATTATATTTACATCATCCATTGGTTGACTGAATGGGCTCCATGAGTCAGTAGAACAAGATGTTGTCCACTTTTCTTTATTTTCAACAACAGCAACATGAACTAATATTGGTGACTGGATCTGCTGCATACCATGCAATGAAACACTATCAACATCTACAGTAGAATAACAATATTAATTGCTGCTATTAGTTGTATTGTTATCTACCAGCTGAGTTTATTAGTCCAAGTAGCATTGTATCGTTAATAATTGAAGTATCATCTCCTCTTGGATCATCTAACATTTGTAGGCGTCTAATAAATTTGATAGTAAATTACGAACAAATTAAAGATCACAAAATGTATTTTTATAGCAAATAAAAATCTGCCAAAATAAAACACTGAATACCTATGAGTAAGTAGTTCCATTCTTCCTTCATTAGCAGTCACTCCCATTGGCCTCTTAGTAGCTATTACAAAAGCTTTATTGTCACCATTGTCTCTTAAATGAGCTCTTCCAACCAATGGATAATAATTCTTCTATTAGATATAAATTAACAGACATGGGGTGATTATAGTAATGTGAAATAGTAATAGCAGTATGATGATACAAGTGTATGGTTTTTTAATGGGCTATCTAGTATTTTTTAAATTGGCATCTTTTTTAAAATGGCAGTAACTTGAAAAATTTAAGTCGGGATCAGCTCAAACTTTCTATGTAATCTAAATACATTAATATGCATTAGAAATGTAATAAAAATTGGGAGTGATTTTTTAGCCATTTTTGGAAAAAATCATGGGCATGTACAGTACATGTACATGTACATGTACTGTACATGTACATGCATGTAGATGTAGATGTAGATGTAGATGTAGATGTAGATGTAGATGTAGATGTAGATGTAGATATAGATGTAGATATACATGTACATGTACATGTACAGGGATTTTTTCAGATTTTGGCATATTTCATAAAATGGCTATAACTCGAAAAATTTAAGTCGGAATTAGCTCAAACTTTCTACATAGTATAAATACATCAATATGCCTCAGAAAATGTAATTAAAATTAGGAGTGATTTTTTAGCCATTTTTTGGAAAAAACCATGGGCTATAGTACAGGGATTTTTTCAGATTTTGGCATATTTTATAAAATGGCTATAACTCGAAAAATTTAAGTTGGAATTACCTCAAACTTTCTACATAGCATAAGTACATCGATATGCCTCAGAAAATGTAATAAAAATTAGGAGTGATTTTTTAGCCATTTTTCGGAAAAAACCATGGGCTATAGTACAGGGACTTTTTCAGATTTTGGCATATTTCATAAAATGGCTATAACTCGAAAAATTTAAGTCGGAATTACCTCAAACTTTCTACATAGCATAAAAACATCAATATGCCTCAGAAAATGTAATTAAAATTAGGAGTGATTTTTTAGCCATTTTTCGGAAAAAACCATGGGCTATAGTACAGGGATTTTTTCAAATTTTGGCATATTTCATAAAATGGCTATAACTCGAAAAATTTAAGTCGGAATTACCTCAAACTTTCTACATAGTATAAATACATCAATATGCCTCAGAAAATGTAATTAAAATTAGGAGTGATTTTTTAGCCATTTTTCGGAAAAAACCATGGGCTATTATAGTACAGGGATTTTTTCAGATTTTGGCATATTTTATAAAATGGCTATAACTCAAAAAATTTAAGTCGGAATTACCTCAAACTTTCTACATAGCATAAGTACATCGATATGCCTCAGAAAATGTAATAAAAATTAGGAGTGATTTTTTAGCCATTTTTCGGAAAAAACCATGGGCTATAGTACAGGGATTTTTTCAGATTTTGGCATATTTCATAAAATGGCTATAACTCGAAAAATTTAATTCGGAATCAGCTTAAACTTTCTACATAGCATAAATATATTAATATGCCTCAGAAAATGTAATAAAAATTGGGAGTGATTTTTTAGCCATTTTTCGGAAAAAACCATGGGCTATAGTACAGGGATTTTTTCAGATTTTGACATATTTCATAAAATGGCTATAACTCAAAAAATTTAAGTCGGAATCAGCTCAAACTTTCTACATAGCATAAGTACATTAATATGCATTAGAAAATGTAATAAAAATTGGAAGAGATTTTTAGCCATTTTTCGGGAAAAACCATGGGCTATACGGTGTAGTTGCTTCTTTTTATTCCAGTTCATATTGCAGTGACAACTGACCTGAAGAGGAACATCCATTTCATATACTCTTGACTAGTTGGGATAAATAAAAATAATTATGGACAATATTGCATCATACCATTGGGTAAAATCCGCTAGTGTAAGTTGTAAAGCTATTCTTTGAATTTAAATTAGTATTAAAGGCTATACTAATTGACATATCCCGTAAATCAGGAAGAGGACCAACTCTACGAAATATTAGAAGCTAGAATGATAGCATAATACAATACATACTTACGTAGGCTGTACTTCAACGAAATAATTGTATAAATCATTTTTATTGATTGGCTTGAATAATCTATATGCAATTTTGATAGGGCAAGAATCCTAATATAACAGTAATAATAATAAGTATAGGTTATACACCGAGGTAGAGGTTTCTATGGTATTTATTAACTACCAGCTGCTGATAATAAGACCACAGTTGACATACATACAACATATCTAACAGGCTAGGCCAGTAAAGAATCAACCAAACTTGATAAATGGACTAATAAGAGCATAAGCGTAGAGTACCAAACTGCCAATCAATTAATTATTTAACGAGATAGGTTTATATTTTTACGAGCTAGGTTAATATGAAAATAATTGACCTCTAATACTGCAATCTGATTGGTCAATCGCAAGGTGGCATGGTAGAATTATTATTATTATTATTATCATAGTAATATTACAGTTGGTATATTTTGTTGTATTTCCCACATAAGAGGACCAGAAGCAGTTTGAATGATAGGCAGAACCTATAAAAAGAATGATGGATCATTATAGCAAGAATGAAATCCATACTGTCGTATCATTAATAACAGCCTTTGAGCCTTCATCAGGTACAAACGTATACACATTGGTCCCATCGCAGACCGAATGTGGTACAAAACTGGGAGCCTTTTTTTCAAAATATTCGACAAAATTTACTGATATTTCCATATCATCTTTGCTGATGGAATTGCTCCACTCACTCAACCGATTATATGCATCAAACGATAAGGATATTACACCATTGTTTAGAGTCATAGCTCTATCAGCATTACTGCCTATAAATGGCAGTATGATTATAGTCATCATCATCATGATTATACTTACCTTCTTGTTTCTCCTGGGAGCAAGTCTTCTTAGTCACAAACATCACTTTTATACCAAAAGGTTCAAATTGTCCAGGAATGTAAACTTTATCCTTCACTTGTTGGTAAGGTATGGACAGCAACTCTCCACTGGTTGATAATTCAGAGACCTGTATCATCATAAAATGTATTTGCATTCATATTATTAATAATAATGTTCATGAATACCTGTACACAAAGACTGGGCGGGAGATCGATCTCAGAATAAAGTGACCTAAATTTAAAAGATGCTTTAGAAAATGTCAATTGTTTATAATGATGAACCTATTATGTCCATCAGGATTGTACAATACAGCTACCGCAACATTGTCATCATTTAATTTCTGTAAAGTGTTAGGAATATCAGCACTCAACAACGACACCTGTTTACCACACAATGCAATTTCCTATTGAGAAAAAAAAGAAAAATAAAATAAATAAATAGCAGGGTATTACTTTTAAAATGGCGGTGCTATTCAAGCCAGAAGAAATTGCAGACATTAATCTGTTATCATAGTCTTCATAGCAATTAGGAAAGCTAGTTCCAGTAATGGCATCGTGATGAGACAGTAATGAGAGTGTCTCCTTGCACAACAATAATGAATCCAGTACATGAGCATCATTGGTTTGACTGAAAGCTAGCAATGATTGTAGCGCAAATGTTACTGAGTTTTGTTTCCGGGCTAATGTTTTTTGGGAAGGCTTTGAAGTAAAAAACCCACTCCAGTATCCATCGTCAATCAGATACCCACACGGAGAGTCTAATACTCCTTTCACGCCATTACATCTCTCAGAGAGACAAGGATAGCAAGCTATGTATGGAAAGAAATCTCCACCATTAACGTAAGGGAATGATGCACCAGAATTGAGTACAGCTGTAAAATAGTCATTTAGCGTCGAATATTGCACTGTCATCCCAAAGTCATCAGAACGAGAATTAATGTATGCAACTATTTTGTCCATCGTGCTAAAGTGTTCGCTGGCATTGAAGAATGCGAAATCGTTTCCAAAAGGAACGAGTAGATGATTTGTACGCGACCAAGAGAGGCGAGTCTTACAAGTTGACACAAAAGACTCTGCTCTCTCTTTAGTGTCGAGTCCAAGCATTGTCGGAGTTGAATAATGTTCGCCAAGGACATGCGTAAACATGCTAGCGTTTGAATAAGGCGAAGTCCAGTAAAACTCCAGACTCTTAGTCTCTCGCATTCTTTGCTTTATATCATTAGGTATCCTGTTGATGACTATCCCCTTATATTGGAGAGCTGAGTATAACTCAGGCATCAGCAAGGAGTGACCAAATGGGTCTATGTGCCACTCGTATTTCGGTCTAGTATTCAACTCTTTACTGAGGAAATCAAGCCCAAGACTTAGCTGAGTATTGATGGTATATGTATTAGTTACTGCTTCATCATGCATGACCCAACCTCCACCAATAAATTCAAGCCTCTTCTCGCTTAGCAACTCTCTTAATGTGTCCTTCTGTTCTGTGCTTGCATCCTCCATCCACCATTTTGATAGAAAAGAGACTTCTTCCCATACAAATTTCCTTGCTTTGTCCTCGTGGAGTGCTTGTATGACTGAATCTAGGATGGAGTGGACTTGTGATTTGTAATAGTCATCAAAGCTGAGCCTGTATCCAGCATCACAGTGACTGTGTGGGATTAAATGAATGGTAGAAGCAGAACTGAAACCAATTAACAGGCTAAAGGTGGGGATTATGACTAAAAACATCTTGAATAATGTAGAGTATACACGTGGGATATCCTTTTCGAAATACGCCATCTTTTTCTTTACACCAAACATGCACCACGCCTTGCATGAACTTTATTGCATAGCTACATTAATGATTAAGGATAAGTTAATTTGGCAAACTGCAGCTTGATGGCATTGTTTTGAATTTGTGATAAGTACAAATGCATTAATGATAGTCAAATTAATCCATTAAGTGTTGTTTATAGACAAATGTGTTATGACCTAATCCTCCATTACAAGCCAAAATACTAATAGTGTCAAAATGATCATGCATGAACAGCTTAGCACTTTAAATTTTAAATTTAATCAGCAAATTTAAATTTAATCAGCAAAAATTATCCATAGAATAATCAGTATTTTATGCACATTATACATTAAATGTTTTGTTTCAAAAGTTAATATTCATGTTCCTTGTATGAGCCACCATATCCTCCTCCATAGGATCCTCCATAATGATCATCTTTCTTGCACTGAGCAGCAGATCCGCTCCATTGACCATTGTGAAGACATACTCTGCGGTTCTTGCCACTCAAACTGTATCCATAACGACAGCTGTAGACAGCATAATCACCAGGATATTGACCAGAGGTGTAAACTTTGCCATACTGTGGAGGTTTAAGTTTAGGACACTGGATTTCTAAAAGTATACTAATAAATGAATTTTACATGTTGATTTTCTTTTACTTTGACAGCCTGTCTTTTCTCCTGACCATGTTCCATCGGCTTGGCAAGTACGTACTTCACTACCAGTAAGTCTGAATCCTTTCTTACATCTGAAAGTAGCAGTTGAAGTGAAATAAGTTCCTGGATAGTAAGTTACATCACCATTTTTAGGCTTTTCAAGTTCACCACAGTCAACAGCTAGAAAATAAAGATAATATTTTTAGTTAAAAAGATGTAACAGCATACGTTCGCAGACAGGAGCTGGGTTGGAATATAGGCCATTTGCTTGACAAATGGACACAGATTTACCAACAGTATTAAAACCCCTGTTACATCTGTAAACAATTCTGCTCCCAAGAGTGGTAGTAGTGAAATGTATTGAACCATTAGGATCTGCTGGATCAGGGGCACCACAATCAACAGCTAATGAAATAGAAATATAATGAAGTGGCTTGAAGAATGTAATGTCTTGTTCTTACGTTCACATGTAGGAGCATCATCAGAATAAGTTTTATCATTCTGAC